GAGAAAAAACAGATAACAGGCCCAGTGCAATGGCACAGTGGTTAAGGTCCTCGCCTTGCACGCCCGGGATCCCATTTGGGTGCCAGTTCTAATCCTGGCAGCTCCACTTCCCATCCAGCTCCCTGCCTGTGGCCCAGGAAAGCAGTCGAGGATGGCCCAAAGCTTTGGGACCCTGCACCCTCGTGGGAGACCTGGAAGAGGCTCCTGGCTTAAGATCGGCATAGCATCGACCGTTGTGTTCACTTGGGGAGTGAATCATTGGACAGAAGATCTTCCTCTCTGTTTCTCCTCTCTGTATATCCGCCTTTCCAATAAAAATAAAATAAATCTTAAAAAAAAAAACAGATAACACAGCTAAGAAGCCTGTTTTAAATGAACATATTCTACATATTTGAAGAATATACATTTTTTCTGAGCACACACAAGACAACTCTACAGGTTGACAATTAGTAAGCCAAAATGCAAGTGTAACATCATTTCCATGTATCACTACACTTAGATTTCCTTGTCCAGGCCACAGTATACATTAACAACAAACCAACATTAAGAAGAGAATTTAAATATAAAAACTTCCAAATTCTCCTCGGACAGTTCAGGTGTCGATGAAATAATAGAAATTAGAAAAAAAAAACAATAAAAATAATACTTGTCGCAGTACTTGCAGGGAATTCAATAGCCCTGAATGTTTACACAGAATTAAATGAAAAAGGATTGAAATAATAAATTAGCGAACTAGAAAATAAGAAAGCAAACTAAAAATGGAGTCCTTGAAGAGAATCTAATGAAGTCGGGCAAGAACAGTAAAATATAAGGTTAGGAATGAAAAGAGGCATGACAAATTTTTTAAATTAAGATTATTATGAAAAGTTTTATGCCAATATTTAAGAACAAAATAGATAAACGTCTATAAAATATAAATCAACAAAAATGAGTCATACAGAAACCAAAAGTCTCAAAGGTCCTCTAAACTCTGAAAAAAATGACATTAGCAGTTTAAAATATCTCCTAGGAGATTATTACGTCTAGACAGTTTTACAAGTGAATCTACCAAATATTTAAACACAGATAATGGCCACCTTATATCATTCTTTGAGACTAAAGAAAAGGAGTATATATTTCCCAAGTCATTTTACAGGCTCACTATTATCGAACTACCAAACACAAAAAAATAGTGTGAAAAAGAGAAGTCATTTTCATTCATAAAAATTGATGCATAAAAAGTCCTAAATATTTGCAAATTAAACCCAGCAATGTAGGAAAAACAGTCATATATGTTCACCAAATGAGGTTCTAGAACAAACTAGGTTGTTCAAGAAATGCAAAATAATTTGGATACTAAAAAAAAAAAAACCTTTTACTGTAATTAATTACATTAACATATCACAGAAAAAAGTCATATGATTGCTCAAACACAAACATAAAAAAACATTCAACAGAATTTAACAATATTCAGAATAATAGTTCACCATATTTCGCAATCAGTAGTGAAATACAAAAATGTATTCCCTTTCAAGTCAACAGAACACGCTCTATAACCAGCTACATAAAACATCAAACTAGAGGTCCTACCAGTGTAATAAGAAAAGGACACAACCAAAAGGAAAAATAAATAAAATGTACAAAGAATCAAAATTGATTAATCACAGTTTACACGCAGAACACCCAGGAATATTCACAAATCAATATAATTAATAAGAGTTGAGCAAAGTTTCTGAATTTAAAATCAGCATATAATGATCAATTTCACTTACACATGAGCAAAAACTAATTAGAACTGGTACCAAGACAAAGACAATTAACAGAAATTATGCATAAAAGAGCTACAATTAAGTCTAATAAAAAGCTGTACTGGGGGGTGGGGAGCCAGGGAAGGAAGAGGAGGAAAAGGGCCAACGCGATGGCCCAGAGGCTAAATCCTCGCCTTGCATGCACCAGGATCCTATACGAGCGCCAGTTAGTATCCTGACTGCCCCACTTCCCATCCAGCTCCCTGCCTGTGGCCTGGGAAAGCAATAATGGATGGCCCAAAGCCCTGAGACCCTGCATTTGTGTGGGAAACTCAAAAGAAAGTCCTAGCTCCTAGCTTTGGATCAGCTCAGCTCTGGCTATTATGGTCACTTGGGGAGTGAGTCAGCAGACAGAAGATCTTTCTGTCTCTCCTTCGCTCTGTAAATCTGCCTTTCTGAGAAAAAATAAATCATCTTAAAAAAAAAAAAAAAAGAAAGAAAAGATAGAGAGAACTATACCTGACTTCCTAAGGTGAAATAAAAATTCACTGTGTGACATTAAAGATATAATTAAGTAAACGCATCACATTCATGGTTTAAAAGCAGTATTAGAAAAATAGTTGTTCTCCCCAAACTGATTCAGAGACTCACTACACGAGTCACAAATCCCATAGGTCAGAAGCTGACCAAAACCTGGGTAGTAAAGCAAAGGACAAGAAGAGCAAAGGCATTCCAGAAACTGAACAAGTGGAGTACTTTCTTTCTCTGACATCAAACCTTACTGGAACACTGTAGTCAGCATCAGAGAACTGCAACAGTTGAAGACAAATAGACACAGAGTCACCTGAAAAATGCTTCCTGGAGCCTCTAGAACAGTGGTATCAAAATGTTGCAGAAAGCCTAAAAGGAATTCTTACTTTTAGTAAGAATTTAGTAAGGGGTACAAAAATGTAAATAAGTAACAACAATCGGAAGTCAGTAGTAGCTAGTAGCTCTCCTTACACACTCCCCTCTAACTGAGATAAATAAATGCCCTCCACACTGTGTTGGGCAGCAAGCTGACCATGCTGTCTACAGAGCCTCCAGGATGCCCACTGCAGCCCCAGCAGGGGAATGGCGTGCTTGCCAACACTTACTTGTATTTGTTCCCAAACACACCCATGCCAGGTGTACTGATAAAGGCGACTACATAAATCAAGCACATGTTACAAAACACATAAAATTTGAATTTAAACAGAAAGGGTATTATGTACATATGAATATTAATTTTATACTTTTTCAAGAGACGAAAGTGCAAGGGGTATCTTACTTTATAAGGATTTTATACTCATGTCTTCTTTGTAAGGATTACTAAGTTCTTATCAATTTTTAATAAACCTAAAGCTACAAGTCACTGGTAATGCACTTTTTAGGTGTAATTTGTTCTAAAAGAATGGCATAACCAATCAGCACACTCAAATTCAGAAAAAGAACGCTTAGCACCTGTCAAATGATCAGCAAGTGAAGGCATACAGAGACAGTTTTAAATGTATGGTAGGTATACACGGCTTTTAATGAGTTGCTGTTTAACTTGTTCAATTAGCCAATAAACAACCTGTCTTGATCGCATCAGATAATGGGTCTTCACTCACAGTAAATGACCAAGAGACTAATTTGGGTTTATCCCAGGAGCACAACACAACCATACATTATATTAACAAGACAGCTGAATGCAAAAGGATCCTCTTGATAGATACTGGACCACATTTGATAAAAATTAAATTCCCTATCCCTATTTTTAAGCTATGTTTAAACTAATAATCCAGGACACAATCTCAGTAAAATCAAAAGTAACTACCTCAAATTATCACTCATTACCATATTAGTGGGAAAATGGTAAGACAGTCTCCAGAAACATGACTCAGTCGTTTTGTTCGTGAACATCTCAATTATCAAGTGGAAAATTATTCTGGAATATTTCCAGTTATTCTGGAAAAAGGAATGAGGTACAAATACAAAAAAAAGTGGCATTTATTATTATTTGAAAAAATCTACTTGTAAAATGCAGCAGAATCTATTAACAACTCTCAGAATGAAAGAAGGAGCCTTAAAAAGGTTCTTTTTCAAAGAAAATACACAAAAATCTTGTTTTCTTATATTCCTAGCATTAGTGAGACAGAATCCCAAAGGGGTTAAAAAAAAGATATTTTATCTAGAATTGCAGCAAAGGCTATAAAAATGCCTAGGAATGAATTTTAACAAGAAGTAGGCTGGACCTATAAAAAGGAAACTGAAATAGTTCCTCCAAGGACAATAGTTCCTTCCAAGACAATAGTGGAAATTAACAAATTAAATGTCCAATGATAGGGAACAGTTAAAACTTTATGAATGTCCATACAGCATGTAGCCCTATTTTTATAAAAACACAGGGAAACGTTCACAAAAATGTCTACGTTTAAAATGTCAATCATAAAAAGTCTAACATGATTTCAATTTTGCCCGAAAAATGTATGCATGTGTGTGCAAGCAACTTAACATGCAGGAGCATCAAAATCTTAACAGTGCTTCTCTTAACTTTCTGTCTCACACTTCATGATTTTTCCTTGTCTTCTATAAGAGATATATCAGAAAAACTATGAAAATTATGTGTGAGTGCATGTGTGTGTGTATCTCCAGCCTCCTGGTCAGGGGTACCACTAGTGGAATTTAACTCGCTGCCTCTTGTCAGAGTCCCTTCTCTGTGCCACCCTCCTCCCAGTAGGTCAGGGACTCAGGGAGTAGACACTGAAAGATGAACACCAAAACCCTTGTGGGGAGCTACAACCCCCATTGAGGGAAGTACACGAGCTGACCACTGCCCAACCAGACCTCTGGGAACCTGCCTGAAACCAGCTGGGGCCAGTAGGGCTCCACAGCCCACCCACTCTCCATTGCAAGTAGAATTGTGCAGGCCAGCCTGCCCTTACCCACCCATGTCCCAAGGAGTCAGGACTAAGCTGGGTGCACTTTGCTTCCACTGGCCCGTGCAACCCCACCCAACAGCTCTATGGGTTTGGGGCAAATTCCAGATGCACTGGCTGATAGCACAGGGATGTCCTTGGTGGAGATCAGCCCAGAGCTTTCTCTGTACTCTCTCTCTGCTGCACAGAGCAAGCAAAGGCAGATCTTTTCCGCTGGAGTTCAGGCAATACCTCTTTGCTTCCCCTCCTCTGGCCCCATGCAGCCCTCCATCCCCCCACAACCCATTCTCTCAGGGGATATCAAGAGGCTCACAAGGAGATGAACAATACATACATGAGGACTGGATGGAGAAGACGCCGTGTTAGTGGGGGCCAAGCTCGACAGCCCATCTGCAAGCTACAAATAAATATGCTGGTTAGCCACAGGGTTAGGGAATCCACACCACGGACGGCCCCAGGGATGCAGAACTTTCCCATCCAGGCACCTTCCACTTTTCCTGTGGAAAGATGGCTCATGGCATGGAGAAGCATCTGCTTCCAAGTGAAACAAGCAAGCCTGGATCACTCCCAGCGCCACCTGTGTGACCATAGGCCAGCTCCCTGCTCTTTCTAGAATCAGCATCCTCTTCTAGGAAATTGGTTTGGCACTCACCTCCCCATGCAACAGTGAATATGAATATAGTGAAGACCAGGTGAGGCCCATGGACCAGCCTCAGCCAATGACAGTCTCTTACCTGCTCTCTCATTGCCCTCAGACCACCTCGGACCACCAACTGCTCTGCTTTCTCACACGGCTCTCTCTGCCTGTCCCTAGTCTGCCCACCTCAGAGGCACTCCAACTCCCAATCACACCTTGTGCTCTCTCCTAGGAACTAACCCACATCATCCCTGCTGAACACAGTTCCTATTCAAGTGCCCATTTCTCAGTCTTCTCCTCTGGAGGGCAAGCAGCAAGCTATGGCTCCCCCCAAAGCCTATGTCAAGGGATTCCAGGGGTTATGCAAGTCCAACACGCCAACTTCTGCTGCAGACAACTTTCTGCATCAGATGGGACCCTTGCCTTCAATCTTCCAGCATTGTTAGTTGTTGTTTTATGGGGAGCATCCCTGGGCTGAGGGCTAAGAGGGACTCAGGGCTCAGCCCGAGAGGCAAGGGAACTTGCTCAGAGGCCATGAGAGTAGTCCTGGAAGGAAGGGGAGGTGCTCTGGTGGAAGATGGATCAGCGTGGACAAGACAAGGAGAGGCACATTGGCAGGGTGTAAGTAGTTGCTCATGTAGAAGAGAGGAGCATGGTAGATGGGGGAAAAGATTGAATTCATCAGGACACAAATATACAAGCAGGTGGCTGGGGAGGTGAAGGAATCAGAGCTGCAAGGGAAAGACTCCCTCTCTTTCTTGAACCTGGAGCACAGAGCTCAAGGAGGAGTCCCTAAGAGCCAAACCCTAGACTGTCCTCCCTTCTTGGCAGAGAAAGCCTGGGGTCTCTCCTGGGGTCAGCAAGGGCTCAGACAAAGACACAGGGGATGGGGCCATGCCTGCAGCCACAAATGAGCAGATGCTGGCACTCACAGATCAGACCTGTAGGATGGCCCATGGATATCCAGCCAGGACTTTCAGAAAGCTCCAGGGTACAACCCCATGTTTGGCATTGTGGGACCCCCAGAAGAGACTGGCCCTGCTAAGTCTCACCCCACAACTCCCCTACCAGAAACCATATTGTTATTTTAACGTGATTCCTTTTTTAGAAAGGTGAAGAGGAAAACCAGTAGTTCACGGGAGCACGAGGGAGTGAAAATAAAGCTAAACATAGTGTGGCAAAGATTGGGTCCAGTGGCAGAAATTACACGTTCCCCTTTGGGACTCAGCCACAATTGGCCACTCCAATTCTGGGGCGCGTTCCCACCTTCACGGCGTCCCAGAGACTATAATGGGAGCAGCAGGCTCAAAATTAGCTCAAGCCCAGGGGCTTGGGAGCAAGCCAGCCCCAGCACCCAAGCCATGGGGTGCAGGACAGGTCACTGCTGCCCTCAGATGCCTCCTGTATAGCAGCCCACCAGGCCAGGTTCCTCCTTAACCCCCCACATCCACACACCCCAACTATATCACATATATGCTCACACATACACCTGTATTACACACATGCACCTGTACCCCACACACATGCAGCCTGTCTTTTTACACACCGGTTCAAATTCAATCTATATCCTACCACTGCCCTGACACGGACACAGGTTCCTCCAGCCACCAAGCAAGCCCTCCTCTCTCCAATGCTCCAAACCCCTGAGCCCTGTAGGCTATCCCTATCCCATCCAGCCCTGATACTCAGCTCACGCTGATCCACATGCCAGAGCAGTTCAGGAAACTACCAGTCTCATTAGCAGTACCTCAGCAATGTACCATGCTGTATGTGAGACCTCAGTTCCCAGACCTCACTTTCCCCTTACCCTTGACACAGCACACTCCTATTATCTGGGCCAGGAAGTTAAGGCGACCCCTGTCTCTCAGTGGCCTCCGAAGGCCAGCCAACACCCACCCTTCCTGACCCTTATGAGAGACTCCAGGGTCTTGTTGCCAATGAAATGAGAATAGTTTGGGGCTCACTCCAGGCCCAGAAAAGGGCCAGTCTTGCCCTGACACCTCTGGTCCCCACCAGCCCCTGCTTCCTGGCCCTCTCATCCTTTCTCTGGTATATTGTGCTTCTCTTCCTCAATGCTTTTGCAGCTGCTGCTACCCTGCCCAGAGTGTGTCTCCTGGGTTTGTCCACCCGCCAGATTGGCCTCCTCCACCCAGAGCCCTGAGGGCTTCCTCAGTGCCCAAAGGTGAAAACATGGGACGAAGGGGGACAGAGGCCACCATTCCCCCTCGAGCCTCCAGACCCTGGTTGGGGTAGGAGGTTGAAGCAACAAGCTCTGACATTTCTTGTTTACTCTTCTCATCTCCCTAATCATGACACCAAGTATGGCTTTAATATGAGAGATGGGTTGGGAAGCCAAAGGCCCCAATTTTATTTGAAAGACAGCCACCAAGTTGGAAGCAGAGAGAACCAGAAAGAGAAACCCGGAGATGAGGTGCTGGTGGCACCTCTGGCTGGACACAGTGCCTACCTAATCATCAGTTCTCCTTATTTTCTAAATTCGTGGGTCGTGAGCATGCAGCACATTTGCTATCAGGAAAAATGATTATATTCTTTGTTCAAAGCAGAGAACCACTTATTCCATGGTACACCTGAGGAGACACACTCACATCTGCCCTTAGAAAGCTAAGTCAAGGCCACGCGATCAGAAAGCAGGGCACGCCTCTGCCAGTACCCTAAAAAGCATGCATCCTTTCCCCTGCTACTGGTTCAGATGTACACCCGGCACACACTCACCCAGCCCACCCCCAGGTTGCCAGCCTCAGGGCCATTGGTAAGGCAGCAGCTGGAACAAGGACAATCAGCAGAGTTTAAGTGCATATGCAGAGGCATTTCTCATACCCCTTACCTGTCAAGAACTCTGTCAGGTCCCTACTTAGCATCTTCCCCACTAACAGAAACATGCGACCCTCATGCCCAGGAAGACAAAGTGGGCAGATCTGCCTTTAGCACACACCAAGTCAGCCCCTGCATGGGCCCTCTTGACAAAGAGCAAAACTCCAACCAAGGTCCTGGGGAATACTCTGTCCCAAGAGCCCGCTGGTGACATGGGCAACAGAAAGGGCTTATGCAGGTGGCATTTTCAGAATGTGTATGGCATGCTTATCCCAGGACCTGGGCTGGTAATGTTGAAGAGCATCTGGAGCAGAGAGAAGGGGAAAACCAGGGGAAGGACAGGCAGGACCTAAGCAGAAGTCAGATCTGAGGACAGCAGATGTGAGCTAGGGAACAGCCTCAACAGCCAGGACTTGATGAGCACACCAGAGGGGTTGCCTCATCCATAGGCCTCAAATGGGCTGCACAAACAATAGCCAAGCAAAACTCCTGCCAGACTGTCCATCCTTCCGGTCCCTGGGGGGTGGGGGGGAATGATCCAGGGCCTTCCATGCTATCTGCACCGGGGGCAGGAGAGGGCCAGAATGAGCTGGCAAATCCAGGGAACATGCCCAACCCCCTCCAGCATCAACATTGGAGCTTCTGGGCCTCCAGAGTGCCAGGAGCTGTGGATAAGAGACAGAGTCCGTGAGCACTTCCTGTACCAGCCAGACCAACCCAAAGCATCAAAAGGAAAATCATCCCCACACAATCAGGTACCACCAGGCCAAAGGGTTCCCCAGAACCAGAGCTCCCAGCCAGAGCTGAGGCTCTATTCCTCCATCAAGCAAGTTGCTCAGGGAGGCCAGAGTCCAAGCCTTTCATCAGAGCAATTTAATCTCACCTCCTCCTCCTACCCTCTACTCAAGCCAGGTGAGTCCCTGCTGCTCCCCACATGGGCAGACATCTAGGAGTCTAGCTCCCAGATGCCCACTCCTCCCAGATGCCCACTCAGCAGCTCTAGCCAGAGTGACAAGGGGATCCCACAAGGCGCACAGGCCTGGCTCTTGCTGGACCCCATCCCCAGATCCCTGCTGTAGATGCTGGGAGGATGGTCAACCAGGGCCACCTCCTCATCAGCTGCTGGCTGTGCTTGTAGCCAGCAGGGCCCAAAACAATCACCTCTGCCTTCCATCCAAATCTATAGACTTTGGAGGGCAGCACTCACAGAACATAAATCCCTCTGAACAAGCCCCACTCCTTCCAAACAGAATCATTGCGGGGACCAGGATTGAGCAGCCCAGAGTTGGGGGGTCAACTATCTGCCCACTGTAGCCATAAATACCCAACCAGACACCAGCATGGCGTTCAGACTCATCTGATATAGAGCCACCTCAAACATCCATACGGGTTCCCCAGCCATGGAAAGATCATCAACCCAACTGCCCATCCAGCTATCCACCCACTACCCAGACCCACTTCTACACACACACACCAGGCTGACCTACACTGGACACACTAAGCATACCACAGGCGAGGATCTCCAGTGGCCAGCCTTGACCCAGCATGGAGAAAAGGTTGACTTACATGGTCACAGACAGGATCTGAGGCAAGCGTGGCCCAGACACAAACCAATAGGGCAGCAGAAGGGGAGTGGCCAGGGAAGGCTCTCAAAGCAGGTGACCATATCCATGCAGAGGCTTCAAGAGTGACCAAGGGAGCAGGGACACGAGGTGTCCTGAGCAGGCAGGATGTCGGGGCAGAGTCCAGGAAAGCAGGAGAGCTCGGGGCTTCGAGATTTCTCAGCAACAGGGAAAACACAGAGCAGGACCTCCCTCGTCAGCAGCAAGGCCAGAGCCAGCAATCACAGTGCTGGCAGAACAGTGAGCATGAGAGAAAGCAGCAGCCAACAGCCCGAGGGGCAGGTAGACACAACGCCCACAAACATAGCTGCAGGGCTGCAGGGCAGCAGGGCAGCCTGAAAGTGGAGGCCAAGGCCAAGGCAGCCAAGCCTGGCACCCAAGCTTGCTGATTTACAGAACAGGAACCACCATTTTGTGCCACCCTGTCTACTTGCTGAGGGCACACTCAATATACAATACAGGCAGGAGGGCTCCTGGTGGTGTGGCAGTGCCAGGGGTGTGACCCACATCACCAGAAGTCTAGAAAGGAGGGTGACAACCCATAGCAGCAAGTTCAAGGTCAGGTACTCACAGTGAGACCCTTCTCCATTTCCACTGTGGGAAGGACTGGACTACAGGGCCCAAGCCAGGGTCAGCACTGCCCACTTGGTGAACAAGGGTTACAGCCACCCAGCCGGGCTCTCTGGCCTAAGCTATGGGCATAGGCCAGCACTGTTTGGCTCCTTCTTTCTCCCCATGGGATCAGGGACCCTTGGAGCCCTGGGCCTGTCCTGCCCCTTCTCCTTCCCTTTGCTGGAGGTAGGGGCCTGGGGCTATCAGTCTGGAACAGCCTTCTCTCCTAAGTTGCCCCCAGGATGCCACCAAGCACAAGCTTGTATAAGATTCTTCCTTCTAAGAAGGGGCTGGAGGAGGGCCCCAGATGCCATCCAAGTGAGACGTGAAACTCCTCCATTCACCACCCCTCTCTGCCTTAACTTGCCTGCTGGACTCCAGTGCAGCCCCCAATGAAGGGGAACAAAACAATGGCATCTCAATCAGAAGACCAAGCCCATTCCCATCCCCAACCCAGGACCAGACCATGCCCACTCCCACCCCCTCCAACCCAAACCAGACGGCGAACTCCCACCCTTCAAGTTGAGGACAGAGAGGGACCTGAGGACCAGCCCTACCTGACTGGGGATGAGCGGCTCCTTGTCATCAATGTCGATGAGCACGTCTTCTCCAGGGCTGAGCAAGCTCACATCATCTGTGGGGCAGCCGTGGCTAAGCCTCAGAGGGGCTCCTCTCTCCTCGGCCACAAAGAACCAAGGCAAGATCCCTTCCCTTCCCCGCCCCTCCACCTCCTGGTCCACTTCTCACTACACACCAAGGGGCCAGTCCCTGGGGTGGTTCTCACCTGGACCCACAGTCCAGCCTCAAGCCCTGTCCCCTACCTGGGCCGCCCTGTGGAGATGGACTCTCGGCCGAATAGGGGTCGCACAGGAAGCTCTCCAGGGAACGGATGGTGCACTGGCCCACAACAGGCCGGCGGCCAAACTGGCGGTTATCAATGACCTTGATCACGATGGGAGGGCAGTAGAGCTCCTCCCGGGGTAGCATCTGGGGGAAGAGAAGTGAACCTCTGGATGCTGGCCTGAGCCCATCTCTGGGAAGCACAGGGGAAAGTGGTCAAGCAGGTCCAAGGAACAGAGAGAATGGCTGCAACCCACAGATTAACCCCAACCGCCAGAACTCCAGAACAGTCACTGACGGTGCCCAGGTCCTGACCAACAGAGCAGAAGTTTCTTACCTTCTCTCTGTGTAATTCACAGAAGCCAGCCTTGCCCCACATCCTTACCTTCCAGGGACATGGGGTGAGCCGCCAGCCAGAGAGAGCAAGGCAGCTTTCCCCAAGCCCTCACTGGCCCAGGAGGGGAGAGGGGGCTGGGCCAGGACTCAACGTCTCTTGTAGACAGTGCCCCCCAAGTGGATACTCAAAAGAATCGGCTTCCAGATCCAGCTTCCCCCGCCTCAACCACCACCACCCCACCACCCTGAATGCACTCGGCACACAACTTGAAATAATTTATAAGCTCTCCTTCAGTGGCGGCTGTGGTGCAGCCAAGAGGAGGCTCCTGTTGACAGCCACTGGGCCTGGAATTTCTGCCGCACTTTCATCTCACAGACCATTTTCCTGTCCTCAGACTCTCCTTACTGTAGCCACGAGGCCCAGCAGCCTAAGGAGTCAGAGAGAGCCAGGGGCCGAGGTCTGTGGGGGTGAGCTCCTCGGGGAGGCCCCACTCAGAGAAAGTCTCCAGGCATGATCAACAGTCACAGAGGGCCCTGGCAGGTTCCTGGAGGAAACTTAGGGTTGGGGGGTGCAAGAAAACCTGGAAAGGAAAAAACAGGCTGTTGGGGGCTTCTGCTGGTCGCAGATGGGCCAGGATAGAACAAGCTGCCCCCATTGGCACTGCTGACAGCACTGGCTGCTCTATCTGCTTCATTTCCACTTTGCTGGAGAGGGAGAGACACCATGAATCAGTCGGAAACCCCACCACCACCACTGCAGGGAGCCAGAGCCACAAAGGTAGGTCATTTGAGGCTACCAGGGCAGCACAGGTGACAGCAGGGAGAAGGGACTCACCACTTCCATGAAGAGGGTGCAGACATCGAAGTTGGGGTTCTTGCGCAGGTTCCTGATGACACAAGACTGCACCGTCTGGCCCCCACACTCCACCACGAGGCTGGGGGAGGAGATGCTGGCCAGCTGGTAGCTCTTCATGTTCCGCAGGCCCCACGCCAGAATCTGGGGACCCAAGAGGAGGACATGTCTTGGAAGGCCCCAAACCCACAAGAGAGGATGGGGCTGGGACCAGGAAGGAAGAAGGGCATGGCTTCTGTACCCCAGCAGCCATGCCATGTCTCGGGGGGGCTCACCTCTATGGCGGTCCTCTGCAGAGCAGGTTTGATGTTCTGCGGAACCATGTAGACGTTGGCCTCCCTCTGAGGTGGAGGGTAGGGCAGATCTGCATCGTCAGACTGTGGGTAAAAGGGTAGCACGTGGGATGGATGAAGACCAAGATGGCATAAAGATCAAGCAAACAAGAGACAGGACAGAGAGAGATGGGACACAGAAACACAAGCATGGACAAACAGGCAGGCGCACAGGTGGAAAGGAACCCCAGCAGCTCGCAACAGGCATTGTCCTCACCCAGGACACCACTCAAGCACCTGAGGCCTGGTGTAGATCTCCCCACTTCATGTGAAACACAGGCTGCCCCACCTCCCCACAGCACAAGCTCAGATGCACCAAGCTGCTCAGGACTGCCTCCTTGCTGACATATGCACGCATACACACGTGTGCGTGTGCACATACACACATGCTGCCCATCCATCCTAGAACAACCACAGAGTCCGTTCTTCCCTGGCTGCCTCTTGCAGCCCCGTGTGCTTCCCTCTAGACTCCAATCTTTCCAAGGGACTCCCTGTCCTGGTGCTCCATCTCCAGCCCCAAACCTCCACATCCCACATCTGTTCTATGGGAGGAGAGGAGGAATGTAAATGCCCACAGACACAGTGGGGGCAGCTCCCTCACTGCCACAGGCCAGCCCTGAGCAAGGCTGCGTCCCCTTGGCCTGCCCACTGAGAGCCAGGCACCCTGCGTGACTACCTGACAGGCAGTATTGGGAAGGCAGAGCTCCCACCTTAGACCAGTTAACTACTAGTTCACATGCTCTGCCATGTACAAGCCTAATCAAGCTAGTCTGTCTTTCTTCCAGCTCAACTTTTCCATCTACAGAATGGTTAGCTGACATGAGCAACTTCCAAAGGTTAGTAGAAGGGTAGAAGTGACCAGCTACCCAACATTTTAGAAGAACGCCTGGTGCACATAAACTCTCACTAGGACTGTTGTTCATCCAGCACCTTTGTGACAAGTAGAAAAAGATGTCCCTTTCTTAGAACTCTACTCCCATGTCAGAAAAAGGTTCATATTTTCTGCATGATTAGGACAAAACACACTTTACTGCCATCTACTGGAAACTGTCACAACAAATATAAATAGATGACATCAGAGCTGGAAATTACAGCTCCTTCATCACCGTATCCTTGTGCAGTGATCAACCTGTACATCCATACATGAAGGACCTGACATATAGAAAATATTGGCTATAATTTAAAGGGCTATGTTGGATATTCTACATGGGGTCGTCATGGAGCTTAAAAAGGAATCACTGGATACATCTTCTAACTGACCTGGGTTTCCTTCTGCAAGAGTCGTTCATCTGTCCGCAGATGGTCTGATGTAGGTAGTAGGAGAGCTGAGGCAGGGATAAATACTAGCTCTCTCCTGCCCCTCTAAATCTTCCAAGCCCAGCCAATCATCACCCTTGGCCTACCACCCCTAGAACTGTGGTGGGAAGCAGTTCAACTCTAGAGTCAAGACGAGTCTGGGGTCACTCGAGGACTGCTGGACCCCTGGGAGCACCTTTGGGAGCAACACTGGCTTTGCCACCATCCTCATGCCACCAGGGCACCAGGTGGTAGAACTCTTCAGTCTACACCCACATGTAGGTCACTCCAGGTCAGAAGCCGATTAGAATGATGGACAAAGTTGTCCTGGCATATACCTCTAGGGGCACCATGCATATCACAGCCCACATGGGAGGCAGCCCTGGAGGACCAAGCTGGGGCCTCCACAACCACAGCCATGGTGGTGAACTGGCTGCTGAGGTGACCCTGAGTTCAGCATACACCTGTAGTACCCCAAGGCCACCAGCAGCAGGTAGCTTTACAGAAGTGACCCACTTGTGGCCTGCTCACAGCCTCTTTTGGCCAATGCCTTACATGAGTCCACAGCCAAAAGCCCAAAACCAAAAGGGGCAAAAAGAAGGGATCAGGGAGGAAGGGTCAGCCCCAAGTTGCCCTAAGCAGAGAGGCAGAGAATGGTCTTCCTCACACAGCTGCAGGTTCTCCCAAACTCCCAAGAAGGATTCATGCGTGCATTTCCTAGGAAGCGTTTCCTCTCTAGCTCCAAGCCCAGGTCAGCCCCTCCCAGAACCCACTTCCAACGTTATCCACACCATTCCCCACCCCTCTGTGCCAATGACCCTCCTTGCCCATCTGCAGGACCCTGCAGCCAGGGGAAGCGGGAGCTGGAGGAGGCTGAGCACTGTACCGTTTGCAGAAGGCCCTGGAGTAACAGGGCAGGAGCACACAGCTGTGGAGCACCAGCCCCCGTGCAGCAGGGGGAAGACAGAGATGACAGTTAGAGGAGAGGCCAGGCAGCTTCCCCAGCACCAGGCTGCCACACTCACCCCACCTGTGGAGGAGCCCAAGGAACCCAGATACCTTCGGGGCACCTCCCCAGGATCCCTGACACTGTGGCTCCACCCAGCCTCTGACACTGAACTTTCATACAACTTGGGTTTCTGTCTCCTACCTTAAGATCTGCTTCCTGCAGTGGGCACTGTGGCACAGCAAGTTAAGGCCCTGCTTGGGGTGCTGTCACCTTCTAGGGTTTACATGCAGGCTTCTCTGGTTACTACCCAGCTCCCTGCTAATGCACCCAGGAAAGCAGCAAAGGGTGGCTCAAGTGCTTGAGTTCCTGCCACACATGTTGGGAGATCAAGATGGAGTTGCTGGCTCCTGGCTCCTGCCTAGCCCAACTGAAAGCAGCCACAGACATTTGAGGAGTGAAGCAGGGGGAGAGGGGGATGGAAGCCATCTCCCCATCTCTCTGTCATCCTACCTTTCAAGTAAACGTAAATAACCATTTAAAAGCCATCTGCTCCCTTTCAATGGCCTCTCAGAAAGTGGCCCTACCCACACAACCAAGCCAACCACTGTCTCCTTCCCCTCTCATTGCCCTGCCTAATTCAACACCAAGAAGGGATGATTCTACCTGTCCCGCCCCACTCCCCCATCCCTCTACCCTTGACTCCTTTTCCTGGTTCAAGCCACTGCCCCTGGCTCCCTGGGCTCACCAGCATCTCATGTAGCCTAATTGCAAGAGGTTTTTCACACTCCCTGCCAACAACCAATGCATGCTGCCTTCTGCAGCCAGGGCAAGCCTTCTCCCAATTCACAGGTTACTCAGTGACCTTCAGGAAGCAATGCAAACTCTGATGTGGCCTCCAAGACCCCGGCCATCTAGCCCCTGCTGTCTTCACCAGCACATCTCTCACCAGATAACTCTTCCCAATCCCACCCCATCACACCTCCTCTTCCAAAGTTCCAAATAGTGATGAGCCACCTCCCAGATATGGTCACTTCCTGCCCTTTGGAACCTGGCAGGTGGCAGGAACTACAGTGGTCTCTTGGCCTTGAGGCTCAGAGCTTACTGAATGCACTCAGTCCCACTTCTTCTGATCATCTCAGCTGGGACTTCAGATGCCCATTGAACTCTGCCCTTCTAGGGTTTACATGCAGGTGTCCTGAGCACCACCCCTAGCAGCTTGCACCCAGCTCTACACCAAATACAACCACCACCTTGTGCTGTCTCTATGTATACATTGGACTTTGTCACTAGGTAGATGCACCACCAGGTGAATGGGTGGATAAAGAAATGCCTCCGACACACTCCCTCTTCCTCTAACTCTCTGGTCTGTGCCAGCCTGCTTCTCCTGGGTCCTCACCACCCCCACCCTAACCTGCTCATGGCACCCTCTCTTGGAATTGGCTTCCTTGGCTGCCTTCCTAGAGGGAGCACATCTCTCACGGTCCAGATCAAGTTCTCCATCCTCCAGAAAACCCCCCCATACTCCAGAAACTTCCCATAACCCTAGTTTCTGACTTCCTGTAACCCTCCATGATGCTGCACCCACACCAGCCTCCAAGCATTCCCAGCATCCTAAACCCTGTGCGATCACCACACATGTGGGGGCCTACAGTCTCAGCCAGCTCCAAAGCCTATTTCCCAACCTTCTGGTCCAGCCCACCTGAGGGCTACAACACCCTCCTCCCACCCGGACCCCCGCCGGGACAGCAGCTGTCAACAGGAGTCGATGTGGGGCTCATGACCCTCATTAGAACTGGGAGGATAAATCAACATTGCCAGGAAGGGGCGGGGGTAGCCTGGAAATGTAGCGGACATGCGCTGATTCACTGTCCTGCGAGTGACAGAACTCTAGGACCCACAACCAGCAAGGCAAGCCAGACTGCGGCTCATTGGAGGAAGCCACATGGAAGGCAGGTCCTCAGGTGGCGACTCTGGTGGGGTCTACAGGTGTTCATGGTGTTCACCAAGCCACCTCAAATAGAGAGGACCTGATCAAAGCAGAAGCCATCTGTGGGGCCCCTCCTTGGCCAACATGGAGAGCACAGGCCTTGAGTCATGGTTCTGGGAGTCACCCCAACCAGATGCCCACTCCCAGTCCCAGTCAGAGGCAGTGTCTGCACATCTCCCAACACCTAAACCACAGACCCCTTTCTCACTCAGCCAGGGGCAATCAGGGGACCCCCTCAGACACTCACATGCTGGTTCCTCAGGGAGTCCCAGGCAGGGGGCAGCCAGGCGGGCTGGGAGGGCTCCATTGTCTACTGGCCCCACCCAGCTCGTTAGGAACAACATGTTGCTCTAATTACACTTCCCAGGAAAAACAGTGTTTTACATTAAAGCCTTGGGGGAGGAAGAAGGGGGGGACCACTGGGTTCATTTTCCTGATTGCAAAACACCGAATTCTTCCTTCTAGCGGGTCTGGGGGCAAAGGAGAGAGTACCTGGGTACCTCTCAGGGTAACAGCCTGAAGTCTGTGGCTGGGATGGGACTCAGAAGGCAAGGGTGGACAACGTGAGAACAGCCTCCTTACAGGGCAGCCCCTGGCATGCTGTAGAACCCAGCAGGAGAGAGGAAGCAGGACCCTGGTACTCCTCCAGCCATGTTCCCTGAGATGGCCAGGACCACATGCCCATGGAGCCCAGGACCCCAGTTTAAGAGGGAGGCATTCACACCCCTTCTGCTGTGTGTGTGTGCATGTGTGAGCCTGTGTGTGGTTCTCACAGCATGCACACACGGACACGTGCACACACCACTCTCCAGTTCTCAGGAAATCTAAAATTGCCGTTTCTTTGAACTCATTCCCCTTGGCAGCGCGGCCCGCCTTTGTTCTCCAGACAAAAAGGAAAAGAAAGAGACGGAGGGCTCAGCAGAGGCGGGAGAAGGAGGGAGACAGGGCCAAGGAGCACACAGAGGAGGAAGACACGCAGAGGGAGAGTGAGGAAGAGGCAGAGAGAGAGAGAAGACACACAGATGGGAAGATGAGCAAAAGAGCTCAGAGAAAGCCCTCCCTCTGCCCGTACCCATATCCCAGCCAATGCCATCACATGTGACAATGTTCTGCTTGCCCTTTACAACCTCACAGGGACCTTCCAGCTGGACACAGAGCCTACATAAAAGGGGAATCTTGTCACCCACCAAACTGATCCCCTAGCATTACTCCCTAGCATTCCCCACCCACCCTTTCTCTGAAGCCAATCTCTGCTTCTAAAAGTCAGCTCAGTGCCATCTCTGCCAGCAGACCCCCAGCCTGACAGCATGTCATCGTGCATGGCACTCTGGCTCCCGCCCTGCCATTTCTGTGCCTGACTGCACTGACCGAACGCCTCTCTCCACAGGTCAGAGCACCCCTAAACCAGGCTGTAAGGCTCAGCGGCCACACTAGTCCAGGTCCCCATTATCACCAACAGTCTCTGAAGCCTCCTTGCTGATCTTCCTTCCCTCCCACCCCTGCCCCGTAGCCAGTGGTGCAGGAGCTAAGCGCTCAGCAACGCCCTTTTGAAGCCCTGCAAGGCGGCTGCTGCACTCTTCCCAGACATCAGGCTGGGAGCCTGGGAGGGGCTGAAAGGGAGGCACACCAGGCAGGGGCTTGGCCACAGCAACGAAGACAGAAAATCCCACTGAGGCGTCAGGCTTCCTGCAGGAACAGCAGCAGCAGCAGGACTAACCTGCCTCCACCCACTCCCAGGGCATTCTTAAAATCAAGTGGGACCTAACATCTTGGCACCAGTGTCCCCTTCCAGTGGACTGAGTTATGGCCCCCAGGGCTGGGTTGGCCTGAGGTCCCACAGAGACCATGGAAGGTCACAAGATCATCCTCAAAATGTTGCCCCCCAAGCCAGTTGACACTGCAGCACCCAACTAGGTCTCAGGCCCTGAGAACCTGCTGGCTCAGCTCAGCCTGTACACCTGGCAGACCCCCAGAACTTGCTGTCCCCTGGCCCTGCTGACCGCTGTGTGCCCTCAGCCTGTGGCCCAGCTGGCCCTGCAACAGGACACTTGGCCTAGAAGCTGCTGCTTGGCTCTGCTTCCTGACAACGCAACCACAGCCAGATCCCCGCTCTCAGAACCCAAGCCCTCACTGCTGTATATGACAAATCCAGTTATTAAGAACTGAGACCTTTTCTTTTTAATAACTCATCCTTGGGCTGGGTCTTCTTCAGCTCAGGGCTGTGGGTTTTGGCCACAGAGCACTCTCAATCAAGAGCGAGGGCTCCGTGCTGCCTCCCTGGACAGGACCTGGGCTTCAGGGCCAAACCGGCAGTCTTTTGCAACCGCAGCCAGGAGCAGGAGGCGGCCTGTCGGGCGCGATCACAGCCAGCTCACTTGGCGGACCCCACCTCAGTCTGGGAGCTACAGGAAGTGAGGTAAGGGGTGCAGGGCCTGCGGCTCCCACATCCTGACCTTGCACTGCTAGTCCAAGTCGCACCAGAAATGTCAAATGGTGTCTGCTCCCAGCCTGGGGATTCCCTGATTGATGGCATGAAGTGGCTGCTCTCTCCCCAGTTCTGGTTCCTTTCCCCAGCCTCTGCCCCCAGCCTCTGCCCCCAGCCTCTGCCCCCAGCCTACTCTCAGATGTCCAAGAGTCTGTAAGAGTGTGTGCTTCTCACACACATCCCAAAGATAGTGTCCCTGCTTCCTCTAGACACCAACCCCAAACTTTCACCAGTCCCCATAAATCCCCAACCCACCATGTGTCCCCAAAGCCAGCCCTTGGACCAAAGGTGTGTGCCCACCCTCTTCCTAAGTGCTACAACTTCTGGCTGCCTCCAGCAGAAAGCCTTCCTTGATTGCTTTGGCATTCATGGACATGAGCCACCAGGGACACTACCAGGTAAGACTGGGCACTGCTGTCCATCTGGCCTCCTCCACCACCAGGACACAGCTTCAGCAGCCCTGGTTCCACAGGGAGCATGGGAAGAGAATCCAGACAGATCTCTACATGGCATAAGTGACCACGGAGCACCAGGCATCTAGGAGGTTCTGGAGTGTGTGTTTGCATGTTGCCAGCCTTTCCTCACTCATTTACTACTCACCCACTCCTGCCATGGGGGACAACCTCGAGGCTCTGGCTCACCTCATCCAAGATCCTTGAGCTGTCTGGCACCTGCACCATGCGTGGGATATTCCACATCCAGGAGATGGAGGAGAAAAAGAGACAAGTTCTGCATTAGTAATAGGAGCACTAGGCTGGGCCAGTGGATGACACCACCTCATCCAGTCAAAGATGGTTGCTTCCCAACCATACCTCCCTCCCCACATCATGTGGCCCCTAAGGAGAATGCAGTGGAACCCTATGCAGAGGGATGGGCAGGAACAGCCAAAGCTTAAGCCCAGATTAGCACCCAGGCAGCCCCAAGAAGACAACAGGTGTAGCCCTAGACCTGCTGAACCTGCCAGGGCACTTGGACTTGGCGATCAAAGAACTACCTGGAATCCCCCAGGACTGTTCAGAACAGAGAACTGCAGCTAGGGTAGGGCAAAGAACAGAAGGAAAGAGGGAAGAAAAGGAGGAGGAGGAGTGTGTGGCTTGGAGTGGCAAAGCAGGGCTTGTAGGGTGAAAATCATCTGGAAATTGTAAGGGCTCCTTTGGAAGGGCATGTGAGAATCCCACAGCTGCCACTGCATCTAGCCTGCATTAGTACAGTGAGTCTGATTGACCTGGGTCCCTGGTAAAGGGCTCCCCTTTCTGCTGTTATCCCAGGAGAAAAAAGGCAGAAGGAAGAAGGGGAGAAACCTCGGACAGATAGAGAGAGAAAACGACCTCAGTGCAGGACCAAGGGACCACTCCTGGAAGTCACACACACACACACACACACACACACACACACACACACACCCCTGGAGGCCCCGTAGCCCCAGCTGGTGCCAGGTACACCTTCAAGGTCTCTGTCACTAGCTGCAAGGGGACCCCAGCAGTTCACTGGGATCCAACAGCCATGGGGCCACATCAGGGGCCCTGAACCCTAGTGGAGCAGCACTGGAGGACATCCAGGCTTAGGCCACACCCCCCCAGAATGGGTGGTCAGTCTGAAGCAGGAAAGCAAAAGCAAGACTCACCTCAAAACCAGGAATGTGGTGGATGGCCGGCTGGGGTGAAGGAAAAACACCATTATCATGTGACTGTCCCCAAGGTCCCCATCTCCTCATCTCAGCCCCAGCCTGGCAACCATTTCTTCAACAGACAGAGGCATGCAGAGCCCACCCTTCAGGAAGGAGGCTGAGGGCTGTGGCCCCTCCAGACTCATCCCCCCAGGGCAGTCCCCATCCTATCCAGTGTACATTTGGGGTTTACATCATACCCAGAGCAAGTGTGGGGACAAAACTCTAACCCAAGCTTCTGATTTCACAGTGGGGACATGACTAGGGCCACAGCTGAGCCATGCTGGAGTCCACATGGGAATGGAGTTACTGCCCTTCCCCATCCCGACACTCCCTATCCCCTGCAGCCGGACTACAGAGGTCTTCTTCCCAGAATTCACATCAGGAGATGACCCAGGAGAAGAAACAGGAGTGGGAGCAGGGCACTCAGATACACAGCCCAATACTATCATGTGTTGGGTCATGTCCTAATCAGGGCTGCAGAAAAGACAGGCAGAAAGGGCCTCAGTGGAGTGGTGAGGGAGGGCTGGCATTGGTGGTAGCGGGGGACCAGCCTCACCTTCTCTCTCTGGATGAGTTCAAAGGAAGCCAGCAGCTCTCCGGCTGGCTGACCACCCCGCAGCAGTGGGAACCAGGCCAGCCGGGGTGTCCGCTCCAGACTTGGCTGACAGATGCAGCGGCCTATAAACTCATCAGCACCCTAGACGAGGCATGGAGAAGAGGAAGTCAGGGATCTCCGAGTTGCCTCCTAGGGACCACAAAACTGCTTCCCTGGACCTCTGGGCCTTGAGAATCAGGGCAGCCCCTGTGTAGGACAGTGAGCCCTGCTCTCCTTAGAGGGAAACCAGAACCACATGAGACTCAGCCAGACACTGGCCACCATGGCTGGACTTGTGTTACCAGTGTGTTTGGGAAGTCCTTCTGCAGGTCTAATTCATGTCCACCCTGCTTTTATGGGATTCAGCTTCGTGCCTTTTAAAGACCAGAGAACCAAACCCTCAGCAACATAGGGGCTTCATGTCCATCCCTTCTTAACCATGATCACACTCATCACATTAAGTCTAGCTTGTGAAAATGCTTTCATCTTGTATTTCTTAGCCAAGCACCTTCCTTAGCTCCATGCTGATACCAAAGGTCCACCCCATACATGGGCACCCCTCCCTCTCCATACTCACTCCAACCCTCCCTACTCCCCGCCTCAGCTTCCTTTCATCCCTCGTCCTTGTGTGGCTCAGTCACCGTGCTGCCCAAACCCAGCCCTGCCACATGGGCCTCTATGACGTTGCCTGCCTGCACACTCTAGACCTCAGCCTCGCCTCCCCTAGGGCAGGGGTGCCCCGCAGAACCTCCCCTCACAGTCTGACAGCATCTGAGCATCTCTCCAAGGCCAGCATCTGGAGACACTGAGCAGAAGCTGGGCAGCACTGCTGCCGAAGGGGGCTATCCTAGAATGACCACCAGCTCCTGCAGGGTCATCTATGTCATCAGTAGAAGACAGTCTACACCCTAAACACTTAGAGTGGGCAGCAGCAATAGCCCCGGGAGGGTTCCATGAGCTTCTATGGGTCAAGTGTCACCCCTTGAGCTGCCAAGTCCAGAGAGGACTGAGGCTGGTCAAGGATGGCAGGTGGGACAGCAGGAGAGAAGGGTGACAATTATTTACCAAGAGGTGTGGGCTTGCAGCATACACACCCCCTGCCTTGCCCAGGACCCTGAAGCCTGCTGAGCCACCCAGAAGAGGCTACAGTTCCTCTCCCCTGTGATCATCCCTGGGCTCTGGCCTGCAGCTGACTGACAGGGTCAGTGCATTTTTGAAAGAAGAGATGGTTAAAAGCTATCATTGGAGAGCACCTGTGTCCTGACAGGACCAGCCTGGCCTGGGGGTGATAGCGGGATGAGAAGAAGGAGGCAAAGTTTGAAAATTGTTTCCAGAAATAGTTTCCATGACTGGCATACCCACACACAGCTATGGCACAGCTTGGGGAGCCTCCCAGCATGCTTTGCAGCCCTATTCACATCTGCTGCTTCTGCTCAGTCCCCTTAACCCAACACCTGCAGAGATGTCAGGCCCCAGGCTCTTCTCCAAACATCCCAAAGCAACCTCATCGCCTGTGGCACCAGCCTTTCCTCAGAGAACACCCAGGAGAACTCCCAGCCCAGAGCTGTGTGGTCTACTGTCACTGGTTCCCATCAAAAATGGCATCATCCTCCCCTACCCGCTGGGTAGCTCCCTCTCTCAGGGCACCTCACCCTTTCAGGTGATGGCACCTGATATCCTGATATCCAGCCATAGCAGCTTGCCCCAAGACATCTTCCAAATCCTGCCTCCTGCCCTCTCATCCCCTCCCCCAGGCCAGGCCTCTCTGCCATTGTGCCCAGGAGACTGACGCCACCACACTCCACTACAACCCAACCTTCTCTTGTCCAAACACCACTATGACCCCATCAATCTCTTAATCCCAGTCTCACATTTCTTTTTCTTCCTTCCCAGACTGCCTTCTCTCCTTACAGTCCCTCCCTCACCACTCTGCCATCTAGGAACACCTCAGCACCCCAATTCTACATTTCTCTAACATCCTCCCCGACCTTATGGCCATGGCATTGTCTCCCTCCAAGAACCTTGCACAGTTGTGCTATCCAATGCAAGAGCACTGGCCACTGGTGCCTATTTAAACCCACAAGTCAGTGCAATTAAACTAAGGGGACAGCACTGTGGCATGGCCAGTTAAGCTTCTGCCTGCAGTGCTGGCATCCCATATGAGCATTGGTATGAGTTCTGTCTGCTTCACTTCTGATCCAGCTCCCTGCTAATGGCCTGGAGAAGCTAGAAATGCCCAAGTGTTTGAGCCCATGGAAAAGCTACCAGCTCTGGACTTGGGGAATATCAGGAGCCAAGAATCCACGGAGACCCAAACTTCCACCTTCAGGGCCATCTCTCCCCTGGGGCAGAGGAGGGCAGAGGAAGCCTCTGACTCACATAGGTGTCATGGTCGTACAGCTCCACTACGATGCTGGGCGGCTGCTCAGTGATGCTGGCCGGCTCACCAAAGATCTCGATCTCATAGAAGATGAGTGTCTGGTCCCAAGTGGGGTTCAAGGTGTTCTTGGCCACCACTGTCTTCTGGCTTTGGTGCAGGAAGGAGACGATAGCATAGGGATCTGTTCGGACCAGGGCAAGGGAGAGAGACAGGATACAGCATTGGACGGTGAGTATCACCTGCGCAGATACTCAGGGTCGCAACAACAACTCTCAGGATCCCTTGGTCCCAGGGGTCTCTCCCCACCCATCTGCGAGGAGAACTGGGCACCTGGTCATAACAATGAGCATGAGATGCACAGAGCTTCCTGCTCCAACCTGGACAAAGTGAGCACCTGCATGATCCACCCAATAAACAATTATTAGGTGCCAATGGCATGTCAGGCTAAAAGCTGGGTGTTCGGCACTGAAACTCCAATTTGAGTGGAAATGGAAAATTCCCAAACGCAGAATGACAATTTGGATCAGAGCCTTGAAGAATAACCATACAGTGCAACAAAGAATGTTGGGGAAATACTTGCTCCTGGGGCAAGCAATGACAGGATGCCATCATGGAGCACAGATTGGAGGAGTTGAGATGCCAGTTAGAGGCTCCTGCAAGAGCTTGATTAGAGATAGTGAGGGTTGAGCTAGAAGTGGGTTGTTAGTGAGAGCACCTGGCCCCAGAAGTTATTCAGCAGCGGGGATTGCAAGGTATCTAAGGCCCTGGCAATTCCCTTCTGCCACCAAAGTCCTTCCCAGTCCGCCAGGCCAACCACAAGTCCCTCTCTGTACCAAGTCCCAAAGGTGAGAGTCTAGGAAGTGGTTCTTGGAAGTGAGCATGTGGAAGCACCTGGAGGCACAGGCAGACTGCTGGGTCCTCAGAAAGATGCCAATTTGGCCTGAGGATGTGCCTTCCAACACACTCCAAGGTTGATTCATGGCTGCCTTTGGAGGCCACACAAGAGAAATCAATGCAGGGAGAGGAGCTGAGGGCTTGGGGGAAAGGTACCCTCCAAACAGGACTTAGTCATACAGCCAGGAGCCGCCTTGTCATCACTTCATGAGACTCAGAGTGCCAGATGAGAAGGGCACTTGGACAGGCAGGCAGAGGCTGGCAACCAGGTGCTGGATGTGTGGGAGAGCCGAGTCTGTGCCCTTGGCAGCCTGCTCCTTCCTGCACCTGCCCTAAACCCGCTGAACTCACTGCCCAGGCCAAGCACTGCCATTAATACCTCATGTGACCTGAGAGGTAACCACCTCTGGCTCACTGGCCAAAGAAAGTGATGGGGATGTCCAAACCAAGCTCTGGGGGCTGCAGTGGGGAGAGACGGGACAGGACAGACTGATGGCCACAAGGAGACCAAGGGACATGCTACAGCCACTGATTGGAAGGTACAGAAGGGCTGAAGGGTGTGACTTAGGAACAGGTAGGAAATGTGGGTGGGCACTAGCAGGACTGCCCTAAAGGGATGAAAGAAACAAGGTCCAAGAGGGTGGCTATTGCCCCCAAAGAACTGGTTTTAAGAGAGAGGGTCACCTACATTAAGGGTAGAAGCTACTGGGCAGATACAGGCTGAACAACACTGGGCTTAACTATTAGGAAGCAGCCACCAGCCTGGACAATCAGAGAAGCAAGACCCAGTGGGGACAATCCTGGAGGGCTTCCTGCAGGAGGCTGGTCTGAACCTGCTTCTGGGAGAAGAGGGCTGCAGGAATGGTGGTGGAGAGATGCCCAGCATATCTTGCCTCCTCCACCTGGCAGGAGCCTCCCTGGCACAGAGCTCTGGGTTCCCTGGCAGGGCTGGCCACGATCCTTCTGCCTCCTGCCCCTGGCAGGGCCCGGCGGCGTCTGTGCGTGTAATGAAACCGTCTGGCTGTGATACCATCAGCTCCAAGTTCGGCAGAGAACCTCTCCCAGTTCCAGTAAGGGAAGGAGGGCGCGTTCCGATAAATAAAACCATATTAGAACGCCGTGAGAAAGCCCCTTTTGTTCCCGCCCCCTGTGCTTCCCCACGCTTTATTTTTATAAGCGTGCGGGCCCCAGCCCGACCGCATTTACACAGAGATCACAATTGCGCATTGTCGCGCCATGCACACTGTATTGGTGTTGGCAGCACCCCCACCCCCAGCCCCCAAGCAGCCCGGCCCTTTCAGCAGCACCCCCACCCCCAGCCCCAGCTCAGGCAATGAGCTCAGCCCAGGCCAGGCAGGGGGTGGGAGTAGGGGAGGGTCTCAACAAACTCACCCAGACCCGCACACCCACCCCCGCCCCCCGGGAGGAAAACACACAACAAAGGCATTGTAAAGAGCAGGCCTGGAGGCCCCAGGCCTCAGACACTGGGCTACTGTGTGCTGGGGCCTGGCCTCTCCCCCACAGGGCCAGCCCCTCCCAGAAACCAAAAGGAGGTGCAGGGGCATTTGTTACAAGCAAGGTGGTCAGATTCAGGAAAGCCAGATGGACGGATGCACAGACAACTCAACCATCACCAAGTCAAGCCAAGCACCCCGGAACAAGGGAAAGAAGGTCTGAATACAAAGTCCCCCAGGACCCCAACTGATGAGACAGAATAAGGAAGTGGGCACAAGAGCCCAGCAGGCTACTCCAGCAGTTGCCAGAGCCAAGCCCCTAGAACTCCAGGGAGGGACCTGTATATTCATACTGGAGCAGGCTCTCCCAGAGGGGTCCCCAGGCCAGTCAATGTCACCACATTTATCAGAAGACTAACTCACAGGCCCAGGACTAAACCCCCAGATGCCTAGACCAGGGCCTGTTCCTCCTGCCGTCCTCACTAGCAAGTAAGAGAGGCTGGGGAGGAGCTCCAGCCATCCAGGATATCCAAATTCAAACTAAACTGGGGCAATATTTTTCCCCCATAAAGAACTTAAATCACTTAAGTCACTTAAAATCATAAAATGCGGTACTGGCAAAAGTTGAAAAGAGGGGAGTGTCCTTCACAGCCAGGAGCAATTCGGCAACTCTGCTGAAAAGCCACCGGGGCTGCCCGCCCTGAGAGACACACACCCCATCGCAGCCCTATCACCTATGTGGCTGAGCATCACCCAAGTGAACTCAACTGCCGCGCATACAAAAATGCTTGCTGTGGTCCTCCCTGAGCATCAGAAGTCACTGAAAAGACAGTGGCAGAGCAGCTAGCCTGGATAGAGCAGCAGGGTGCCAGAACAAGAAGAATCATGAGACCCCAAACAAGCTCTAGGGACCACAGCAACTGGGAGAAAGTGGGAGTCAAGCAACAGGGAAGGTGTGCCTTACTGGTGGAGCACACAGGTGCTGAGCATGAGGCATGCCTGACTGCAACCTGCTAGCCTCCTGGGACTCTTAGCAAGTGACAGTTTGGACAAATCCAGGCAGAGAGAGCCTGCCAGGGACCCATGTTCACAGGCTGGGACCCCAAGGAGAGAACAGCAAATCCTTATTCTGGTGGAGGAGTGGACAGGTGGCCAAGGGACCAATCACAAATGTCTTGCATCCACATAGAGGAAGCAGCTTGGACTGCGTCCTGCAGGTCAACATTCCCCAGAATTGTGTTCACAAGGCAGGCACTCTGTCTGGGGAGCTGCTTGAGCAGGTTAAACAGACTCCTACCCATCCAGGCCTCATACCGCCACTGCCCCACTAGAACGCTCCCTGCACTGTGAACCCCCAACAGTGAGGCGCTTCTTGGCCTCCCCAGCTCAGGAACCCCTTGTAAGTAAACTATTTCACACACCCCTAGTGCATGCCGGAAAATACCCTCTTAAGCTCCCACATGGAAGGCCCAAGGCCAGCACCAACCTTAACAAAAGGCTCTGCTTAAAAACAGCAGGGGAGGGAAGCTGCATCACCTGAGCCCAGAGATGGCACCAGAACCCCAAAGCCAGAGTTCTCCAATATCACCAGGACGCAGCCCAGCCTGGGTGCCCAGTGAAAGCACCAGTGCCTGGGTCCACCACAGCTCATCAGACACACTGCAGTCCAGTCGATCTATCAGGAACACCCTAGGAACACCCAACTGGCACATGGCATTGATGCCCCAGCAAAGCAAGCAGAGACCCTTCTGCTTTCCTGATGCCCCAACTCACCCACCCATCACAAACAAGTAAGGCAGCACCTGGCTGTCTAGCATCGCTCATGTGCTAAGTCAGTCAAGTCAGGCTCCCTCCCAGGAACACAGCAACCTCATGACAGAAGTATGGGAGGGTCCTCCATGGGGGAGAGGGCAGGGGCAGGGAGCAGGGACAACTCTGCTCCTCCATGCACACAGCAGTTTCAGATGTGGAGGGGCAAAGCAAACAGCTGCCAACTCTCCTACCCCCACTTCCTCCACCCCTACCCTTTCTCTTTGAATAAGAGCAATCAATGAGGAGTGATGTGTGCTGCTATTCAGGAGTGTGACACTACACATTCCAACCAAAGGGGTGGCTGAAGGGAGGCAGATGTGGTGGGGACCACCTCCTGGGTGCCACATCCTCTCCAGCCCAGCTTCCCAGCCGTGAGCAAAGCCAGTACATGCTGCAGATGCTGACAAGGCAGGGGCGGTCTCAGCCCAGCATCACAGAGAAGCCAGCTGTGTGAAGCATCGTCTTCCATATGTAATGCTTCATCGGTTGCTGGGGAGTGGGTGCAGGGGGCGGCAGGGAACCTTGTTCACACCCACACAGGCACCTGCCATGAATACACTCCCACTGGTTCAGGGGACTGATGCTGCTCTCGTGCAAATCTCAGGGTACCCACCCTGTGGCATCTCCGCAAGCATCTTCCTCTCCAAGTTCTGTGTTAACAGGTGCTGCTCTCATCTCTCCACTGGAATCCTCAGCCAGGGACAAGCAGCAGACACACCCTGACCTCAGGGTAGCCCCAAGGCCTGCCAAGCAGCAGGCGGGGGTGGAGGAGGGCAAGCAGGCAGCAGCAGAGCCTGGTGGTTAAGGAGAGCCTGGGTCTGCTCCTGTCCTGAGGCAGCCAGCAGCTAAAAGATGCCACCAGCAACACACTGTGCTCGACCCTCCCGGTCTAGACATTCCAAGTCACACATGAGTTTCCTCTGAGAAAGGCCAGCCGGTGGCCCTGCACAGCCTCCGGCTGCCAGCCACCCCAGGTCAGTTCCCAGGGAGAAATTGCTTTGGTTTAGGATTGGGAGTGAAAATAAACACTCTGGGTTTTACAGGTTCCCCGTGTGGGCTGCTGTTTTCCTTTGCAGCAGCTGCTCAATCAGCCCTTTCATTGGGAAAACAGCGCCTCTGAGGAAGCCCGAGGCAGCACTCTCAAAGCTCAGGGGAGGTTTCTCTGGGGGAGGGGTGGAGCCAGGTTGGAAAGAGTGATGTGGCCCACAGGCCAGTGCCAGGCTAACCCTCCAGTGGTCGACCCTCAATGTGAACACGGATTCCTCTTGGTGCTCCCCTTGCAGAGTTCCTTCCACATGGACAAGAGGTCTGGGCCCCGTCAGGGTTACGTGCTCTGCATGAACCTGCTGCTTGCACCTTCACCTCTCATACCTTCACAAGAAGGGAGAAGAAGGAAGGCTGTGAAGCTGGCCCATTTCTTTTTTTCTCTAAGTTCTGACTTCAGTTTCCCAGGAAGCTGTCACTGCACAGCATCTGTCTACCCCTGTCTAGCTTGCTGGCTTCTGCGCAGGCATTTGAGATGGTCTCAGCACCCTGGCCCCAAAGCCCAAATGAGAAACTACTGCTTGCACCATGAGCCTGGCTGCATGGGGATGGGGGATGAGTGCATGATGGGAGCAAGGAACCTGGGACCTACAGCTGCTAAGAGGGAGGACATGGGCCTCATCATGGAGCAAGACAGCTGGCAAGGCAGCAGACAGGCAGATGGATAGAAATTGCTCTCTAAGAACTGAGTCCTGTTCAGCCAAATGACAGACCCCTGCCTTGGGCCATACCTTGGCTACCCTCACTCTGACAATTGAACCCATCCATCTGTCTCCATTCTACCTCCTGTGAGATAGGGCTGCTGTCTGAGTGACAGGAAAGACTGTCAGCAAGTACCTGAGCCCACCGTGACACTTGGGGGTGTTTACAACTCAGATCCCAGGTGCTTCCAGATCCAAAGACCCATGCCCATGGGAACTCATGATCAATATGGGAAGATGCTGGCAGATGGATCAGTCCAGTCTGAGCAACAGGTGTGAGGGCAGTGAACCAGGTGATGGTCAAGGACTGAGAAAGGAACCACCAACTTGGCTCACAGTAAAAGCACAAGGCATCTAAGCAGGGTCCTGGAGGAGAACAAGGAGTTCTCTGGGCTATCAAAGGGGAATGCCTTCTAGGCAGAGAACAGTCAGCTTGAAGATCAGGCACATGGAAGAGCTTGGCAAACAAGCAAAAAAAAAAAAAAAACCAGGGGCATGGAGCTGGCAGAGGGAGCAGAGCAAGTGAAAAGTGAAACAGACAGGGTCCATCATGATCAGCCTTCTGAGGAGCCAGAGCTGATTTGTCAGCATCAACTTGTGAAAGCAGGAAGCAAGGTTGCTGGGGTGTGCTGGGGTAGAGTGGAAGATAGCAGGGAAGGAACAAGAGGCCTAGATAAGAAGGGGAGAGGCGAGGGGAGACCAAAGAGGAGTGAACAGGGCAGGGAGAGATTTCAGAAGCAGTATCCACAGGACGAGGTCAAAGTCGGCTGCTGGTCCCAGGATCAAAGCAGCAGATGCAAGAGAAGGTAGGAGGGTAGGGTGGCCAGGAGTCAGATTTGGACAGAGTGGATGCATTGATCAGCTGCAATCTGCGATGCAGCAGGGGGAGGAAGAGGATCCAGGACAGAGTGACAGGCTGGAAGCCACAGCCAGAGAGGAGTCTCAAGAAGCAAGGGTGGCCAACCATGCAGAACCCCGCAGGGGAACTAACCAGGCCTTGAACAAGAGGCTGTGGCACCTGCTGAGCATCAGGTTGACCCAGGACCCACAAGGGGCAGTCTCAGGCCCTGCCTCCTGTGCTCCACGTGTCTCCATTCTCAGCCCTCTGTCCCTGGTGCTCCCCCAACCATTCCACCTACCAGAAAATGAGTCCTTGTCCATCGCAGGCAGGTCCCGGGCCTGGTACATGTAGCAGCGTAGATGATAGCGGTTTCCATCTTCACCGAGGGAGAAACACAGATGCCAGAGTAAGGGGCTGGGTGACTAAGAGCTGGCACTAGAGGGGAGAGGAGGTCTGTCCCTGGTGAGGGCAGCAGACAGAATGGCAGAAGTGACTTGGGCCACCAGGCTGGGATGAGTCTCTGGGGGGTGAGGGAGCAGGTTAGGAGACAGACCACCATTCACAGGCAGATATGGGCACAATGTATCCATCGGCCAGGCTAGAGCTGAGGGGGGCAGGGAGAACAGGTCAAATGCCCAATGGGGCAACCACAGGGCAGTCAGAGCCCTGGAGGTCCAAGCTCAGGCCAGAACCTGTGTCCATGTTGCACATCAACATACATGCAGAGAGGCACGGATACACCAAAACACACAAGCCTCCATCCTCCAAGGCCTCCACAAATATGTCTGTTTACAGAACCCAATACAGGCAGAAGCAGAAGTATAAATCCACACCCCCACTAAGGGTCCCAAGCATCACTTACAGTCAAAGATGCAGGAAATAGTGGGTCTGTTCACGCCGAAGCTCAGTGTGGACACTGACATGGAATCCTCACTCCTGTCGTCCACCACACCACCCTGGAGACACAAACCTGGTCATGGTAGATGCTTGGGGGCAGAGTGCCACCTGAGCAAGGAACAGCACTGAGAGGACCCAACAGGGAAAAGGATGGTCTCTTCCCTGCAGCACGCTGCATTTCAGCCATACAGCACTCAACACACAGCACTCCACACTACCATGGAGGGACAGACACTGCCTGGCAGCATCTCACAGCACACACCCGGAGAGTCTGCACAGGAGCATATCACGGCTGCAGCTCAGAGGGTGTTCTGTCATGGGAGCTGCTCCAGGCATTGTGGGATGCTGACAAGCATCCCTGGCCTCAATCCACAGAATCCCAGTAGCACTGCACCCCCACTGAGTTATGGTACCAGAAGGAAATTATGCAGCTGCCCTTTGCAGCTACCTGGAACTCAGTGCCAGCTCTAGTGACATCAGCTTACCTGCCTCGCCTCTGCAGGCTCACATACACAGGACTCTCGTCCCCCTTACTGTCCTCCCTCTGGCCTTCTTTAAATGTCTTGAGTTCATCATCATCCATCTGCCACAGGGCCTTGGCACACACTCCTTTATCACCAACACCCAGCCCGACCAGCAGCACCCAATAGGCACCTCATGAAGACCCCTCACAAGCCACGCATGACCAGCATGGCCTTGTCCTATGCCACATGCATGGCACACAGGCCCAGGGACCCAACGTAAGGGACAGGAGAGGGTGCATCAGACACAGCAGCCACCTCCTTTGGGAAACACAGGGTGTGAGGCTGATACCACAGAGGAAAAAACCCTATCACAGGGACTCACACCCCAGGGAGGTGCCCTCTGGAAGTGAAGCCAACCAAAGGGTTTGGAAGGTCCTGTCCAGGAAAGCTTCCTGAAGGAAGGATTGAGGGAGGGTGTCAGGCAAGGAGAGCAGCAGTGCTGGAGCCCAGGGCAATGCCAGAACAGCAGGGAGGCTGCTCCCCCTTCCCCTGTCCCCCATCACATGCATGCACACACACACACACTCTCTCTCTCTCTGCTGCCCAGCCCCAGGCCAGGCCCAGGGCATTGAGTTTCCCACAATTGCATTCCTGCCTCCATAGCTCATACAGCTCCCAGGCTGAGCCTGGCAGCCACACGAGCTGTGGCCATGCACCCCATCCCGGGGGCTGGCTGTGTAAGGGATCCCACTGCCTGCCCAGGGGACTGGGCCCCCTCCAACCCACTACTGCCCAGCTGTAGGCCACAGCTCCCTGGAGGAGCTTGAGCAATGCTCAGTCTCTGAGATCCCACAAGGCTCCCCACCACAGGCGAGGGCCCGGAGCCAGAAGTCAAACCACCTGAGCCTGCTGACAGCTGATGTGCAAAGACCTCCACAAGGAGAGGTGAAAAGATTCTGGAGAGACACAGGGCAACAAGGACATTCTCCATCCTCCGAACTAAGTCAAGACTGAGCTGGAAACTCCTCATGCACCACACATGAATTCCCCTTAGTGATGGTGCCCTGCCCTCCAGGATGCCTGGTGCAGAGGGCTATGGGACCACAGCCCTCACCCTATTCCATACAGATACGACCAGGGAGCCCCCAAAGCAGCAGGTGCTAGAGCCAGCTCACCTGGCTCAGGGAAGCAGGCAAAATCTCCCCAGGATTTGCCAGCCAGTTGCTAGACCCAGCCATGAGGGGGAAGTAAATCATACAAACTCACAGAGTCGCTGCCAAAATACAAAGGTGGTGAATGCTCATGCTCAACCTATTTCTTTTCCCACGGCTCACCACTACCTGTGCTTTTGAGGTCACCTACACCTCACAACCCTGTGGTATAAAGTACCACGGACCAGCGTGCCACCACACAGCCCTCTGCAGCTCCCTGTGCAGTGTCGTGATGCTATTCACTTGACATTGGCCATGGCAAGGGTATTGACTTTCACCAGGGAGATCAACACATGCTACCAACCAGGGTTGGTGCTGTTTTCATTTGCTTTGCTTTTTCTGGGGAACTGGTTATAACACACGGACTGACACAGCCCTGGGGTGTCCACCCAGCCCAGGGGTATCCATCCAGCCCTGGGGGTTCACCCCAGCCCTGGGGTGTCCATCCAGGCCCTCACTGTCTTCTCTCTCGAACATCAGCATTGCTGGCCCATCAAGGAACAACCTGACAACCCAACACAGGGTACCTTAGACTCCACACCACCTGCCTATCGCCTGCAAGGCTCATGACTCCTCAGTTACTACTGGTCCTCTCTACCTGTTAGTGTAGCTGCACACTAGACCCGATCCTAGTGCCACAAGGGGCATTAAACGAGCTCATAGGTCTTCAAGGCAGAGTTAACAGGAGAGGCCTTCAGAACATCCACTGAAAACTCTTATTGTTTCAATTCCATTTTTCCAAAAATTTTTTTGAACCCTGATCATCCATGCCTTGGATCAGAGCTGAACAAATTATGCCTATCATGGACCACACAGTAAACACTTTATGGGCCATACGGTCTCCCTTGCAACTACACAGCTGCCGTCACAGCCAAGAAGCAGCCAGAGACAACACAGATGAATGAGCATTGGCAATGTGCCAATAAAGCTTGATTTACAAAATATGGGTGGGGGTCAGATTTGCTTACCCCTGCTCTCCTTAAAGAGGAAGCTTTCGTGGTTTTGAGCTATATCCTTCTCATCCCTGTCACAATGAGAAAGTTAGATCACAGGGTGATGAAAATCTTCTCTAGGGTTACACAGAGTCAGCAGAAAGGGAATGTCCTTGCCCACCCCGCTCCCCAGGCTCTTCCAAGACACCTGAGCAGGTCTCTGGAGCTGCCGTGGGGGAGAGGGAGTTCAGAGGTGTGGGGAGCACAGGGTCCCCTTCACGCTTCTAACTGCCCTGGCTTCACCTTGCAAAGAAACCCTACACAAACCAGTGGGCCAGACAGAAAGAGGAGAACCCTTTAAAAGAGAGGAGGGAATGCAGAAATTCCCAGACCTCCCTCCCGAATTCAGGGCCGGCTGCGATGTTAAGCAGAATAGCAGGCGAGGGTGCAACCCTGTTTAATTGACAGCTGGAGCCAGGCCTTGGAAGCGGCTGCTAAACTCCTTGCAAAAATGACTAGCTGGCCCCCAGGGAGCTGGAGAGTGGAATCAGGAAACCTGGAGAATTCCCAGTGCCACGTGTGGGCTGGCGCAGGCAGGCATGTGGGCCTGTGTCCCTCCAGGGTTTCCACAGGCCGAGGCTGCAGAGATGGCTCAAGCAGGTCTGACCCCACGCCACAGCGCCAGGGGGTCAGTTCAGTGCTGCATCCTGATTTGCCTGGCATGGTCCTACTTACTCAGGTCTGCTTTCCCAGCATGACCAATCATCAACCTCCCTCATAAATGCTCAAGGACACACATCCCTGGTGTGCTGACATTTGACTAAGGTACACGGAAGTCCCAAACTTCAGCATCCAAAACAACATGAAGCCAGGGTGCTCCCGGTGAGAGGGCTTCCCTAAGCTGTCCTTGTATATGAGCGAGCAACAACAGCCAGGAGGCCCCCACTGGGCAAGGGGAGCCAGCCTCAAGCTGGTCCACAATGCCCAGCACATAGCAGGTGCTTGGTTTGTCCATTCAACAGTCTAGGGACACATGACACTCCCTTTCAATGGCCCAGGTCCAGCCCCTGCTCTGGGCACTAACGAGGCAAACTCCTCACACCTCCCAGGCGTTGCCCTTGCTCAAAGTGCCAGCTCCGGGACTCATGCCCGAGTATCCTGCACACAGCCACACAGCAAGGCTTCATCCAGGCCCTTCCCTTCCCTTCCCACCCACACCCGACCTCCTTCTCAGCCAGCTCAAATCCCAAATCACTGCCGCCTGGCACCAGCTTCTCTCTGACCCCTTTCCCCAGTACTGTTGACTCCCAACTGGCCATCCCTGCAGCCAACGCCTGTCTCTGCTGGGTCCCATGGCCTGTGGCTGGAGACGCACACCTCCGCCAATCAACTACAGGCTTCCTAGGGTTGAGACGAGGCTGCCTGGTGATGGGAGGTGGCCCAGGGCTCTAGCCAGCTATGCACATCAAATCCTTCCTCCTGAGGGCCCCACTCTGGAGGAGAAACACCCCAGCCCCAATCCCATAAGAGAAGGAAAGCAGCCAGAGGAGCAGAGTGGATCCACTGTCTCGGGCCCAGCAGCTGGTGAGGTTCTTCTCTGCTCCCAGCATCTCCTGCAGTCATATGAGGTACTCAGGTGATTGCTTCAGAGCAGCACTGCCCAAGAGAACTTTCTAGAAGCAGTAAAGAGACTATTCTGGAGCTGCACTGTCCAGCCTGATAGCCAGCCACTGGCCAGGATAGTTCTAAAAATGAGGCCCATCTGAGCAGAAGGAAGCTCAATGTTCTTAGATTGCTCTAAGTGTTAAGTTTACATGGCCATGTATGTCTCGCTTAAGACAAGAGCAGTCCCAGCAACTCAACCACAGAACCCACCTCCACACATCATGAGATGCATGTGACACTAATAGCCTGGCGTGGCTGAGAAAATAGCAAAACCAATTTCTATAATTCTTGCACTCTTGGAGGAGTTGAGTAAAACCATGACACCTATGTGTATAGGTGCTCAGACTACACAGTCTCACACACACACACACCCCACTGTGTGTACTCATAGCCACATGTGCACACACATACTCAGATGACATGTACATACATATGCATTGCTTCATACATACTCAGGCCATAAATGCACTTGCACTCATGCACTCTCAAACTACACATGTGCACACACTATCCATTTCAAGTGTCTCCCACAACACCGGAGACAGGTTGAGCAAGCTCCCTCCAGCCCTTAAATTCTCCCAGGCTGTGAGTGTGTGTATAGACAAAGTCATATCTCTCCCCGACACACACACACAAGGCTCAGGCATCTCAGAAAACCCTTCAGGACATCCTGAGCCAAGCAAAGAGGCAGGCCTTGGAAAAATCCTCGCACACGAAGGGCAGGCCCAGGGCAAGGGCGACAGGATGGATTCCGTGAGCTCATCCCCAGCCGCCGTCACCAGAGTTCCCAGAGAGGCCCGTGGCGTCGGGAGGGAGTCACTGGGTGGGGGCCGGCGGTGGTGGCTGCGGCGGCAGCGAGGGGTGTGGGGCGAGGAGAGGGAGGCAGATGGAACACGCTATAATAGCGGCTTTGTGCTCCGCTTCCCAGCTCCCTGGGAACGCCAGGAAGATTATGAAACCCGGTGTCTTTGGGAATGCCAGGATATTAGCTGGAAAAAGAATAATACGAAAATAAAATAATGCTCGGGATGGAGACAGCAGACGATTAGCAGACGGAGCCAGGGCCTCCCGCTCCGTGGAGGGAGCCAGGCTTGGCCCCTGCAGAAGGCTTCAGGGAAAGGCTGCCGTGCTAATAAGCAGACGGGGCCTGCTTTCCAAAAAGACGTCTTCCAGAGCAAAACTGGCAACAGAGCCCGGCTTGCCTGCAGACCACGGGCCAGGGAAGTAGTGGCAGGAGACGAGGGCCATCCCCGGGCCTGGTCCTCGGACCAAGGCACCCAAGACTGTCCAATTACCAGAAGGCCACCTGGCTGCCTCCCAACATCTTCCTCCCCCAACAGGCACCGTCTCAGAGCCCTTACCTCCTGCACCTGTAGGACACAGGTGTTTCCCTGTGAGCACCTCTTCCTTGCCACAGTAAGTTACCACAGGCCAGCTTCCGCCAACCATGTCAAGTCACCATTTTATCTCTTTTCTTCCCCCCAAGGAGCAGGAAAGAAAGCATGTCATCTTGCCTCAACTTCCTCTCCAAGACCCAGGCCTCACATCACCAGCTGGACACGGGCACACCCTGCCCCTCTCCACCTTCACGATGCACCATGCCCGTCATATCCCCCTGCACTGCATCACTACTACCACCTGGCCATCATGCAGAGTCCCAGGTCCCTCCCAGGCTCTGAATCGAGAACCTGCAGCACAACGTCCCCAGACCAGACAGTGTTAACCCTGGGCAGCACATCTCAGAATGTGTCGTGTTTCCTCCTTGCAGTGACCCAGGCTGTGGGTCACAGGCACAAGTGACCCATCCCCAGCTGGCGGGCAAAGACCCAAGCCACATCTGTACTTCACCCGTGTGCCACGAGCATCCAAGGGACATCCACATGAACCAGAGTGGATGTGAGCCCAGAGCCTAGCAGGGGCCTCAGTACAGCCTGGACGAGGATGACAGCTCAGGGTGGGAGCCCAGCCTAACCTCTGCCCTGGCAGGAAGCACACAGAGGTGGCCGTGAAGAGGGATGAGGTGGGGTGCGGTGTGTGTCTGTGTGTGTGTTGGAGCTGACAGCGCTTCGCCTCCTGTGGGCACAGAATGATCCAGACGGCTGCTGTCAGATGTGCCTGCAGCTCCATCCAAACGCCAAAGACACCTGAAGGCTGTCCAAAGCTCTGCGGTCCTCCGACTCCAGGTCTGCGGGATCCACCCTCTTCAACCACTGTCTCCCTCTGGCACGCACTGCAGCCAAGTTCTCCCAAGACTCAGAGAGCCTCACTGCATGGCCATCTTGTGCCAGTCACCTCTGAATCACAGTCTGCCACCTCTCCTGTGCCTGGTGGACTTGACCCTCGACTGCAGCAACCCCTCCCCCACACAGACTCAGCCCCCAGTGTCTCTGCTTCTGGGGAATGCGCTGCCCCTCCTCCCAGCCTCCAGGCCACACAGTCATGCTCACCCTCCTGCAGGTCCCAGCCAGCCCCAGTGCCCAGCCACACTGCCATCCATAGCTCTCTGGGTGGGCACCCATGGCCCTTCCCATCACAGCTGACACTCAGACCCCAGGCCACCCTAACTCCCTGCCCCCAAGCGCCTGGCAGGTGGCCGCTAGCTCTGTCTTCCACCATGTGTGTCAGCCTTACCAGAGCCAGCAGTGAACTCATCGTGGCCCCAGGCCCGCCAGGCCACCTAGCAGCCTGGCAGCCTCACCTCTACCAGCTAAGCCCTTGAGGCCCGCCATGACTCTTTTTTCCCCAAGCCCCATCTCTCCACCCACCCTTCGCCCTGACCCATGGCAGCTACCCCAACAGTGGCCTCACTTTTGACCCTTGCCCACAACTCCGATAGCCTCCTGCTGGGAGGCTACCCCTCCCGTGAATGAGGAGCTGATGAAGAGTCCTGAAGCCCAGGTCAGACCAGAGCACTGCTCTGCTCCACAACCCACACTGGCTCCCTGCTGCCCACTGAGCGGAGTTCTGTGTAGCCAGCCGGAGCATTTTGCCCAGCGCTGTTCCCAGAGTCCTGGGCTCCCTTCCCCACCCCAACCTGGTGATGCCATCAAACACAGAGATTGACCGGTCTAGGACGGCCCATCAGAGTCCTCTCCATTCCTCACCCTCTCACCCCACCACCACCACCCTAGGCAGAGGCTGGCTCCAGTACAATACAGAGAGAAGCCAGTCACACCTGCAGGAGCAACATTGAAATGGCTAGCATGGTTGAGAAAGCAGCACTCTGGGGTCTCCAGCCAAGGGGAAAATAACAGCTCTCCACTGGCTGTGCCGGCTCACCCAGTGGCCACTTCTGGCTATTACAAAGCCATTAGCCATTTATCACTGGCACTATCTTTGCCTACGCAGAGTGCAGCAGCATGAGGCCATGCCACAGACAGGGCCTGGAACACCTGTGAACATCTCCTACTAGATAAAATCCCAGTCCACCTTGCAGGCTCCCCCACCTCCACCCCCATCAGTCCTCTTTCCTCTTGAGCCCATCTGTGCCAAGTTTCATGCTGACAGGAGCAAATCCCAGCTCCTCCGGATGGCTGCCCAGCCCCCTCACATCTGGCCCAGACCTGAGCCTTCCCTCAGGTTCTCCTTACCATCCAGCTGCAGCTGGAGCCACAGGTCACTCACAGATGCTGCCCCACTTCCAACCCAGGACAGCAGGACATACGAGCAGCAGGCCTTCCCCAGCCCAGGCAATAGGACCCCACTACCCTGTTCCTGTTCCCACCTGACCACCAGACACCCCCAACTTCCTACTTACACAACTCCAGGGCGAAGGAAGGCTTCACTCCCTTGTGTACATGGTAGGGGCTGGCTACTTCCAGACTGCCATAACTGCCAGAACTTCCTTGCCCTCCACTACCTCAGTAGGCCACTACTGGCTTCTATTCCTATTGCTGTTCCCACCCCATCAGACCCAGGGCCTACCCTACTGTACCCTTCACCCCAATCCCTACAGTTGGAAATTGTCCCACAAGTCTACATTCTAGCCAAATACATGAATGTACACACACATAACTGGTTGTGTGTGGGCAGCCGCACACCCAACTGCTAGCATAGCCATGGACTCTGCTGCCCAGGGTCACAGTCAAGGACCCACAGTGGAGAGGGAAAGAGAAGGTAGAAACAAAGACCTGGCTGGATCTCAGAGTGGGCATCTCATCCAAAGCCGCTTACTCTCACTCCCACCCATGAGAGCCCCAGACCTCAGGGGAAATAGCGTGCCCTCTGGCCCCAAGTGTCCCCACCAGACTGCCCCACAAGCACCTGTTTGTCTGTTTGCAGAGCCAGCTCATTGGCCACAGAGCATTCACCTCTGAGGCTCAGTTGCTAAAGCACCTCTCTCCCCCAAAATTCCTAGGGCTACTCATGAGGTGGCCCCTGTCTCACGAGTATGCCTGTCCAACCAAGGACACAGTGGGACCACCACACCCTGTCTGGTTTGTCACCCAGCCTCTTCCACAAGATCTGGGCTCCTTAGCTCCACTCAAAGGTCAGAGGCGAGAAGGCCAAAGTCAGCCTCTCTCTGTGTGCATCTTGGCCGTGCCAAGAAAGTTGCCACTTTATTTTCAGAGGAGACCCAGGCTGGCCAGTTCCTGGCCACAGGAACCAAGGCCGAGACAGCAAGCCAAAACTCCACCCTAAAGCCCTAGCCAGCACTGGCTTCCCACACCGGCCTCTCCCACATCCACACGGCACAGCTCTACACCCTGAGCCCCATCAACAGTAGGCACAACCCCCACGTACCAGGGCCCCCTCAAGAGCAAACACAGCTGCAGGCCCTGTCTTCTCCAGCGGCTCCATGCGGCGGCGCCAGCGGCGGCGTCGAAAGGCATCCGTCTTGCGATACTCCAGGTGGAACTTCCAGCCAAAGAGTGAGGCGTACTCCCAGCCCTCGCCCTCTGCCTCCGCCTGCCTGTGCTGCACGGGAGAGAGTGGGGCAGATTCAGAAACTGTTTGGCAGGCCCATGGGGATTCCTAGGCACACCTCCTACTGTGCCTGCCTGTCCTCCATGACACCAGCTCCCACACCAACACCCTCCCTGTGAAGAAACCTGGGAGGGCTACCCGGAGGCAGTGGTTGCAATTCCAAGAACCCCAGGTCAGAAAATCCAGAGACAAGAGGAGTCTCCATGGACTGTGGGGGGGTGGGGGGAAATGGAGGGGCCAGAAAGGGAAGGTAGCCTGGGGCGGTGATGAAAACACTGGGCTTTGATTTGCTAATTTATTTGAGTTATAGGTAGACTGCATATAGCCAAGGTTTCCTTGTCATTTCCTTTTACTTCTTCACATCCCAGCCTATAAAATGGATGTGGGCTTATAGTTCACAGGCAAAATGAAGATCCCATTTCCTTGGGGGTGAGAGGCCGGGCCTTGGTCAGCTGTGGAGGGTGTCTCCCACACTTTCTTCAAAGGAGACTCTGTCCAGGTGCCTGGAAGCCACTTATCCCCAAGTTTCTAAGGCAGAAAGCCTGAGACTGTCACTCCACATTGCCTCACCTGGGCCACACACAATAACAAGAGCCGGCCCCGAGACCATCCATAGCCACTCCAGGGAGGCCCTCATGCCTGCCCTGCCTACCCCACCATCTGCATCCTGGGAACTCCTTAAGCCTATCTGCTTCAAGGCACCTGGAACAGCTGGTTGTCCATATTCCTGGCCCCCGCCCCCTCAGAACCACAGCTGTTCCTCCTCCCTGGACATTCTGTGCAGGGAGAAAGGAAGGAGCCCAGGTCTGGCCAGCGCTTCTCCCGGCAGGGAAGACCTAGTTGTGGAGCCACAATTCAAATATGCTCTTGGCCAGAAACGACACACCGGGCAAGAGGGAGTAGCAGCGGTGACCGAGAGACTGTGCAGAGCACAGGCATCTGTACGACCCAGTGGGAAAGCGTGTCTGCTGTGTGCACTCCTGCAGGCTGGCCATGCCCCATCATACCGACACACAACCGTGGTTATGTGTGCTCTCGCAGCTGGCTGCCCAGCACATGTGTACCACACCGAGCCAGCATCCATGCCTAGCACCCAGTCACTGTGTTCCAGGGAACTGCCCACCACTGCCGAAGGGAATGTCTAACCAGGGTGCTGTGGACCCCAGCAGTGCTTGGTCAGTGAGTGACAGCAAAAAGGACACACAGCCCAGCTCTCAGGCCTCATGACAGGGCCAGGTCAGTGTTCTCAGGGGCATGCCCTCACCACTGATACTCCTGAGAGAGTCCTTAAAGCCACATCTCAAACTTTGCTGCTAGGAAAGCAGGCTTCAGTCACACCCAAGTGGGCCTTTGCACCTTCTGAGTCTGTGGGTAGCACACTCGAGAAGACTTGGGCTGCCAACTGCGCTCTGTGCATATGTGAACTGGGTGTGTTCCATGCAAGCATATGGAACCATCTCAAGTGACTCTTGGGTACCTGTACATGACACGTGCACATCTGAGTGTGTCTGCACCTGCACCCAGTGGTGGCCTCCCTCCCACCACCTGCTGGCTCACCCTCTTCAGGGCTTCCATCTGGCTGAGGTCCCTCCTGCGCAGGCGCACCCAGCGCCGTCGGCGGTGCGTGTAGTACATCTTCTCAGCAGGCACCCAGTGCCTGGGCTTTCGATCCGGGGGCATGGCAATGCTGTACTCCCAGCCTGGGTGGAACAGCACCTGTCACTCACTGCCTGGCAGTGTGTCCTACCCTCCCCTGAGGGCCAGAGTCTCTGAGATCTAATCTGTAGCAGGAAGGGCTCCAGAGGAAGCACCCTCCAGGGGCCCTGACCCTCAGCTGCCCCCACCCATGGGGCAGGGCTGCCTACCTTGTTCATCAACGGCCCGGTTGAGGTCAGTGGACCACTCTTCGTCTTCCCACTTCCAGCCCAGAGGGCATTCAATGTCATCCTTGGGCAGTACCTTCTCCCCATTCTAGGAGGCAAACAGGATGGGTGAATGTAAACAGACAGACATAGCTTAGAGCAGAGGCAGAAGAGCAGCCCAGGCAAAAGGCAGAGCCACTGGGGACACATGTGATCCTGTGTCCACACATCCTGCTCCCGCTGGCTCCCACAGTGGTCCTCTGTGAATTAAAGCCAGCTCAAGGAGGGAGGACCAAACATCCAGGACCCCTGCCCCTAAGCACTGCTTTACCACATCGGTGTAGTTGTCACTCATGTAGATCCACTGGCCTCCGGGCAGCCGTGTCTGGTTCTCAAACACCTCCTCCACGAAGCTCAGGTGGCCAGCATCAGCGTCATGGAGCAGGCTGTGGGTGCAGGGCCACTCAGCACCTCTGCAGAAGAGACCCCCACCCTGCCATCCCAACCTTTCTCCAGGATAGCACTTGGGCCTTGGCCAACCTGCACCTGTCAGCCTCACTGGGAGAGAGATGGAGGGGAGAGTATAAGAAGAAGGGGCCAGACAACAAAAGGGAGAGCCAGGGACATCCAGGGCCGCAAGACCACATTGCCCAAAACAAACAGGGATGTAGACCAGGGACACTTAAAGCCAGTAAGGCAGCAGACAGTCAGGAGCTATAAGAACAGGAAATGCACGAGCTGCACATGCAGGACTGGAGTCCTCAGCTGAGTCAAATATTCTATGAACTGATTTTAATTAAAAAAATAAAAGTGGAGTGTCAAACAACAAAGAGGCAAGACAGCCATGCAGACAGAGAAGGGCCATGCTGATCTGAGAAAGGACAAAGAGAAAGAACCACTGGGAGGCACAGGTGAGCACCCCAGGAGGTGAGGACTCACACACACAATGCAGGTGAGGGGCTTGCTCAAGAGAGGGACTACACTAAACAGGTGCAAAGCTGAACAGAAGTGCTACAGTCACTAGGGCCCCTCCACAAAAGATTCCTGCCCCCATCCTGGGAAGACTCAACTGGAGCTCCCACAACCAGCCCCCCGGGGAAGCGAGTGCAGGGACCACAGCAATGCACAAAGCCGAGTCTGGGCAGAAGGGGTGGTGGTTGGCTTGACCTTCCCTGAGCTCCCCCTGTCCAGAACTCACGTCTTCTCCGGACACACGAACCAATCTCCGGCCCAGGCCCAGCCAGCAGAGGGACGGAAGCTGTCCTTGGGCAGCTTGATCTTGCCCGTCACGTCAGAAAACTTGGGGTAGGTGAGGCCCGTAGTGCCCCAGTTTCCAACCAGGGCCAGCTTGGTCTGGTTCTCATACTGGAGGGTGAGGAAGGAGAAGTTGTGAGTGGGATACGGTGGCTTGCAGCTCTGAGAGAGGCAGGGCCGAGGCAGCTGGCACTCACGGTTTCAGCAAAGACGGACAGTTTCCCTTCAGCGAATGGGTTGAACTCCTTCTCATCCACAGATAACCCAAACCAGAGCTTGACCCGAATCTGCACTGGCATCCGGGCTCCAGGCACCTTCTCCATCGGATACTGGGAACCAGAAAAGCAGAGAAACCCACAACACCCCACCCTCAGGATTAGGATGACCCAACTGGGGGTGGGACCCTGCAGCCCATGCCCTCCCCCCGATCCCAGACAGGTGTGTACCCCATAGGAGAATGGGCTAGGGTCCCACGGAGGAAGAGTAATAACCTCCAACCTGCCAGGAGCCCTCCCCATCCCAGGAGCCCTCTGCAGAGAGAAGCCAGGCCCAGACAGGCTCCCTGCATCTCCCCTGTCCCCTTCTGTGCCTGAGAAGCTCTGTGCCGTGAACTCTCTGCAAATAGGGAAATGATTTATAACTGCCCCCATCCAACATGATAGCCACCAACCCTGGATGGCTGCTGCTCACTTGAAATGTGGTCAGTATGCCTGAGAAGCTTAATGTTGGGTTGTATTTCCCTTAAATTCACTAAGATAGCCACATATGGCTGCCATGCTGGACGGCAGCATTGGAGACTCCATCTCCGAAGGCGACCCAGTAGATGGAGACCTGCAAGGGGAAGAAATCCAAACCTCCCCGTTTATTTTCAGAATTCAGGGTGGGTGCTGGAGGTGCATAGCCCCAATGCCCTGAGCTTCCCAGAGCTTATCAGCAGGCTAACCACAACTCACTGCTCCTCTACTGCTTTTCATCCCTAAACCGTCAGAAGTACCGCCAGACTGGAATAACCACAACATCCCAGCATTTACAAAAAGAAAAAAGAAAGTATTCTCCACAATTACTTCATCATTTGGTTGAAACCAAAGGTCATCTATGGCCTGAAGAACAGGAATTCCTTGCTCTTAGAAAAATGCCTGGTCCCCTGCAGGAGGTGACACCCAGACCCCCCAGGCCTCCTGTACCCCAGCTCTGAGGAAGGTGTCCTCCAGGACAAGGAGACAAGAGTATGGAAAATAAGGACTTGGGTGGGCTCAGAAGAGCAGAGGAAGACCGAAGTAAGGGCTCTGGAACTTGGGGTGGGGGCATAGCTCCCCCAGAAGGAGAGCCTGGGGCAGGTGTGTATGGTTTGGGCAGGGGCGCTGGACATGCCAAAGCCACAGCCAGCTCACATCTCCCAGTGCCTCCTCATCTGGTTCATGCTTGGTGAAGCCCCTGATCCCACATGTCCCTGCCCCCCCTGCCCCCGGAAACTTCCCCACAGCTGTTGGTTTAAGCTGTCCTCTCCCGGGGCGGTTAGCTGTCTTCCCCACTGCAAACCACCAGCCCCACGGATAGGGCAGGAATGCCTGACACCCCCCCACCCCTGACTTCCCCCAGCCTCCCCAGCTCTCTCTCCTGCCCTCCCCAAGACCGGGCCAGCCTGCTGCACCCAAAATAGCAACAGCAAATAAAGAAATGTCTAGTTTGGGGCTCCTCTGCTCTCTGCCGGTGCTCATTTTTTCCAACTTTGGTTTAAGTTAAGAAACACCAATGTTTTCTTGGTCTCCACTCACTGCCAACATTTTTGTAGCGCTTGCTCAGGAGCTACTGGCGGGCTCATAAACTCAGTGGGGAAGACTTCGAGAAACAATTCTAGGTCTTTTTATTTTTTCTTTGCAATCAGGGACATTTTTTAGTTTGCATTTCCCTGAGGCCAAGGGGCCAAAAGGTCAGAGCTGGAGCCCACCCTGTAACGGCAAGCAAGCCGTCAGGTGCACACAGTGGCTGGCGCCAGGCATGTGAGGCCACTCCTTTTTTCTGCCAGATGAAAAACTGGCTTAGCAGGGAGGTTCCCAGAGACTGGGGTCAACCACAAGGAGAATGTGCCCAAGGCAGAGTGGGCAGCCCATCCTCCACCCCCCAACATACACACACACACACACACACACACAGACACACACACACCCCTACCTGATCCTCTCCTCTGGATAAGATCAGACTCTCCCCTGGGGTACCAGTGCCCATTCTAGGCTTCAGCAGTTGCCTGATCACCATGCGTACGAGCAAACATACTCCCCAAAGGAAAAGGGGAAGAGAAACTAACATGCATAGATCCCCAACTCCAGCAAGACCAATCACCTGTGCTGTCTAGTGGAACCTCAAAATCTGTGACGCAAGCAGTCTGACCCTCCTTTCACAGGTGAGCAGAGAGAAAGCAGTTCAGAGAGGCAGGCCACCTGCCCAAGGACACACAGAGTTCCAGCCAGCCCTGGAAACCTGTCCACACACAGTGAGGCTTCCTCTCTACCCAGCTCAAGGGGTGATCGGGTTCACTGGCCAGTATATGAATGGGTCAACCAGCAGCCACTCAGAGATGAGAAGAGGTAAGGAAGCAAGAAGAGACACGGAAAGGGATATGTGGAAAACAAAGTGGTTTTGGAAGTTGAGCTGTGCCAGGTTGGGCTGGGCTGGGCTGGGCAGGGCAATGGGTGCCTTGGATGTGAGCATTTGGAGTGAACAGAGGGGGTGAGGGGTGGGCCTGTTTCCCAGGGCCAGCCCCTGTACATACTCCAGGCAAGGTAGCCCCAAATATTGCCCCTCGGAGGTGCTGCCCTGGGGTGGGAGGGCTGTGCAGCTGCAGCTCAGGGAGGGTTCCCCACACTGATTCTGAGCACCACGCTCCAGCTCCCTCACAAAGCAGCCCTTCTCTGTGTCTCTGCAGGAGCCCAGAGGGCAGGCCTAGAGACTCCCACCCAGGCATCTGCTCACTTCCCCCACCACTCCATTCCCAAGGCTGTTCAGTTCCCTCAAGGAAGAGAGGGGAGGCTGAGGGGGAACAGGAACAGGTGACCCCAGGGGATACATCACTTACTCCTAGCCCATGATGGGTTCACTGATCCCAAGCCCCAGATGGCAGCCTTCCAAGCAGGGAGGTACCTGAGCCTGCAGCTGGAGCTGAGAAACCCAGCCTGGGTGCAGAAGTCCACGCCATAGCGGCCAGAAGCTAGGGCTCAGGGCGGGGGTAGCAGAAGTACCCAAAAAAGCAAGCACAGCCTTGAGAATCAGCCTTATCCCGGCCTCACCCTCAACCTCTTCCATGTCCAGAATAGGAGCAGGAATCAGAAGCACCAGGAGAAAGGCCCCACCTGGAGAAGACCAGATCGGAACTCAGAGACAGGAGAACTCACTTTGAGAAAGATGGTCTGCAGCTTGCCACAGTCCTTGCCACAGAAGCGGGCCCCCCGCCGGGAGAAGAGAACTTGGTGGGCCGGCACACGCTGGTAGGCCACACGCTTGTCTCCCTGCAGCATCCAGATGATGATGTCTGGCAGGCTGTTCTGGGGCTGCGGGGAACAGGTAGGGGACAGTCAGGGCATAAGCATTGGTACACCCAGACCCATGACAACCCTGGGTCCACATCCCATAGCCACTGTGTGAGCTGACCTCCAACTCAGTGGCCACAGGGCCTCCACTCCCCCAGCAGCCACCTATACACTGCCCACCTTGGTCTCACTTTGGCTGACTGGGCTGTCTTCCGTGGCTATGAGCCCCCAGAGAGCAGGGCACCATGCTACCCCTGGTACCCACAGGAACACAGAAACCCACTGAAAATTCCCCTTGCGTCTGCTAAGAGATGCTCCTGCTGGGTGTCCCCAAGGGGTCCATACACGTCCATTAGAGGTTAGGGTTAGGTCAGGGACATGATCTTGCCCTTCAGTCAGCAGTCTCCTTCCTCAGCCTTGAGCAAGGCCCCACATGCACCAAAGGCATTCCCACCCTCTCACCCCTCTACCCTTCTAACAGCAAGACTCCAGCCCCAAGCAATCAATGGTCTCTGAAACAGGGTCCAGCCCTGTAAGGCTGCTGAGCCCACGGGGCCTCGGGCAGTGAATGACACCGGCTCCCTCTGATTCAAGGGATAGCGAGCCAAGAGTGCCTAGGGCCCAGGGACCCCGTTGGGCAATATTCCCAAAGCAGGCATGTCACAGGCAAGGTAGCCCCAAATATTGCCCCTCGGAGGTGCTGCCCTGGGGTGGGAGCAGTTTCCCTTGATTTCCCTTGATTTCTCCAGAGAGCCTAGGCAGCAGGCCAGCCACTTCTACCTGACATGTGAGGAAAGCCAACAGAGAAGTAAGGACTCAGAATGTATGTTCCTGACGGCTGACAGCACATGGCTGTTATGCCATGACCCCAGAAGCCACAGTGCCAGTTTCTTGCAACTTGGAAATGCAAGTTTTCAGCCTTCCCGGGGCCCCTGGAGTCAGCACCTCTGGAGGCACTCTCTTCCCTGCTCCCATCAACCCCTGGGGAATTCTGATGCATACACATTGAAGGAAAGGGTTTCTAGTCTGCACTTGGCCTGAATCACTGGCAGGTACATTGTGGTTTGTGCTTAGATCTCAAGGGCCGTCCTAATAAGATCCTGAGGTGACCAGTGGCCACCTGAGGGGCTGGTCAGTTCTGAACAACACAGCAGTCCCCAGGGAACTGGCCTTGTGTCAGCAGGTCCTGCCCTGGGAGACACTCAGGGACCCTCACTCGCCCCAGGCAGCATTTCCACCTGCTCTTCCATATGTCCCCCTCCCCGTGCCATTCCCCCATACTGCTTCCAGGGAGACCCTTTCCTTACCACCCCACCTCCTTCCTGGGGGGTCCCCACATGGCTCTGGGGGGATAATAGCTGTGTCTGCTCATGATCTGGGAGTAAACCTTGACTCCTCTTTCTGGACCCTTCATTCCCACGGGCTGCCTGCTCACCAGGAGTTGTGTGGGTACTTCTGACCTCTCCAACGTTGGGTAGGGGTATGAAGGCAAGAGAAAGGGCACCCCCAAAGACACACTGAAGCCAACTCTCTCTGGCAAGGTCCAGCTCAGTATAAGAGTGCTGGAGACACATTGCCCAAGAGAGGCAGGCTTGAGGTCAAGTCCAATAGGCATAGGCTGGCAGAACAAGGTCCCTGGAAAGCAGCCTGTACCACCAGACCTACTGCCAGTATGGTCCTAGCTGAGTCTCTGACATACTTTGGGAAGCAAAGAGAATTTATTAAACACCTACATGCTGTCCCCTGTGACACCCCATGCCTGCTGTATATGGGGTCTCTGAGACTCAAGAAAGGTAAGCCACCTGCCTAAGGCCACTCAGCACTGGCCCAGACCAACCCTGAGTTCCTCCCCATTCTGGGAGTCCAGGCAGAGGGAGGCAGGTACCCCACAGAGTTAGTACCTCCTCAGCCAGGGCACGGAGACGCAGCAGCCAGTCCTCTGCCTGCTCCAGGACAGCGGGGAGCCCACCATGGCTGAGCTTCAGAGCCAGGGCGGCCTCTGTGATCTGGCTCAGGTGACGACTACGCAGCTGGTACAGGTAGTGGTCCAGTTGGGTGGCAGAGGGTGTCTCACGGGCGTTGTGCAGAGGCTGACTGCAAGGACAGATGCGATTGCACTGATGTTCCTGGGCCCAGGCACACGCGCACGCGCACACACACACACATATGCACATGTGTGTGTGTGCACAGACTCACAGCAGGCTCCAGGCCCTAGGTCCACCTGCCAGGCGCCTACCCCAACCTGATCTACTTTCACAGTCCTCACTACCCTGCCCAAACACACACTTCCCACTCTGAAGGCCCCCTGCCCTTTACCCTTGGCAATCTGTTTGGAACTCACAAGGACAGTGGGGAGGCTGCCAACCAGCCAGAATACAGATGTGTCCTCCAGGGGCAATCCTACATCACCTTCCCAGACCCCCTCTGACCCAGAACAGCCCCTGGGGAGAAGAGGGGGTTCCCCCACCATCCCAGACGCAGCCCTGAGCCCAGAGTGAGGGGTCCTTTGGGAGGCAAAGCTCCTGACCACCTCCCTGCCTCCTGCCGGGGTTCCTCCTGGCCAATGGGCCCCTCTGGGGTGAGTGAGAACACCAGGGTTGCAGCAGGGAATGGGAGCCTCCGTGCTGTCCCCTCACTAGGCCAGGCCCCCTCCTGACCACTGCCGATCACAGGTGGGGGCCACTCCGCCCCCACCACACACCCCCCAACCAACTGGCCAGAGGAACCTTCGACTCCCCAACAGGACATTAGTCAAACCCGCCGCCTCCGCTCCCACTGCTCGCCCCTTCCCTCTCCCCTCCCCGCAGCGTCTCGACTCCCGGCTCCCGGCTGATTTATTTTTCTGCCAATTTCCCCGAGCTATGCAGAACCAATTACCGGCCGAGCGCAGCGGCACCGCCGCGCCAGATCCACCACTCTGGCAGGCCCTCGGCGCACTGCATTTTTCCTGTTATTTTTTTTAATTGAATTTTTAGGGTGGGGGGAGCGGCAGGCAAACTCCATCTCGGAGAAACTTAAGCCCTGGGGCCTGTCTCAGGTCACGTACTGCACACCCTGTAGTAATATAATATTTACTGCCAAGGGTGCCGCGGATGGGGCTGCCCGGGGCTGAGAATGGTGGAGGCTCAGGGGCACGCTCCGGGTGGAGGCCCCCCCACCCCCCCCCCGCCTCCGGCGCTGGGGCTTGCCTGGACCTGAGGAGGGTTGAGGGGCCAGCACAGCCCGCCTCTGCGGTGACTTAGAGAGCCCAAGACAGCAGGTACAAAAGGCAGGCTGATGACGCTGCACCCTGCAGTGCTCCTAACTTGGAGATCAGGGGTGGGTGCAGGGCAGGGTGCAGGGCAGGGCTCAGCGCAGGCTCATCCAACTGTGCACAGTCACTGCCTGCCCTGCCAGACCCAGAAGGGTGCCTGTATCAGGGCTGGCCACCAGGAGGGGCCAGCGTCCAACCTGAAAGGTAACTGGTCCCTTGTCACTGCTCCCCCAGGTTCCCTCTGGGCCTGGACTGGCTCTCACATACCCAGGTGGTGCCTGAAATCCCCTTAGCTCACAGCCATGTGTGCATCCTACACAAGAAGGCACTCTACTTCCTGAAGCCCAAGCACCTGGGACCTGGGATACCCAGCCAACCCACCCCTTCCAGGAGGATGACGCAAGGAGGCAGGCAGGGCAGAGGCATTTCCTGCCAAATCCTGCCAGAACAGAGAGGATAGCCCAGGTCCAGAGGTCCCGCCCCTCCATCTCCTCCCTAGCTCTAGGTTTCCAGCACCTTGGACATGCCAAGGGTCCTCCCCACCTATGAGTCACCAGTAAGGCTACGACCCATCCACCACTCCGAGGGGTAGTGCCATTGGGGCGCCAAGAGCTAATTTGCACGCAGGGCCTAGGGGACACAGAAATGCCCACCCACCTCAGTTGTGTCCCCCCAGCCTGACTCTGGCCTCACACCCACACCCTGGACACCTACCCTGTCCTGAACCCCTCAGCCACCTCCAACTGTTGTTGATGCCTCAGAGATGGCCAGAGCTAAGAGACGACCACCCAGTCTCCCTCTGTGCCTCAGTTTCTCCCATCTGTCAAGTGGAAGATCATCATTTTGGTCAGTGCACACCTGTGCAGCACCTCACATGGGAGACGGCTGTCATCGCAATGCTCCTGGAAGAGCCCACACTGACCTCTGTGCCGCATGGCTCCTCTTCTTCCTGGCGTCCCTGCCTTAGTCACACCTTTGTCACAACTCAGCTGCAGAGCTGCCCTTCTGCACCCACTTGTCACCCCACCAGCAGGTCGCCCCTCACACTGCAGCCAGAACAGGCAGTTGAACCCTGGTGGATCCCGTTACCCTTCTGTCTCCCAGAACTGACCTCTTCTTAGCAGACCCCTAAAGCCAGCCCTGAGTAAGGCATCAGCTTTCCTGTTCCCCACCCCGAGTCCTAGGGCAGCAGGTGGTCAGTTTCCTCTTCAAAGGCCAGCCCTCACACTTCCATCCAAGACCTCACCAAGCATTTCTCCTCCAGGAAACCCCAAAGGTGGATTTGTTGGACTTTAGTGCACCTGCTCTGAGCTCTACAGCCCCAGCAGCTGTTCCTCCATTAGCTCACTTTGGTGTCCTCACCCCCAGGGGACTGAAGAAACACCCTTGTCAGGATGCTCTAGGTTCTTGGCCCTAAGCCTGCCAGGTTCTAGGAAGGTTGGGGGATAAATGAATAAATGAATGAGTGACCCATCTAGAATTCCATCCCTGGGGGAAGAAGACATTTATTTGGGGGTAGGATTTTTTTAAAGACATTTAAAAGGCAAAATGCTACACCAAGGGAGGGAGGAAAAGAGAGAGTTCTCTCTTGCATCCATTAGTTTCCTCCCCAGATGGCTGCCAGGAGCCCAGAACTCCATCCAGATCGCCCACAGGGGTACAAGGGCCTGAGCACTCTGGACCATCTCACACTGCTCTCCCAGGTGTGTTAGCAGGGAGCGATCAGAACTGGAGCAACCAGGGCTCAAACAGGTGTTCCTGTGGGAAGCCATCATTACAGGCATAACCAACGGGGGTCACAACACCAGCCCCAGGATCAGATTTTGAGAGATATGCACTTCCTCACTGGGGTACTAAGGACTTGAAGGGGCTGCTGCAAGAGGTGACTCTCATTTCTTAGCATGAAGGCCCCTCTGAGATCCTTTCCAAGAAAGAGGGTGGGGTGGTGAGATACGGAGGGACCACAGAACACATTGTCATACACTCACACTTAACCCCAACTGCTCAGAAGCGCCATTACTCCTCATGAAGTCCATCTGACAGCTGAGAGGTCTGGAGAAGCGAAGCTGCCCAAGGCCATAGAGCCACAAAGCCAGTTATAGGGACAAGTATTTCAATCAATCTCCTGACAGTTTTTCTTCCCAACAATTGGACTGACCAGTTATCAAGTCCTTCCTAATCTTGGGCCATGCACTTGTTTCTATCATAAAGGAGTCATTCCTCAGACAGCCTGAAATTCCAGGCACCCCAGTATCAGAGGGGGATACGCAGAGACACGCCCCTTCCATAGGGCCACTGTTCCTTCCATTCTGCAGCACCCCATGCTCTCACGTCCTGAAGCTCACAACTAGCTGTGTCAAGAGAAAGCTAACCAGAAACCATGGGCCCACTGCAGCCCTAGGGAAGAGCACTGTGGCGTGTGTGCGCGCACACACACACACACACACACACACACACACACACACACACACACACACACTCAGGCCAACTTCTCCTGGAGATTCCATCAGGGAAATAAGAGGTCGGGGATCAGAGACACAATGCTCTCCATTCAGGTAAGCTGGGCCGCCCCAGGCCCACAGCTGCCGCTGCTGCAGGGAGATTTATGACCTGCTCTAAATGTCACCTTTTCAACTCCCCGCATTGGCTCCTCCACCTTTGCACTCAGCATGGGCTGGACTGCTGGCCAAGCGTGGCTGGGAGACATGCCCTGCTCACTGCCACACACGAACACTCCCAGGGAAATGGGCCTCACCCTGCCAGCTAGCAGAGGAGGGCGCCAGGTACCCCCTACCTGCAGTCTGCAATGAGCTCATCCATCAGCCGAGCCCCCAGGGTGTCTGCGTCCTCCAAGCACTGCGCCTTCAGGGCCAGGTGGACCTGCGCCAGACCAGCTTCCTGTGGAATGGGCAGGCCAAGGTCAGAAAGCCATCAGGGTGCAGGACACCAAGACCAGATGCAAGCTCCTGGTCCTGTCACCATTCAGTCCCTGAACCAAAAGGGAGTGACCACTTAAAGCAGAGAAGGCAGTGCCCAGGCCCAGCTAGTCAAGATCTGCTCTGGCTCAAGAACATTCTGGGGGTCCCCACACTCAAATGCCTCCAGATCCCCAGGCCAGGACCGATGACCTCACAGGTGGTCTCCAACAGTTCAGATACTGCCTGCAGACTGGGACAGAATCAGCATGCATCCCCCTCGTCACCCACCACCTTCAAGCCAGGTCTTATACCCCAAAGCTGAGTGGCCCACTTTAAGGCTGTTCCAGTTCCATGCCTGGAATCCTCTCTCTCCAGAGGCTGCCACCCAACTGGGCTCAGAGCAAGCTGGCCTTCCTGGAGAGGAGAGGCTATGAGAGAATCTACCTCCAAGCACAGCAAGTTTCTGCCCCAAACCTTCCCAGCCTGCAGCAGCTGGTCCCCACTCTAAGCTCTTTGCCACCCCTCTCTCCCTGTGGTCTGAAGCCCTGAGCTGGGAAGTGAATCTGTCCATAGGTCCCCCGTGCACCTCTCCACCATGTCCCCCACACCAAGCCTTCCTGAGCACAGGAGGTACTCCAGGTTCACTGCACCAGTCTAGCACAGAGCCTGGAAAGCCAGCCACTGCTCTCCGGCATCCAGGGGGTCTGGGATGTGGCTGTAAGATGACAGCTGATCCAGACTCATTCCAAAGTCACTCCATCTCTTATTTGCTGGCCTCTTCCCTCCTCCTCCAGAGTTGCTAGCTTCAAAGAAAATATGACCCACCAGGTCCCCCCTACCCTTGGCCTGGTCTGGGCCCCTGCACTGATCCAATTCTTCCTCCCTCATCTCCCACTTCTCTAGGTGCTTGTCTCCTCACCCACCTGCTCCCAGGCCCCTCCACCAGCTCCTCTCTTGTTCCAAAAGCAGCTGCACCTGCCTCCTCCATCTTCCCACAGACTACGCCCTCATGGCTAGCCTCCCTCCAGCCCATCACCTTTCCCTCCTTCCTTCTCCCCTCCCTCAACTTCTCCACCTTTGTGATTCTCCAGGACTCTGGCCTACCTCACAGCAACTGCAAGTAACCTCTGCAAGGCCCCTTCCTCGCCTCCCAACCAGAACTCGCTACCCGCCCTCCTGTTCTCTGCTCTTCTCCCACAACTGCCCTGTCCTAAACCACCAGGGTCACTCCCCACAGCATTCCTCCTCCTTGCAGCCCACAGCTTCCACCCAAGCTCACCTCCTTGCCAGGGCACCCACCTGAGCAGCTCAGCTGAATTCCTGCCTCCCATCTTGCCCAATGGGATATGACCCAGCAGAGTCCTCCTCTCCCCGCTCCCCACAGGGGTCTCCAGAACCTAGGCTTGGAAAGCCCTGTGTGAGAGGAGTGGGAAGACTATGCCCAGGGCAGCCTCTGACCTACAGCTAAAATTTCCAACACCAGCCCGTATACATGCTTGTGCGGTGAGAGCCCAGGAGCAGCTGAGGGGTGAGAGAGCTTGGCCAGCTGAAACCCTCATCCCTAGTTTAGTGACAATTTCTCCAAGCAATCCTTTTATCAAACTGGGGCTGTTCCCACCCTGCTCTTCTTGTCCAAACTGCAAGGCAAGACCACAGACCCCCAGGCCAAACAATCTGAAGACGTTGCCCATGCTTGAGGCCTGGGGAGGCTTCTGCTCACCAGCCGGTCAGCGATTCCAAGCAGGAGGTTCTGTGTCTCCACCCTGTGGCTGATGTCTTCCCAGTAGGAGGACAGTACCACCACCGGCTTCACGTTGCCCCAGGGCAGGTAGTAGTAGTGGCAACCTGGAAGGAAAAAAGGACATGAGGCCCCATGGGCAGGGGCAAGCGGATCACGGGAGCTCAGGTCTCCTCCTGGTTGTTCCAGGATGAGAAGCAGCCTGGAATGGCTAGCAAAAGACTGGGGTGGAATAGACAGGCACCTGCCCAATTCCCATCTGGGAAGTTCCCAACAACATGTACTCCCCAAATGAGGTGGGAGCTCTGGCTCCTGCTGGACACAGGAGTGTGCAGCCAGACCTGGGGATGCCAGCTCCACCCTCCCCCAAAAGCCCCAGGCCAAGCCCAGCAGAAGGCATCAGGGCAGTCACAGGTCAAAATCCACACCAACTACAGACAACAGCCATCTTGGGGAGAGTGGGGAAGGATCTAGGACTGGGTCCATGCCTCAGGGTCTGGGAATCCCCCCCCCCAAGAGCATAGCCTTCACTCCAGGGTCTCAGTGCTCCATAACCAACCCACCCCCTAAACAGTCATGGCCTCGGGCCTCACCATCGAAGACTGCCCGGCTGTACTGGGTGGTGGAGGCCAGTGGCAGACAGGTTGTATCAAACTTGTTCCCATAGTTGCCGATGCTGACTTCAAATTGGATGGCAGCGTCCACATCCTGCAGCATCGAGGCTGAGTAGAAGGCAGCAAACAGCGAGTACTTGCGCCTCCTCAGGTACTTCTGAGGGCAGAGGGGGCAGACCAGAGGTCACAGGCAGGAGCCAGGGAGAGAAGGTCAGAGGCCCTGCCTGAGATCGCCCATACCGAGATGGCGCCACTTGGACAGACAAGTGGCAGAAAGTCCAGCATGGAACCCCAGGCAGACGTGTGCTGCAGGAGCAAACACAATTAAGGCTGTGTATTCGGCCACTTCTCCCTGGGAAGTACTCATTCCTCCAGGCCAGGCTGCTCCCTCAACCAACCCAGCAGCCACAGCACCTGCATGCCAGTGGGCCATCAGAGGGCTGCAAGCTCCAACGCACAGCCTTGCACACAGCCACCCAAGTTCCCCCACTTCCCCTTGCAGTATGTACTAGCTGCCATTGCCCAGACCTGGGAAAAGGGAAGCCTGTGGCCCCCACAGGGCACAGGGCCAGGACTCGGGAGGGACCCAGTTGTGATATAGCAGAAGACCTCATGACACCCTCCATGGAGGAGAGAGAGAAGGAGAGTCAAGGTTGGGTATGAGCAGAACGTGAAGAACAGTGACTGCTGGCAGTGACTGAGTGCCTACTGTATACACACAGTCATTCACTTGGCTCTGACAATTTCAGGACGTAAGATTATGACTTTCCCTCTAAGAGAACACTTGTTGAGAACTTGCTGCACATACCTATTAACCCACTTCATCCTCATCCTCTTACGAGGCAGGTTTTTCATTACCCTCACTTGAGGAGAATGTCAGTAAGAAGTTAACTTACTGAGTGCTTACTCTATGCATATACGTGCTTACTTAGGTCTCCTCCTGGCCTGGTGTGGTCAGGGCCACCATCACCTCCTTGGACAGGGAAACAAATGCAACCAGGCATCAGGAGAGCAAGGGCACGTGGGATGAAACCTCTGGCACAAGCTCTGGCTCTGTCATCCACTGCTCCAACACTCTGGAGCCTCAGTTTGCTCATCTGTGAAGTGGGGATGACTCCCATGGCCACCACATGATCTGCAGGGGCATCCCCGGCCCAGCATCCAATGCATGGTAAGTGTTGACGCGGACACTGTCATTGCCAGCTGTGCTCACAGCACTGTTAGAACTTAAACAGCTACTCCTTTTGCCTCAAGCTCTAAGCTTCTGAAACACGGTCACTTCTCTTCTTCCAGCCTCTGGGCATCCCTCCCAGGGAGGCATGGCAAGTGGCAAAAACACACACTTGACATCCCAAATGCCCAAGGAAGCCAAAGGTGCGACTGACGCAGGGCTGAGCTAAGCCAATCACTGCATGGCATCATCCAATGGGGACCCAGCTCCCACCCCCAGGCCAGTTCTCTCACCTCCACCCGCAGAATGTCGTCAGCAGGGAGGTCCTCCACCTTTTGCTCACTGTGCTCCACCAACTTGGTCTCCAGGGAGAGCAGGAGGCGGCCTCGGTAAGCCACGCCTTCTCCCTGCCAGAGGAGGTCAGGTCAGCAGGAGCAGGGGAGGGAAGGGAACAGACACTGCTGACTCTGAGTTCACTGCTCTCCAGGGGGCCGGGAGATCCCCCACAACAATGCCACCATCTGCAGGTGAGCTCAGGGCAGACTCGAGCCCAGTGGAAGCCCAGGGCCTATGGGCATCTTTCAGGCCAGGAAAAGGGGAGGTCATGCTGGCCCCAAGGGAGAGGCAAGGTCAAGGGCAACTGAAGGATGCTCTGAGGGGTTGGCTGCCTGGCCTTGGGCCTGTACTAGCCTCATCAAGTCCTGGATCATAAGCCAGGCTGGAAGGACCCTGCATGCAGGTCCCGGGCCACCTGGCATCCCACCCCGACTCACCTTGCTGGTGTTGAGCTCCGCATAGGGGTCCGGAAATCCTGTGAACTCCCTGGGGCTGCCGTAGAGGTTGACATAGCAGGGCCCAAAAGTGGGCAGAAACCCCAGATGGTCATCCACTGGGAGACAAACACAGCAATCAGAGGGGTGGGCCCAGGACACTGGCTAGTGCTCAGCCCTGCCACTGTCACATCTGAGTCCCGCCCAGACACCTGCTCCCACCACTTGCGCCAGAGGCAGCCCTCATAAGCGTACACAGAGCCGTGACATCCACAAGCATCCTCATGCTCTCCCCTGGGGCTCCTTACCCAGAGACAGGAAGGCATCATTACTGAGACTCAGAAATGCGAGCAGACACACAGCTACAAACATGTACATGCAGCCAGGAGCGAAGCTGTGGGGCTTGGGCCCCCATGGTCCCACAACCCTCTCCATCCTCACTTCCTCAGCACCCATGCCCTACCCCTAGCAGGGCTCCATGCTCAGGAACCAGAGAATTCACCTTCCAGGGTAACACCAAAGGGGCCTAGATGATGTCCCTGCCCAGCAAGGCAGGCCCCTGTGTCCACTGGCCTTATTTGCCCAGGATCCCTTACACACACACACACACACACACACACACACACACACACACTGTCCAAAGAGTAACTGTCCAGTGAAGGAGCCACTTCCACCAGTGGTGAGAGCACACCTTCCCTCCACATCACTCCCGTCTGGGTGGCCACTCTCATCAGTGTCCTTCTCTGGCCCCCAGCCAACTCACCCGGAAAGGGCAGAATGACGCAGTGGGTGAGGCTGCTGATAACAAGGCTCACATACCAGAGTGCTGGATTGAGTCCTGGCTGCTCTACTTGTGTTCCAGCCCAAGAAGGGAGCAGAAGATGGCCCATGTACTCAAGTCTCACCTACACGGGAGACCCAGAGGGAGTTTCTGACTCCTTGCTTGGGCCTGCCCAACCCCAGGCTATTGCAGACATTTGGGGAGTGAACTAATGGACAGAAGATTCTCTCTCTCTTCATCCGTCATTGTGCCTTGCAACTAAACAAGGAGCTCTTACAGAGAACATCTTCGATACGCTAAAGATAGAAATTAGGGCCAGGTGCAAGAACCACTTGGAATGGCTCAACCGACTCAAAGATGAGGCAGGTCAAGGCTAGGTCCAGTGGCTTCAGCAAAAAGTGCTTGGGCCAGATCTGAGGGCCCCACTACTGCTGGGGACCTGGGGACTGGGGGTAGGGCAGGAGAGACAGGGACCCCATTGCCAGGGCTCACTCTGCATTTCTCACACATTGCCTCTTTCAGACGTCAGCATAGACAGGGCTCAGTTCTGCAGGTGCAGAAATGTCCAAGCAACAAAACAAAAACACACATGGGTCACCATCCTCTCGGATCACCTTGATCTTGTTGATTTCAACCTCAGCCTCCCCAGCCCCTGACTTCCTCCCAGTCCGTCAGGCACCTTACACTCCCCTGCCCAGTTGCAGACACCGTGGCCACGCAGAGCATCATCCCAAGCCCAGCAGGCTAGAAAGGAGTCAGGGAGAATGGGAAAAAATGCCCTCAAATGTTAATTCTTGTGTGTGCGACACCAGCAGGAGGTCACAGCCACAGATAGCAAGCTTAGAGACTGCCTGAAAATCTCAGTCCCACCACAGGTACAAACACCCTCTCCCTTCCAGCAAGCACCCAAGGCTCCGATGCAGCAGAACGTACAGTCCGTGGCTGGCAGAGACTTGACCACGCCTGCAGGCTCCTCTGAAGCGTGAAGAAATGGAAAGGAGTTAGGATGGGCGCGCCTGGGTGGAGGACCAGTTACATGCATGGGGGTGGGTGGGTGCGGGGTCTGCAGACAGACAGCTGGAAAGACAGCTCCCGTGTGGGAAGCAGATGTGGCCCAGCTCCACCCCAGCCCAGCTGCAAACCCGTCGCAAACTCAGACACAGACCCTGATACCACAAGGAGCCCTGGGGGGGGGGGGTCCCTGACCATCTGCCCGTTGAAAACTGGACAGGAGTCGATTCAATACATCATGAAACAACACAGAAAGCAAGCTCTTCCATCCCAGATCCAGATATATAAGAAAACAGCATACAGACATGAATCAAGGGCGAGGAAGGCCCAAGCCACACCACACACCCAGAGCTCTAACACTGACAGGCAGGTTGCCTGCTCCGGGGCAGCGGCTACTGAGCAGTGGCATTTCTCAGGCACAACATCTCCATCTAGTGATCATTGGCAGTACTGCCGCAAGAGATACCAAGTTGCATTTTCACAACAGGCTCTGGGAACCCTACTTCTAGCACCTGCCGCTACTTTCAGTGAAGCACAGGTGATGCCATCCACTAGCTGACATCCCTAAATGTTGGGTATGTCCCTAAACATGGCACTGGGTGTCTATAAACAAGAAGGAGGGAGGGATATATCCTCATGTGCTCCTGGACCCTTGAAGCCATCTTCCAAGGGAGCAGGCATATTCGTCCATCTCCCCCGCTCTGTCCTCTCCAATGTCTGCTTCTTCCACTCTTTGCCCTTCCCTTCCTTCTCTAATCATTAAAATGCAGCCCAGCCCAAGTTCACGATCAAGCCTTGGGACATGGTTGGTGAACCTGCTGTCTACCTTTACCTGTTGCTTCCCTCCCGAAAACAGAAATCTCTGTTGCTGTTTCTCAGATCTTGGCTGCACTTGGGAGCTGAGAGGTGAGAAGCAAAAATGAACAGAGCCCCCGAGAGAGAAAAGGGGAGGGAGTGTGGAAGTTTGGAGGTGAGCACAGAGTTGAGCACGCGAGGCAGAAGGAATGTGGAGGGGAGGCCCCTGGGTCAGCCTCAGCGACTCAGCCAGTTGACAGACAGCTGAGCTGCCAAAGTCACACCTCATGGCCATCTCCAAGTGCACAGGAATCGATTTTCATCAGCAGGGCAGCCCAGCAACAGCCATAGGACCCACATGGGCACAGCCCCCCAGGAAGCGGTAGCCAGGGACCACTGGAAGGAAGCAAACTGCTTCTAGCTCCCTCCAAGCGATCACTAACAGGTCCTGCCAATTCTGTGAGCATGAGGTGGCCAAGGCCACAGGGCCCAACCCCACGTGCTTCTCATGGAGGCACGCTCAGCTCCCACCACAGCCAGACTTTGAATCCTGACTGCAGAAAACAGCCAGCCCAAACTCAGAGCCCCCTTCTCCCACCAAATCCCACTAGCATCTAGTTGGGAGGCCACAGAGGGTGGGGGTCGAGCTGCCTGGTCCCCAGCATGCCTTGCCTTCATTCATGCCTTTCCTTCATTGTCCATGTGTTCACTGGACAAGCTCAGCTAGGCATGGGACTACGGGGACAGAGTGTCACACAGCATGACCCAGGTGTCACTTCAGGACATGGGTTTCCATCAGGGGCCCCTGGGTGCTGAGGCCAAGCCTAGGTTCTCTCCCCCCTGTGTCTGCAGACAGCTCATAAACTCAAGGGTAAAGTGACCAGCACGGCTGCCCCAGACAAAGCCTCTATTTAGCCCTCATCACCCTTCTGCCAAGTACAAGTGTTCTGGTGTGTTTTCTCCAAGTCCAGGAAACCAGGATTGAGAGAGTCCCAAAACACAGACAAATCCTCCCAACTTGGTGGCCCCAGCAGGTCCCTCACCGGGGGAGGCTGAAGGATACCACAAGCAGAGGCTCCCAGCCCAGCGAGCCACAAGGCATAGTCCCCAGGTACACGTGGATCTCCTGGAGAAGCTATGACCGCCACCTGTGGCCGGCCAGCCCTCTCTCCTCTCGGCACCTTCCCAAGCCTGGGGCATTCAGCTGCCCAACGCCAGCCTGGACCACAAAGGAGGCAAGGTGGAGCCCTGCTGGAGAGATCACATCACCCATGTCCCAAGGAACCCACTTTGGAGCTCTCGGCCATGGACAAAGACATAGGGTATGAGCTCTGTGGCGGCAAGGTTTTCATGAGTACAAAATTACCCAAGAGTCCCCTTGGGTTTCCCGAATCTCCTGTGCCCATTACCTTTCAAAAAGAGGTGAGCTTCTAAGGAGAGCATGCCTTTGAAAAGAAAACCTGTACTTAATATTTGGGAGCATAAGGTCCTTAGAATACTGCACTGCAGGTACCAGAGCTTGGGCGGTCAGGCAGACGGGTGACCTCCTGACCCATGGCCTTGAACCTCCCTGCCATGCCACTCAAGCTCTTTAACCACAAAGTCAAGACGAATGAGAGGATGCTCACCAATTTCCAGAACAATCTGGCAGACCATGTGGTCCTGCCTCTGCCTGCCTCCCTAATGCACTCTGGGATGCCTTTGACCTGAGCGCCATCTAGTGGCTGGCAATGGTCTTGATCCTATCCCCACTAGACATTTGCTGGTGAGGCAGATCAAGACCAAGACTACCCTGATTGTTCCCCCAAATTTAATTGGGGGGAGGAGGTTGGCATTTCCCCTCAGAGTATTTGGTTCAGGCACAGCTGGAGCCTCGTGAGACCACACTGCACCTCTTCTCATCCACCCCTCGGTTCTGAGACCAGGACAGGCAGGAGTGTCCTTCCTCTCCTAGGCTGTGAGGAACGTGGCCGTCATGCCCCATATTCCCTATCTCACAGGACAGCCCTTGTCAGAAACCCCAACAGCATCCATGGACAGGACACTGCCACCTGGGATAGGCAGCTCCCAGGTCGAGGAGGAGTGGCAGGGCCCCAAGAGCAGTGACTTCCAGCAGGTTCTTTCTGAGTACCCCCTCAATGTGAAGTCCCAGCAATAGAACCAGAATGGCAAACAGCGGCTGGACATGGAGGATGAGAGAGGGTACGTGGATTTCACTGGAAAATTCTCTGCTTTCCTGCATATTGACATCTTTCTATAAGTAAAAGGGAGTTGTTGTTGTTGTTGTTGTTGTTGATGTTGTTGTTGTTGTTGATGATGTTTCAGAGAACCTGAAAGAAGGGACTAGAGGAGAGCAACTTCAACAGCACCAGGTAGTCAGTCTGCCCACAGCGCTCACCTCTCCTCATCCCCAGCCCTATCCTGACGGAAGGAGACCAAGGAGCTGGAGGGACAGAGCCCCAGGTACTGTGCCTGACGGAAAATGCCAACACCGAACGAAGAGCAAGCCCATGTGGACCAAAGCACCCCTTCTGGGAGGGAGCTGATGTGCTGGGAGGAGCAGCAGCCTGGGTAAAAAAATTCAAATGCGATCATCAATCTTAAAAATCAGAATTTGTAGAGAAAAACAAGTCCAGTTCATGACATGGCCAGCCAGTTCCCGAGATCACAAACAGAAAGTGTCAGCGTGGGGCCGAGTGCATGGAGGACACCTTCAGAGCTCCAAGTGCATCTGCTCACTCTGTTCCTATGGCCATGCCAGTGGATCAAGACGCCTGAGAGCCCCCACCCGGAGGCCAGCAGGACCAGAGCCTGGCTGGCTGGGGCCCCCGCAGGTGCCTCCACCACCACCCAGCCAGCCTTCAGGAGTTCAGAGCACCACATCTGAGCTCATTACTCTTCAACTCACATGTAAGGACTCACCATACCACACAAAAACTTCAGTGAGAACAGACTTGCACCTTGATGGAGAATGAGTGAGAGAAGACAAATTCCTACACGCATATCTACTCAGAATAAAAATAAGGCTGTCCATAAATAAAAATCAAACCAAACTGCTCTCAGGACACATACCAACACATTTCAAAGCAGAGTGAATATTCAAATGTGAAAATAAATAAGAGCTTTGACGACTTTTTAAAGTATGAGGCAGAACCCTTACTCATATTATTTGAATAAGAAACTCTGAAAGTGAATGCATATTAGTTGGAAAGTTTGGAAAGGAAGTGAGTCAATAGGAGAATGTGCGGACAGAAGTTAGGACAACACTGGGATGCCCACACCCCCTAAAAGAGTGTATAAACTCAAACCCCAACTCCACTTCCAGTTTCAGCCTGCTGCTAGTCAACGCCCTGGGAGGCAGCAGGTGCTGGCCCAGGTAGCTGAGTTCCTTCAAAAGCATGGAGACCTGGTTTGAGCCCCTGGCTCCTGATTCCAGCTTCATGCAGAGCCCTGGCAGGCTCTTGGGGAGTGAACCAACAGTTAAACTAGCTGGCCTCTCTCTCCCCTTCTTCTCCCACCTTCCTTTCTCTAGTAATTTTCAAATCTGTCTAACAGCATTCAAAGTACAGTGAAAAGTCCAATAATGTTATTAACACATTAACAAGGCTGTCCAAAGCGGAAAATTCCAACACAACACAACTAGGAAAACACCACGGGTAGGAAGAATTAGCTCATAAAAGGCAGTTCTGCAACAACACTCCATAAATTAAAACCCTCCATGTAATGGATGCTAAGAAAATTCAAATGAATGAAATTGACTGGAATAAAAGTCACAAACTAAAAATAATAATGATCACAGTAGAAGCTAAATGCTTTTGAAGAGCTTTTGCTACACCCACTGAGAAAGGGTACCCAGCCCGAACGGTTTTATGGGTGAATTATTTCAAACCCTCAAAAGACTATATCCTTATGTGATATAAACTGTTCCAGATGTTAGAGAAAACTTTAAATCTTTCCAATTAATTTTACACAGCCAGCATATCCCAGATACCAAAACCAAAAAATACTAAGCATACATACCAGTTGAAAATAATAGAAAATCAAGAAACAGACCCAGAAACCAACTGAGAAACTTAGTAAGGCATAACAGTGGCAGTTCAAACTATAGGAAAAAGGTCACTCAAAATACAATATTGGTACAACATTGGTAATATCAAAGAACAACTTTTTAAAGTGATATGAGGTCCCTACATTATTCACAAAAGAAAAGATTTACGTGTTTGGTTGCACAGAAATGCTAACTTTCTATAAGTCAAGCCTGTTATTTTGTAAAACTAAAACTTGCAGGGCCAGTACTTCGGCATAGCACGTGAAGCCACCACCTGTAATGTGAGCATCCCAAATGGGTGCCAGTTCATATCCTGCTGCTCCACTTCTAATCCAGCTCCCTGCTAATCAAATCCTTGGGCCCCTGTACCCACAAGGAAGATCCAACAGAAGCTCCTGGGCCCTGGCTTTGGACCAGCCCAGCTCTAGCAGGAGTGAATTGCTTGTAAGGCTGCAGTATTGGTGTCTGTTCATCCATATCACCAGCTGATTAGGAAGAATGATGTAATACCCACTCCTTCTCAACTGATGAAAAGTTGAAATTCCCCTCTGGGGCAGAAACCTGCTGATGGAAGATCTGTCTCTGCCTCTCCCTCTTTGGATAAATAAATAGACAGATAAATAAATAAATTATTTACCACCTAAGGACAGAGCCCTATGCTCTTACAAAACAAGGAGAAAGAAAAACATACCAACAAAAATGTGGACCAAGAACATGAATGAGGAATTTATAATAAGATGAAGTGTGCAAATAAATAACATATCACAAAGTATATCATAAATAGATGCTTATGAATAAATAATACCGAATATTCATTATCTTAAGGATTAAAATATTTTAGAATTCACATTGATCAACTTTCAAAGCTATCAATGAGATGAAATTAAGGCAATAATGAGGCAGTATTTTCAATTGCCAAATTAACAAAGGGTTTTTTTAGATTTTAATGTGTATACCCCAAGTGTGCATGGCCACACATGTATGTACACAGGTGTACACATATGTAAAGAAAGGGCCAAAAATGCTCACAGTGCATTCTTTTCTGGAGGAGTGATCTTAGGGCTAATTCGGCTATTCCATTTTCAGATGATCTCTTTATTGAAAATTTTGAGAAATGGAGATGCATTCTTTTTTCACGGGCCAATGAAAACAGTTTCAAAATAGAAACTTCTAACGCTCAGACACTCCAGACAAAATCCAGTGAATGAGCAGGCCTCGTCACTCACAAGAGGGACTTGCATTCTCCAAGCCTTTCAGCATCCGACCCCGGAGGGAGGCGTCTCCTATGAGTCTACAAAGGCCCCTCTCGCTGACCAGGGACGTGGGCACTCAAGGCTTCATGATCCTCCCTCTTCAGAAGCCCACGACAGATTGGAATGGGGAGGGAGGAGTGGGCAAAGTGGAGAGAGCTCGGGAGGCAGGCCTGTGGGACGTACCTTCCAGTTCCCCTCCAGGGGCAGAGATCTTCGACATACTCAGGTAGGTGGTGGCCACGATGTCGTTGTGGGTGAGGCGGTCCCTAAAATGGAGAAGGCAGAAAGAGCCTGAACACAGGGGTGGTTGCAGGGCACAACAACAGATCACAGCCCCGCCCCAGGAAAGCAGCAGCCTTGGTGACACCATGGCAGGGGGAGTCCCTGGGATCCCCACTCTGCACATGGACAGAAAGCTTGCTCCAGACTCCCCTAGCAGAACCTTGTCTATCATACCCATTCCAGCCACCAACTCGGGGCCATGAGCTGTAGGCTGACAGGCAGGAAGCCAGGGGCAGGTGGGAAGGTTGGGGAAGCCAGACATGGCTCAGCACAAACTCAGAGCAGAGCCAAGTGTCTAGAGCTAAAGCAACATCCACATCTAGACCTCACACCTGCTCCTCCCGCATCAACAGTGATGGTGGACCCTCACCCAGCTCCCACTAAGAACCCATTGTGTCACTGACACTTAGCCTAGATGACAGCTCACCAAGTCCTCACAGCAGCTGCATGAGCTCTGATGCGGGATAAGGCAGCTGGGGTTTACAAGGTTAAACTGACACGCGAGCTGGAATATGGAGCCACCTGCAGCGCCCCAAACAAGCCAGACCTGCACTTGCCAGCTCGGAGGTTCTGACCCTCCCAGGAAACACATGGTAATGTCTGGAGACAATTTCAGAGTGGGAAGGGGGTGTAATGGGCCCCTAGTGTAAGAAGACCATGGTTGGGGTTAAACACCTTTCAACACAGAGGACAGTCCCCTAATACAAGGAATATCTGGGACCCCAGTGTCAGCGGCAGGCAGGCTGCAACTTGCTGGGCTGCAAGAGACTGGCCTGCTTCAGGCAGGCTCTTAGATGCACCTTCCCTCTTCTCAAGGTCTCTTGGGCCTCTGCCCTGGCTCAGGGCACTTGGTCTTGGAGATCTCAGATCAATATGTGAAGGACACAGCTGGGCATGGGGATGGGCGTTTTATTTCATTTTAACCCCAATCCTAATCCTTTCTACCTCTTCCCTTCTTCTTTATTTTCAGGACTCAGAGAGATGATTAAGCTTCAAGTTTTCCTTCCTGGGGTCCACATTGTGGTGTAGTGAGTAAAGCCACCAGCTATGATGCTGGCAACCCATATGGGTGCCAGTTCGTGCCAAGCTACTCCACTTTCAATCCAGCTCCCAAATAATGACATGATAAAAGACAGCCCAAGTGTTTTGGCTTGGGAGACCCAGATGAAGTTCCTGGTTTGGGCCTGGCTCAGCACTGGCCATTGCATTCATCTGGGGAGTGAATCAGTCGATGGAAGATAAAACTTAAAAAAAATTTTTAAATATATTTTTTATTGGAAAAACAGATTTACAGAGAAAAGGGAAGAAAGAGGGAAAGATCTTCCATCTACTGAATCACTTCTCAAATGGCTACAATGGCCAGAACTGAGCTGATTCAAAGCCAGGGGCCAGGAGCCTCCTCAGAGTCTCCCACGTGGGTGCAGAGTCCCAGGGCTTTGGGCCGTCCTCTACTGCTTTCCCGAGCAACAAGCAGGAAGCTGGATGGAAAGTGGAGTAGCCAAAACACAAATCAGTGCCCATATGGGATACCAGCACTTGCAAAGCAAGGATTAGCCAGTTGAGCCATCACACCTGACCCTCTAACTCTGACTTTCAAATAAATAAATAAATAAATAATTTTTAAAGTTTTCCTTCAGGACAGAGGCCAAAAAGACTAAATTTTCAACTGAGGTCTTTATCACATGTCCTAGGAAATGTTAAGAACAGGAAAAGCTGGTACTATTGTAGCATAGTAGACTAACACTCTGCCTGAGGAACTAGCATCCCATATGGGAGCCAGTTCAAATCCTAGCTGTCCCACTTCCCATCCAGCCCCCTGTTAGTGCATCTGGGAAAGCAACAGAAGATGGCCATTTACTTGGGTCCCTAAACCCACATGGGAGACCCAGATGAAGCTCTTGTCTCCTGGCTCTGGCCCAGCCCAGCCCAAGCTATTGCAACCATCTGGGAAATAAACCAGCAGATAGAAGGTATCTCTCTCTAATTTCACCTTTTGAAGAAAACACTAAAAAGCTAGAATTTCCTGGCACACTGACATACTTTACAACGAGATTATCAACTCCAAATACCTCATAGATGGTGGCATTGCTACCCTACCTCCGTGCCCAGTCCTCACAAAAATGCCACAGCTGCAGAGGAATTACAATTCTAACCTTACCCGATCAGAGAGGAGGAAAAGATGGGAAGGGAGAGTCTGTGTCTATGGAGGTAAGGGCTGGGTTTGGGATTTCTGTGTTCCAGCAAAAAAAGGAATTGTTGAAGGATGGACTGGACGATAATGTAGAGGCAGGCATACGTGGCCCCATCTCCTTTCCAGGGTTCAGGTAGTAACACGAGCGATTGCCCTTCTGGGAAGAAGGCGCTGTTCTGCAGAGGAACTTACAGCCCCACAATGTTTTCTGGCGGCCAGCTGGGTTTTGGGGCTTGAGGTTGCTTTTGGAAAATACAGCGAGTCTGAAAATAGACTCACAATAAAAATACCACTTCAACCCAAACCCCAGGCGCGGCCCCCACATGCCGTCATGTGTTTGGACTGTGTGGCATGCCCCTGCCTCTGCCACGACTCACACAGACTCACACCAGGCATTCCCGTGACACACGGGCCAGCGCGCCCGCACACACCCACATGCACACTCATGCACAGGGATGCATGGCCAGGGTCCCTGCTGCCCCTCCCCCACACACACACACATACACAGATCACACCACAATTTCCCTGCATCCTTACAGGGACAGCAAGGACACCACACATCCTCAAACCGCTTCCTCACAGCACACAGCCGTGGTCACAATCCCCAATCCTGCCCCTGGCTGGCCCTCCTGGCTGGGCCCTCCCCTCCTCTCTAATTCTCACAAGCTGTTTCCTTAAGGCCTGGGGAACTGGCACACACTTTAACGGCTCTGTGGTCTGGGGGTTTTTCCTTCATCTCTCATTATCCCCCTGGCGGGGGGTGCCATGGGCCCTGGGCCCAAAGGAGAACCGCATGATCAAGGCTTTTTGGGGGCAGAGAAAGGACAGTGCTGGCTTTGGGGGATGCCTGGGGCCCTGAAGGTCACAGCATGAATCGCCCAATGTCTCACACCCTACCCTCCCCGCCCCTGCCCAGATGGCAGGTACCAGCACAGGCACTCTGCCTTGGGGTCAGCCTTCTGGCTGTCACCTGGTCACTCAGCCTGCCCCATTCTATTCCTCCTCAGCGGGTCATGCCCCTGAGCCCAGGGTCAGATGAGAAGTGCTTGCTGGACACACGGCTTGGCACACAGCAAATGCTGAGCCAGTGGTTAGCTACCAGCTGTTCTTGAGACTCACAAGGCATCATCTTCACCTGGTCCACACCTGTGGGGCCATCCCCAACCAAAGCAAGCTGGTTCATTTCCCCCCATAGGAAACCTTTCTGTCCCCTGTATCAACCCCAGGGCAGGCACAGCCACACTCCTGGAAGCTCCGCTCCCTCCAACCTCCTTCCCTTGGTTCCAGTCCTTCCCTCCCCACAGAATTGTTGTCAAGCCCACCCCTCCTGACCAGCCATCACCTGACACACCACTTCCGGGAAGTCTGCCCGGCCCCTGTCAGCCTCAGAGATGGATTTGCCATGGTTTCCTCTGGCCATGTCTTTCCTATCTGCCTTTAGCTCAGACTCCACCTCTTAGAGCAGGGCAGTGAGCAACTATCCCAGGACCCGGCCACACCATCTCCCCAAGACCACTAACCCCGAGACTTCTCTCATTGCTGGCAGACTGAACAGAATCACACAGAGCAAGCCAAACCCCAGGAAGGTCCAGGGGCCCTGGAACTCACCAGTCCATCACGCGAATCCTCATTTTCTCACACATGGAGGGAAACTGCAGAGGGAAGAGCAGAAAGTGGAGCCCTTCCTCCCAGCAGGAGCCCGGGATGCAGGTGGGAGGCTAGAAAGCCAAGCACCCCTGACCCTGGGATAGGGTGGGGTGGCGTGGGGTGGTACAGGGCTGGGGCTCACCATGGCAGGCAGAGTGATGCTCTGGTTCCACTGAGGGTTGGCCGTCTTCTCCAGGATCTTGCTGCACAGCTGTGGCACAGAGGACAGGGACATGAAAGATCACAGGGCCTCCAAGTACATCAGGAACAGTGTGTCCAGGTGTGGATGCACAGACAGAGTCCAACAGAAGGTTTCCCCCACAGCTGGGAGGTAAGGCGGGGTGGGGAGAGTTGCCCAGATACCACAGGTCTTCTGCCTTCTGCCTGGATACTCCCCAACCCCAGCTCCAACTTCCAGTGCTGCTGTAACCGATGGGTTAGGGGAAGAGGCCTGAGTGGTTTTCCCAAAGGCCCCTGCAGGTTGAGGTTCAGATCACCTGCCACTTTAGCAGACCACAAGTGCTGAGAGGGCAAATATGAGGGAATGGAAGAGATTCAGGCCATGCACCTGCTTCTGAGAGTGAAGGAAAATTCAGCCAAGATGCAAAGCCTGTAAGCCACAGATTGTCTCAGCCCAGTGCTGTCCTAAAGATGGAACTTCTCAGAAAAAAACAAAACAGCAAGAGTGGAAGTCAGACCCAAGGCAGCAGCTCCTGTGCCAACTCTGCCCTTGGAGTAGGGGAGAGGAGCCAGGGTTTCCAGGACCCAGACACAGGGACAGCAGGGAAGGCTGCATTTCCAATCCACAGGTCCTGATGGGTCTGCAGGTTCTACACAGAAGTATGGCTGAGAGCTTTCAGAGTATATGCTGGGGGTCTTGCACATGCATGATATCTTTTTGTTTGTTTGTTTGTTTTTTAGCATCTGACATAGATTAAGAATCCCAGGTCCCAGGAGTAAGAAAATTTGTCTCTACCACTCCTGGTGCAAACTCCTGTACCCCTTTTCCCCAGAAGAGGAACACAGGCCAAAACTGCATGGACATGCGGCCGAGGATAGCTGTCAGGATTTGGTGTTTGTAGCAGTAAAGCAAAGAGTAGAGAGAGACCAACCACCCCTTGGAGCATCAGGAAAAGACTGGAACAGATAGCTGCTAGGCCTGGGGTTGTGAGGCCTATAAAAGCAGGCTCAAAGTCACTCCAAAGAAACCCTAAGAAAACGAATGAGACGCCATTCCTTATCCATTAGACTCACTTCTCTGAAGTCTGACAATCCACTGCAGACGGCAGTTGGAAAAGGGCATGCTCCTGTTCATTGGTAGGAAAAATAGTCTGACTCCTCCAGAAGACAAACGCTCACGACTAGTTAAAATCAAAAACTCGCATTGCTTTGGACCTGTTGCTTCTCTAGATACGTAGCTTGCAGAAATGCCTGCACATGTCCAGAAGGACACACATGTGAGGTTATCCAGTGCAGCGTGACTCAAGCCAGCAAGAATTTGGAACAACCCAGGGATCCACCAGTAGAGGAGAAGTTGGGCAGGTTGTGATCCATCCACATAACGGAATACTATACAGCTTTGAAAAACAATAAAGATCATTCTGTGTACAGACAGGAAATAATCTCCAAGCTACAATTATATGTAGAAAAAGTAAGGTACACAATAATTGGCAACAATTTGTGTTGAAAGGTTAAACCTAACTGAATCAGACAAAATACCTGAGCTTGAAAACAGAACTGTTCACCCAGACAAAAGGGGACAAAATAAGAAAGAATGAAGACAGACAGTCACCTTGAGCTGTGGGACACAAGGAATTTCATGAGAGAAAGAAGAAAGAAGCATAAAAATCCATTAAATGAAATGGCAGCAGAGATTTCCCCATCTGGAGAAAGTCATGGATGCCCAAGGACAGGAGACCCATAGCACTTCAGATAGACATGAGCAGAGAAATTCTAGCCAGTTTCAGAAAGTACAACACAGAGAAAAAATTATACAATCTGCCAGCATCCTGTGTCGGAGCTCCAGTTTGAGTCCCAGCTGCTCCACTTCCCATCCAGCTCCCTGCTAATGTGCCTGGAGGAAAGTAGTGGAGGATGGTTCAAACATTTGGGCCCCTGCACTCACGTAGAGAAAGGTAGATGGAGTTTCTGGCTCCTGAAGGTAGCATGGCTCAACCTGGGCTTCTACAGCCATCGGAAGTTCTCTCTCCTCCACCCTAGCCACTCTGCCTTTCAAATAAATACCACTTTAAAAAAAGGAGGGAGGGGCCCGGCACAATGGCACAGTGGTTAAGGTCCTCGCCTTACACGCCCGGGATCCCATATGGGCGCATGTTCTAATCTTGGCAGCTCCACTTCCCTTCCAACTCCCTGCCTGTGGCCCGGGAAAGCAGTCGAGGACGGCCCAAAGCTTTGGGACCCTGCACCCGCGTGGGAGACCCTGAAGAGGCTCCTGGCTTCAAACTAGCATAGCATCGGCCGTTGCACTCACTTAAGGAGCGAATCAACGGATGGAAGATCTTCCTCTCTGTCTCTCCTCTCTGTATATCCGCCTTTCCAATAAAAATAAAATAAATCTTTAAAAAAAAAAAAAAGGAGAGAGGACAGGGATCAATTACAAAGTTCCTAGGAATTAATAAAATGCAAACACAATGTAGCAAAAAGTATGGGATGCAGCCAAAACAACACTAAGAAAGATGACTATAGCAATAAAAACCCACATCAAAAAAAAAAAAAGACATAAAATAAACAACCTAACAATGCATCTCAAGGACCTTAGGAGGGAGGGGAAAAAAAAAGAAGAATAAACCAAATCCCAAAGTCAAAATCAGAGTAGAACTAAATTAAATAGAAATGAAGACAACACCAAGGGTTCACCAAAGAGTCGGTTTCTTAAAAAGATGAACAAGATAGATAGAACTTCAGCTAGACTGAAAGATGAAGAGGGAACCTAGATCAACAAAATCAGGGGGTGAGTAGCTGGCATCGTGGCAAGGTTTTAAGCTGCTACTTGGAGACCCCACACCCTGCATCACCTCCAGGCTCGTTAACTTGCTAGCCAGCTCCTTGCAAATGGGCCTGGGAGGCAGCAGAAGGTGGCTCTAGTATTTGAGTTCCTGTCACCCAGGTTGGAGGTCTGGAAGGAGCTCCTGGCTTCAACCTGACCCAGTCCCAAGCCATTATATCCATGTGAACCACTGGATGGACAATCTAATTGTGTCTCTCAAATAAATCCTTTTTTAAAAGTACCAGTGGTCAACACATGAAAAAGTGCCAAATATCATTAGCCAACAGAGAAATGTAAATCAAAACCACGATGAAGTATCATCTCATTCAGAAAGGAAAAAAAAAAAAGGTTGGCTAGAATAAGGAGAAAGAGAATCTTTATACGTTTTTGTAGGCATGTTAAGTACAGCCTTTGTGGAGAATAGAGGTTCCTCAAAACACCAGGAGCAAGGGAAGGTGTTTGCATAGCAGCTACGAGGCCCACACCTCATGCCAGTGTGTTCCTCCACTTCCAGTCCAGCTTCCTGCTGAACGCACACCCTGGCAGGCAGCAGGGGACGGCTCAAGTACTTGGGTCCCTGCCAACCACAAGGAAGAAACCTAGCTCCCAGCTTCGACGTGGCCCAGCCCTAGCTCCTACTTTAAGCATCTGAGGGATGAGCCAGCAGATGGAAGATCTCTGCTTTTCAAATAAAATGATAAATAAATATTTTTCAAAAACCCTAAAAACAGACATACCATCATATGGCCCAGCTACGCCCTGCTGGATAGGAAAGAGACAAGCTCCTTACACGCATTGCAGCCCTATTTCCCAAGTCCAAGATACAGGATCAATTTACACATCCATCAGTGAACAGGTAGTGCGAACAGACAATGGAACGTCATTCAAACTACAAAAAAGAATGAATTCCTGACAAAATAGATGGAACTAGAGTTGAGTGCATTAAGTGAAATGCCCTGGACTTCAATCTCAGGCGCTTCCTCCTACATGGAAGCTACGCACGCACCACACGCAGAAGATAAGAGGTTATGTATTTGTACATTCTGGTATTCAATGTCACGGTAGGGCAACTATGGCCCATAATGATACATTAGTTTCTGTACATTAAACTGGAACAGAGGAGCTGGCAGGCTCTAAACATAGAAGATAAACAGAAAGTCTGGCTGCCTGGGGGAGTTGGTGTATGCTGTGGTTATGTTTTACAATGTTCTGCTAGACCCCTGACAAATGTGCAAGTATTTTATTTTAATTCAGAATTAGTGGGGTTTTTTACAATTTTTTCTTTTGGAAATTTATATTTACAGAGGACAAAAAGATATTCTGTCTGCTGGTTCACTCTCCAAGTGGCCACAACGGCTCGAGCTGAGCAGATCTGAAGCCAGGAGTCTGGAACCTCCTCTGGGTCTCCCACATGGGTGCAGGGACCCAAGGCTTTGTGCTGTCCTTGACTGCTTTCCCAGGCCACAAGCAGGGAGCTGGATGGGAAGCGGGGCAACCTGGACATGAATCGGCGGCAATATGGGATCCGGGCGCATGTAAGGCAAGGATTTGAGCCACTAGGCTGCCACGTCAGACCCAGTGGTTTTTAAATAACCTAATATTAAGTAAAGAAGACACTTGCCAAGCTGCAGAGAGGGTCGGTTTCCCTTTCATAGTGGGTATAATCTGTAAGGTTACTGTGAATGCTGATTCAGTGATATCAAGCACTACCCCTGCAGAAAGCAGGGCTGAGTTCCTGCCAGCCTGTGTCACAGCACTTTTGCCAACAGATCAACATGTGACCTTAAGCTACTGCTTCTGTGGAAGGACGCCTTATTGCATGTATGTTGTGGTTCACTCGTGTGGCTCTGCCGTCAGCACCACCTCTTGCTGGAACCCAACCCATGGACACAGCTGATCTCCCTGTGCACGTAGGAACAGCAGACACTTCAGTACCATGTGTGGGACCCGTGGTAATGCAGGAAACAGCAGCAAATGGCACAGACACTAGGGAAGTGATGCCATAGACGCGCAGAGAGAGGTTTATTTACCAGATCACAAGAACCGAGGCTGCACAGGTCTCTCTCTTGGTCAGCCTCGCCAGGTACCCGCTCTGCACACACTCACCAACGGCCACAAAAACAACTCAAGCGCCAATGTGCAAATCACACCGCACTCTCAGCAAGCGGGGAAATTCCAAATACAGATTCTGTGGGCAGTGAAGATTAACTGTATTCTGAATCTTTTTTTCCCCCAGGGGATGGGGAGAAGAGAGACAGGGAAATGTTACAGAGAAGACATACTTGAAGTAAATACACCAAAATGCTAATTTAACAGTGTTCATTTGAGGTACCATGGGGCACAGAAATACAGTAAGTTTATTTTTTCCTCTTTTTTGGTTTTTCAAAATAACTTGTTACAGTTCATGGGTCTTATTCCAGCACTCTGAAAAGAAGTTTGCAAACTTCCTGCCCTGTTGTACAAAAGAACTTCCCATTTTTTTCCCCTGTCCTGTACCTTGAAGAAATCTGTGCAGATGTGCACACACACACACACACACACACACACACACACACAATCACCTCGCCCCTTAGTAACTTGGCCACATTATGGCTCACATCTTGGGCAACATCACCACCAAGTGTCCATCGTAAGAATGACAGGTGATCAGGCTGGGGTGGATGCACAGAGCTGAAAACCTTGGGCTTTAAATGAGGATGCAGTGGGCAAAGGCAGGAGGTGTCAGGAGGCAGAGCACCTCAGAGGGCCAAACACATTACAAGATGGTGGCTCAGGACAGAAAAGTCCGGCAGGCCCCAGGGATCACCACACATGGCTGAACAGGGTAAAGCTGTCAAGAGGATGGCTTAGCTACCCCTTCACCACCAGTCATTCTCCCACTTCCCCAACTGCCTGGTCGAGGGGACCACTAGCAAGTGGGGCTTGAAGTTGGCTGCTAATCAGCTATATTTAGTCCTTTGCCTTTCAGGATCCTCCCTTCCAGCAGCGCTGGCTAGCAGCACCCTCCAGGGCCCCGAGACTTCCCACCAAGGCAAGCAGTGAAGGTGACGCAAGTTGGAGCACCATCAGAACACCTTGCATGTGAAGAGGGAGAAACAAAATCAACTTCTGGACATGGCTTCCCCATCTGACCCTGGCAGCACAAAGTGCCCAGCCCCATACTCCGGTGCAGCCCTCCCCACAGCCAGGAACAGGGCAATGACCGGACCGCAGCCTAGAGTGCACTTAGGTAAGGATCTGTAAGGATCTGACATGATTGAGATGAAACATCCCCACACCTGCTTCTCCCGACTCCGTGCGCGGGATGGAGGAGCCGGTGAGAAGAGCCTCTGGGAGCCAGCTACAGAACAAGCCCCACGTCCAGCACAATAGTGGCCAGTCCTGAGCACTGCATTCACAGACAGTGAGGTCCAGAGGAACACACTCAGAGGGGAAGCCAAGTTCTCCTAATAGGGAAGGGAGGGTGGTGAGCAAAGTCACCATTGCGCATCTCCAAGTAAACGCCTTCTTCCAACAAAGTTGCTGAGAAACAGGTAGCTCTACCGTGCCAGGCTGTCACCCACAGGTTTCCTGCTCACTGCAAAGGGGCAGCCATGCCCAAGGGCGAGACCTGAGGCCACTGCCTTCGCCAGCTGAGCAGAAGATCCTTGCCAGTGAAGGACAGCCTGCTCTCAGGGTTTCCTGTCAGATTCAAAACGCTATATGCAGAATCGCCTGTGATGTGTCTTTGTAAAAATATATCCGCTTATTTATCTGAATGACAAGGTTGTTATAGAGAGAGAAGAGAAAGAAATATCTTCAGTCTACTGGCTGACTCCCCAAATGGCTGCAACAGCAAGAGCTGGGTCAGGCTGAAACCAGGAGCCTAGATCTCCATCCGGGACGCCCACATGGACAGCATGACCCAAGCACTTGAGCCACCTTCCGCTGCCTTCCCAGGCGCATTAGCAGGGAGCCAAATTGGAAGCAGAGCAGCCAGGACTCGAATTAGTGCTGCTATGGGATGCCGGTGTTACAGACAGCTATGAAACCCACCATGCCACAATGCCAGCCCCAACCTAATGGAGACTTTAGCCCTGAATTCTGGGGCTGAATACTGAAGTCAGAGTAAGGAGCCAACCACCACCAGAAGAAAATACCCAGACAAGTCTAGAACTTGCACACATAGTCAGAACTCTTCAAAAATGTGGTGTCCAGCATGAGAAGACAGAGGCTGGGGGAAGGGGGAGAGTGTGGTGTTCCTAGGAAAAGGACAGCAGCTCTCAGGTCAGAGGGAAAGATGGGCCTTGAAGACATGTTTGAGCTCAAGAGTGAGGTGGCAGTCTGATACGGAAGAGGTGCCTGTCTTTAGCAAGGGCTCCTGCTGAAGACAGAGGCCATTTGCTGGCGGGGGTGGGCGGGAGCAGGGCAGGGAGCAAAGATGACCTCCTCAGGGGGTAAGTGCAGGCAGCAAGTGCAGCTGTCAGAGGGCTGGGACTGACAGGAGGGGGTCAAGGTTAAGGTGAGCTACAGAAGTCCTCCACAGAGGGGTGACAGTCAAAGCCAGGAGGTGACCAAGGCCATCAGAGCGAGCCCACAGATGGAGGCGTGCATGTGGGGACACCAGGCTAAGTGGAGCAGGGCTGGAGCAGACACCTGTCCCTGGGGAGGCCCTGCCATCCGTGCGATCCTTACCATTTTCCCTGCAAAGCTGACCTCCACGAACGGATCCACCAAGTTCTTCTTGTTGCTGTCAAAGCCAAAGATCTGCTTCACATTGTCCAACACAGCATCATCCACTGGGGAGAAGAATGTGCCAGTCATCACCTGCCCACCTGCCAGGCCACCTCCCAACCCCAACCGTGCCCCCATGTGGCTTCCCTCCCGCCAAGGCCTAGCATGCATGCCGCTTAACCCCTGCACTCTGCCCACAGCCCTTCCGGAAGGCACTGCAGTGGGTTCAAGGCTGGACCTCTGCCCCCGAGGAGGGCATGCCCACAACAGGAAGAAATAGCAGTGTGATCAGCCCTGCGAGCTGAGCAACCCCCAGGTGCTGCTGCCCCACGGAGAGCCAGGAACACAGATCCACAGAGCAGCCAAAGGATCCTTGTGACTCTGCTAGTGTGGATGACTTTCCACTGAATTCTGATGACTTTCTACTAGTAAGAGCAGGAGGCATCCAGAAAGGCTTTGGAACATGCCCAGGCTGCAGAGGGAAGACAGAGCTGGCCAGCCATGGCCTCCAACAGTCAAGGAACACATGGGTGGATGCAGAGAAGAGAAAGGAGAACTGAGAAAGGACCCCAGGCCACAGCCCATTGCCCACCCACTCACTCTGCGGCAGGTCCTCAGCCCGGAAGAGCTTCAGGCAGAAGTGGGCTCCTCGCAGGGCCACCCCTGTGGGCCTGAGCAGGTTGCCTTCAATGTCCTCCCTATCGTCGGAGGGGTCTTTTTTGTCCATCTATGAAGCAAAGAGAACGTGGCTCCTTCCCTTTCTTAGAGCACCTCCTCCACCCACCTCCAGCTTACATCTTCCCTTGCTGACATGGACGGAGAACATGAAGTAATCTTGCCCAACCAATTCAGGGGGCAAGGCCATGGACAGAGAACCGTGTTGCTTTGGCAAAACAGAAAAAATCATGTGGACTCTTTCTGGGTGGATATGCAGTAAGGTGCAGGGAAAGCTCTCTCCACGTACTTTCCTGCACACTCTCCACCTAACTCTCAGGGGTTCTTCAGTAGAACAACGCTGTGTTTGGGGTTTTAGCTGGGTGTCCCCAACACAGACACCATGCAGGGCACTGGGAGCAAGGTACTCACGGGTGCTTCATCCCCTGGACCCAGCACACACACACTGGCTTTCAGGTAGCCCTTGGCACCCACAGAGAAGTCATCAGGGTCGGAAAGCAACAGCCACTTTCTGACATACGCATGTCCTAAAAGAGACAGTTTCCATGGTGACCTTAAGCCTTTAGTCCCACTTAGGAGCCCCGAGTGAGAAAAGAAACTCATCCAGTGGGCGTGGACAGAGCAAAGCCGGGGACTAGCAGGTGTATCGAGCATCTGTGTGGGTGAGAGATGCAAAGGCCAAGCCTGAGGCCACTTCTCCCTTAGGCAGGGGGAATACCTGAGCTCATCCCTACCTCTGGGGACTCCAAGCTCCAGCTGGAACCTTCTAGATAATCACCCCTAAATGGGCCAACTGAGACACACATGAGGGGCCCATCTCCCCAAGGGCCTGTTTTAGTGGAGGATGAAAACCTGCTTTGCCTTCCAGAACCAAACTCCACCTCCAACTTCTAACCCATTTCCTGGGTCAGAAGAGGCCCTGGGCCAGACATATGTCCCCAGGCGGCCCCAGGAGCAAGTGCAAGGACATGGGGGAGGACTCACGAGGCTCTCTGTAGACAGTGCCCACGTCCATCTGAAAGAGAGGAAACACAGAGTCAAGTCACAGAGGTGGTCAAGAAGGCAGAGAACAATGTGTGAGTCCACCAAGAGCCCTGCTGGGCATGACATTCTGACACAGAGGGTGGAGAGGTAACTGCCGGACCCACGTGGAGGGCAAGCAGAGGGACAGCATCCACAGTGACCTCAAGTCCACAGGCACAGCTACAGAAGGACGCTCAGGAAAGCACATACAGCCACTGGGAGCTGGGAGGCCACTGACCCCAAACACTTGGGACCAGAGCTGTTCAGATTGCAGGAAATGTGCAAAGTGGCCACGAGCTGTGCCTCCGCAACCCCCAAAAATCTAACATGCAGAATTTCTCAAGCAGGAAGCTGGTATTTCAACAAGTTGCAGGTCTCAGGACATTTTAGATTGCAGATTCTCTGATTAGAGATGCTCCAGCCTGCCCAAGAACACAGCAACGGTGCTATGTCTGAACTGCAGCTCGGATTCATTCTAATGGGATGTTTTATCCTTTCTGGTTTCTGACATGTTCTATAGCAAAAGCACAGAGTAGCAAGGTGCTGCTGGCAAAGGGGGCTGCAGGGAGATAACTTCCTGTACTTGCCACTCATCTTGCTGTGAACCTAAAGTGGCTCTGAAGCATAAAGTCGTATCTTTCATGTTTATTTATTTGAAAGGCAGATTTATAGTGAATGAGGGAGGAAGCATTCTGCCATCTGCTGGTTCCCGTCCCATATGCCCAGAATGGCCAGAACTGGGCCAGGCTACAACCAGGAGCTCTGAACCCCACCCAGGTCTCTCTGCTAGGTACTAGGGGCTCAAGTATTTGAGCCACCTTCCCCTGCTTTTTCCAATCCATTAACAGGCAGCTGGGTTGGAAGAGGAGCAGCCGAGACTGCCAATGTCTTGAGCAGCAGCTTAACCTGCTGAGCAGGATAGATACCTTAAGCCTTGGACTCTCAGAACAAGAATGTAAAAGTTAGAAAACCAAACCATAATTCAGATTTCATTATAAAATACTGCAGACTCAAACACATTCCCTTAAAAAAAAAAGGTCTCCAGGAAAATGGGCAGCTTGGGACTACTTCCCAGAGCTGGGATTTGGGGTTTCAAAATCACTCTGTTCCTTTGTTTTCTAAAAAGAGAAAAGCAATGAGAAAGGCACTAAACTGTGAACCGCTGGGCAGGTCGTGTTACTCTGTGCAACTAGTTACCTCTGCTTCCTGCGATTTACCTGCAGCATCTGAGCAGTCAGCTCTCGATTCTCCAAGGTGGCCTGTTCAGGACCGTGTGAGACAAAGGAACAGGCCAGGGTGGGCCTGCCTCTCCCCACAGCCCTGTGCCTCCTTGGCATCCACATCGGTACTCCACTGCTGGCCCACAGCAAAGGTGAGGTCAGGGGGACAAGCACCAGGTCCCACCAGATCTGGATGGCCAGAATTGGGAGGCGAGCTGCCTTAAAGGCCCCGTGCACCAAGGGGCACCTCTGTGTCCTTGCACCCCTTAGGGCACTGCCTGAGACCGCCCCAACAGCCTGCACCCCTCTCCCTTTTCCACTCCCATGAGCACAGCCTCTCTGGGCTGGTGGGGAGGCTGTGTGCCGTTTCTGCAACTGAGCTTGCCCGGTCCGGACAAGACCCAGGCTGTCCTGAGCGCCGCCTTCCTGCTACCAACCCCTGAGCGGAGGCCAACGGGAACAGGTGAGCACTGACCACACCTCAGCAGAGAAGGGAACTCACCCGGAACTCCCCGATGAGTGCATCGGTCCTGAGGGAACGCGAGTCCACCACCTGCATGGAAAAGTCATTTACAACCCAAGAGAAGCCAGGACAGTGTCCAACCCAGTCACTGCCGACCTGTAATGCCTCCTCCCAGGATTTTCTAAGATAAGTGTAACCTTCCCATGAACCTCAGTTCAGCCCCACTGGACCAGGCACACAGCCACACAATCCCCATGGGGCATGGGCAGGCCTAGAATCCATTCATTCCAGCTCCAGAGTCCACACAGTAACCACTAGACTACACTGCCTTTCACATCCCAAGGCCCACAAAGAAAGAAAACCCTTGGCCAGAGACACGCATCACACAAGCAAATGATAAAACAAGATGAAACCCATAATGGCCACTGTACCAAGAGGTTTTAGGACCCTGACCTGAAGCCCCTGGGGACAATGAGCCAGCAGAGGTCTCAGAGGGGAGCCAGGACCCACAGAGCCTACTGTGGCTGGCTCGACACCTGCCAGGTGCCATACACCTGCCCACACTGACCTGCACGCTGGTAGACATGCACAGGAAGTCACACACGTGCACATGTGCACATGGACACGTATGTGCTTCCACACAGCCTGCAGCAGGACCTACCGTGACAAAGATGGGCTCGTTGAACAGCTCCGCGGGAGAGTCGAACAGATTGAAGAAAAGAGTCTGTGGACCCAGAGCCAAGGGAGACGCTCCAGTCAGCATTTGCTCAGCTCACTGGTTAGAGAGAGCCAGGGCCCCCCAGCACCCAAGTCCTCCAGGACTGGTCACCCCAGGGCCAGGTGCCTGGCATGCCCTCATTATTAGACAGCAGAGATGTGGAGCAGCAGAGGCCCAGTGCTGGAGCCTGAGGTAGCTGACCCAGGACCAGGAACATGTTGCACCCCACCATACATGTCCTGTGTAAACACTCAAAGCCCCAGGCTGGAGTGCCCACCCACTTCTAAGCCCAGTGCCCAGCGTTTCCCACCTCGTTGAAGAGTGGACTGTTCCCCTTGTGGATCCGTGTCCGCTTGGTCTGCCCAGCAGCTGTGACCTTGACCACAGGCTTGATGTTCACCCCCGGCAGCTGGCGCCCTTCAATCACCTGTACCCTGATCTGAAAGCCAAGAGCTGCATGAGCTGAAAGAAGGTATAAGGACTGGATGGGCGGGAGGGAAGGGAACTGGCTGGGGTACCGCCTGCTCCACTTCCCATCCAGCCTCCTGCTAAGGCAAAGTCTGGGAAGCACAGGTGATGGTTCAGGCAGCTGGATCTCTGCCAGTCACATGGGGGACCTGAATGGAGCGCCAGGCTTCTGGCTTCCGCCAGGCCCAGACATGGCTGCTACAAGCATTTGGGTGCGGGGGAGGGGGGTGGGTAACCAGCAGATGGAAGATCTGTCTGTCTCTGTCCCTCTGACTTTCAAATAAATAAAAGGAAATACATTTTAAAATTTATTTTCTTTTTTGAAGGGCAGAGGTATACAGAGAGAAGAAAAGACAAAGAGATCTTCCGTCCCCTGGTTCACTCCCCAAATGGCTACAATGGCCAGAGCAGGGCTGGTCCAAAGCCAAGAGCCCAAGAACCTCCTCTGGGTCTCCCACATGGGTGCAAGAACCTGAAGACCTGAGCCATCCTCTGCTGCTTTCCCAGGCCATAAGCAAGGAGCTGGATTTGAAATGGAGCAGCCAGGAATCAAATCAATGCCCACACAGAATGATGGCACCACAGGCAGAAGTCCAGCCGACTATACCACAGCACCAACCTGAAGAAATTTTTTTTTAATTGTAGATCCTGACATTGCAGGTCTGTGTGGGGCCAGAAATTTGACATTGCTCCCCTAGCCCCAGGGACCCGACCACACTGGTGTGGCCAGCAAGAGACGTACACATGGAGACGCAGAGCCTCTGCTGGGACCTGAGTGCTTTCCCGTTTCCTTTTTGGGGACTGGGCAGAGGTCGGGCTGGATGCGGGCTACACCTTTCAGGCAGAGCAGGCAAACCTCCAATTCCCGGTCAGGGCTACCAGGGTCCCCCCACCTTGCAGGACCATTGGGGTCTGGGGCACATTTTCCCCCATGGTGGGCAGATCACCTGGAAGTCCTGCGGTTTGTCCAACTGCAGCTTTCTGGGTGCAGGTGTGCTCCTGGCTCTCTTACTCCCAGGATGATAGTGGGGAGGATGAGATGGTGGCTTCTTTGGGGTGGAGGGAGCCCCCGGACCTGGCACACCACTGGTATCTAGGAATGGCTCTGCCTCATCCCCTGTGAGTCCCTGGTCCTCCGGTTCCTCCTCTCCTCCTGTATCTGGAAGGACAAGACCCTAGTGAGTGCTGGGGGGCTGGAAGGGGACCAGCCCTGCCAGTAGGGATGCAGCAACCCAGTGGCCTGGGCTCCCCAAGGCTTGGGCCCCACTTGCCTTGTCCCCACCCTTCCCTACTTAGAGCTGGGATGGATGAGGCAGAGCGAGGAGGAGCTTACAGATGGTGAATCTCAATGGCAGTCAGGCCAGTTAGTGAACAGGAAGATGAGAGAATGGCCCCAGCCCACCCTGGTCCCCGCATCCTGCAGGATGAGCCCTCTGGCCTCCTTGTCCTACTCCAGTGAGTGGGTGATTACAGCAAGGAAGACAGTTATAGGTGGCAAGAGGCGGGGTGAGGACCTCCCTGGCCCGTGTCTCACCCGTGGGGGGCAGCCACTTCTTTCCAGAGTATCTCGTGTCCACCGTGCTGTCACTGAGCAGGGACCAAGTCTCGGCCCGGCTCTGTCCCCCACCTGGCATGTGGTTAGGGCACAGCCCCAGGAGGGATGGGAAGAACAGCAGTGAGAGTGCCAGCCAGGGGATGCTGAACCCATCCCTGCTCCTGCCACCTGGGGCAGCTGGGAGCCGGGCTCAGACAGGGCTGCCAGATCTCGCCACCTTCCAGGCAGACGGGGAGACCCCACTCTGATTGGACCTCTGTGTGTTCTCAGAGCATCTGGGGGCGCTCTGCCCTCCTCACCCTCAGACCCAGAGATCAGCGCCTTCTGCCTCCCCAAGGCGACTCCAGCTCTGGTGCAGCCTGGGGCCAGGCAGGTTCCCAGGGTTCAGAGCTGTCTCCCATCTCCCAGCTAGGACAGTGCTGAGCCCCAAGACGGTCCTCTCCACCTCTGTGGCCATCGAGCCCTAGACGGCGCTAGGGCCCCAGGACTTGCTCTGGGCTTGTGTGTGGCCACCTTGATCGTGCAGAAAGCTCCCAGATCTCTCCCATCTGTGTGGCATCCTGTGTCCCTCCCCAGATGCCACCATTGGCAAGCCAACCACCTCTGAATGGGTCCTTGTTAGGCAAGGCCTGGCAGAGGTGAAGGAAAAGAGCTGAGGCACACACAGGACTCAGCTAACCAATCTGCCCACTTCACAGGTAATGTGGGTTATCCATCAGCCCAGAGAGGGAGAGTGACTGGCCCAAAGTCACATAGCTGTTCCTCTTTGTCAGCTAAGACAGGAACTCCACCCTCTAACTTCAACCCGGCGCTTTCTCTCACTCAGAAAGCCTCTCTCTTTTTTTTACCCAGGCCAGCATTGAGGTCTTGCTGGGAGCTAGGGCTAGGAAACAATGGGCTCTAGGATGAGGGCTTTGCTGTGGCCTGGGGTAGACCCTGTACTGCACACCCATCTGGGAGCTGGGCAATGCACAGTGCCACCCACCCCTATCCCCAAGCACTGCCCCTTCCCCAGGCAGCTGGGTGGGGGATCCTCACTATCCCCCGGGACCCTTAAGAGAGAGGCAGCACCCTATCCCTGGCTGCCTGGCCAGCAGTGGGCCCCTCACCAGCCAGTGCATCCGAATCCAGCAGGGTTGGAGAGGGCTCCAGAGGCGTGGTGGGTGGGAACAGGGGTACTGCTCCAGGGAGCGGCGTGTAGGACACCTGCAGGACCAGTGAGGCCTGGAAGAGACAGAAGAAGGTGGCAGATCAGTACTCAGGCTCTTAAGCACCACCTGCATCCTCCTGTCCCTAAGGAATGTGGCTCTGCAGAGGTCTGGAGGAGGCTGTGGCAAGGCCACCCTCAGGGACCCCTGCACACAGGCAGCTGGCTACGAGCATCTGGGCTCAGGCCCCACCACACAGGAGCCACACAACCTTGGGCAAGCTCTGAAACCTCCCAGGACCCTAGCATCCTCACCTGTGAAACGGGAATGGTAATAGCAAAAAAAAAAAAAAATCAATTGAAGGAGCTTGCAGTAGCAACGAAGCAAGGACCCAGCCTCTCCTGCAGGATCCCTCAACTCTCAGCCTCAGCCCAACTCCGGGACAAAGTCCCTTGGCCGTGCTGTTCAACCTTCCTCTGCCGCTCTGCACAGGGCTTTGCCGCAGTCTGCTCTGCCAGGTCTGTAGGCAGTACTGGGAAGGTCTCAGGCACCTCTCACCTTGCCCAGCTCCATCGTCAGCCAAGGGGACAGGGTGAGGTCAACCCATTCATTGGGCTCCCTCCCCACCCACACCCTGAGACCTACTGCACCCCAGGAAGAAGTCCGATTCCTGCAGGCCAACAGCTTTTTTTTTTTCTTTTTTAAACTAAACTGATACACACTTAAGAAATTTTGCAAAATCCAAAAACCTTACAGAAGGAATATAACTCAAGATAAAGCCAGCAGCGCAGAACCCCCTCAGTCTTCAAGGAAACAGCGGATGGCTGTGGCTTCATGTTGCACGGCATGCATTCCCCAGGCCTCAGCAGCCAAATCAGTGGAACACCTTCCACTCCAACAGAGCACAGCCCGTGGCGCTCCTCAGCTGGACTGGAGACGTCCCGAGACCCCGGCAGTCAACCTGGTCTCTGCACTCGAAGGCCCTGAAGACCTCCAAAGTGTCCATCTCTCGGATTCAAGCCCTCCTGACAATCCTGCAGGGGGACAGAGACGGCAAAGCCAGGGCTGGAAACCCGAATTTCAGAGCTCGCCACAAGCGGCCTTGCAGGGTTCCCAGCCACCGCCAGGTGTCGCCACTTGCACAGCGAGGGCCTGCGCGCTGTCAGTTCCTGCAGCCAGACAGGAAATGAAAGGGGAGTGGATGGGAACAGTGGGTAGGGGGTCCAATGAATGCCAGCCCATCACAGCCAGTTTTCCAGGGGACAGTGAAGCCATGAAACGATTCCCAATCATGCCACTGAGGGCAGCAAGGTCATTCTCAGCAACCATATTCCAGGGAAACATCAGACAAACCCAAGCTGAGGGCCACGCTACTCAAGAACTGGCCTGAACTTCCAAAATTGCCAAGGCCACAAGATTTAAAAAGCCAAAGAAAGACTGGAAGCTAGCCCAGATGCAAAGACGCTCAAGAGCCGCAACAGCTCTCTGGGGCCTTTCGTCCTTAGGAAGCCGGGAGTGCCAGGCCGCGGCTGAGGGAGAACCGTGTCTGGGTCCGCGTCCTCATCTGAAAGCTACAGTTATGTGAGAGGATGTCCTTTCTCACAGAAACACATCTAATGGTCAAGGTAACAGCCAGGGTCTGGCTGGGCAACTGAGTCCCACCTGGCATAGGACCCGATACTCTTCATCTTACTCTTGGCAAATTTTCTCTGAATCTTAAGTGATTCCAAAACAGAAGTTTTAAAAATCCCAGAAATCTTGGGCCTGGCGCGGTGGTGCAAGTGGTTAAGGTCCTCACCTTGCACGCCCGGGATCCCATATGGGTGCAGGTTCTAATCCCGGCAGCCCCGCTTCCCTTCCAGCTCCCTGCCTGTGGCCCGGGAAAGCAATCGAGGACGGCCCAAGGCTTTGGGACCCTGCACCCGCGTGGGAGACCCGGAAGAGGCTCCTGGCTTCGGATCTGCATAGCATCGGCCGTTGCGCTCACTTGGGGAGTGAATCATTGGATGGAAGATCTTTCTCTCTGTCTCTCCTCTCTGTATATCCTCCTTTCCAATAAAAAATAATAAAAATAAATCTTTTAAAAAAAAATCCCAGAAATCTGCTTCTGCTCTAGCCACCCTGCCTCCTGGAGACAAGTCCCAACCCAGCATCCAGGAGCAGGATGTGGTTAGCACCCGTTGTACCACCTGCAGGCCCAGTGTAAAAAGGAAAGCAGAATCTCTTATTCAAACATGATGAAGAATTTCAAGACAGCCACAGCAGGGAATAAAACCAAGCATGGTGGCCGCCTGTGAGCCCGGTCCTATGGGAGTGTTTGTTTTGCTTGGCCTGAGTCAGGCTAGCATCTGAGAGTACAGCCCCGGAAGCCCTGCCTGACACATCTGGCCTGACCCAGCCACGCACGAATCCTTCACATGTACACGTCAGGCACCTGTTAGGGGGCAAATATGGGGATGCCTCCAGGAACAAAATAAAGGCTCCTGTCCCCATGAAGCTACTGTCTTGGCAGAAGAGACTAAAAAGTAGGCAATTGAAAAAATAAAATATGGGGGTCAGCACTGTGGCACAGCACTGTGATGTCAGCATCCCATGAGTACTGGTTCAAGGCCCAGCTGTTCCACTTCCCATCCAGCTCCTTGCTAATGCACCTGAGAAGGCAGCAGCAGACGGCCCAAGTGCTTGGGCACAGCTACCTATGAGGGAAACCCAGATGGAGTTCCAAGTTCTTGGCTTGGGCTTGGCCCAGCCCAGGCCGTTGAGGTCACTGGGGAGTGAACCTGCAGAAGGAATATCTCTTTTCCTCTGTCTCTCCCTCTCTCTGCAACTCTGCCTTCCAAATAAGTAAATAAATATTTGATCAATGAAATGTGCAAATACATAAATACATAAATTACAGAGCAGGCTAGGAAAAAAGGTGGAAATAAACAGGGCAAGATATTGGAGTGTGGGCGCAATGAAGCTCCACTAGGCAGGGCCACACCCTGGTTGCTCGGGGACCCTAACACTGCAACCAGGCCCCCCCTTGAAAAGCTGCGCTTCTTTTCCTAGAGGCTCACCCTGCCTGTCCTCTCCCTGTCCCTAGCTCCTGATAGAGGTGGCCCTGGGCAGTGCAAACCATCCAGGCAGCCCTTCCTGGGGTTCCCTCAGCACCAGGTGCTCCACACCCGCTCCTGGAGAGCGGGTGCACTGCCACCCACTGAGCCACAGCACATGGCTCTACCTACAAGGAATCTCGAGCTGGGGAACCTAGAACGGAGCTCACCACCAGGGGGCAGGTTCCCAGAGCATTGGCAATGGAGCTGGTTCTTGCCAGAGGCTTCTAGCCCCATCCAGGACTTCCAGGGGTACAAGGGCTTATCTGCAGCTCCCACCCAGGGTCAGGACTTTCCACCTTTACCATGATGTTGAAACCCAGCCCCAGTCCCCTTCTACTGACAGCTGAGGTCTCCCACCTCCAGCATAGATGTGCATTTCCTGTATATTTCCTGTATATTTCCCAGACCACATGTGCTGGGCCTTGAGCCCCCAGGGGACCTCCCCCATCAAGGACGCCATCCAGTAGCCCACTTCCCCCATGCCCAGCCATTGTATCGAGGCAGGCTATCCTACTGCAAGGTCACTGTCAATCAGATGTCCACCCCAGACCGTGCAGCCTCTGCTGGGCATATCTAGCATCTCGGGGTCCCCAGTTAACAACACCCACAGATGTCTGGGGGCTGCTGCCTGCCCTCCACAGTAGAGGAGCAGAGAAACTCAGGAAACAAAAACAAAAGCAGAGCCTCCCAGTCCCAACCCTCCCACACACTCAGGGGTCCTCTGGCCTCCCGTGGACCTTGTAGGGGGAGAACTGCATCCGTGAGCTCCCCAAGGCCAAACCCTTCTCTCCAACACATGCTCGGGCTGGACGGCGAAGCCTGGTGTGCCTGGGCCTTCCTCTCCTTCCCTCAGGCCCCTCAGAGGCTGTTGCTGGAAGGTGAGCCCTGAGCAGGTGCAGCGATGACTACAGATGCTTATGTTGCTGGCAGAAGCTCTGGGACTCATCGGTGTTGCCCTGGGTCACCACCAGGCTCTGTTCTCAGTGGCTAGGGACATTGGGACACAGGGCACCACCAAGTGGGCCGCCCCCCTCCCTGAGATGCCATGGGAAAGCACCACTGGATCCCCTGACCCATAGTACCTCCCTCGCCAGCTGCTGGCAGAAGGGAGGGATTCTCCCAGGGAGCAACATGGCCAGCCTGGGCCTCAGTGGCCTGGGAAGCAAACTAAATTGGGAGTGCAGAGGACCAGGAATTCCTTCTAGCCCCTTCCACCCCGGGCGTCCAGGAGCTGTGCCTTGGGGCACGCGACTGCAGCCTACCCCTTTCTCCAAGCCTCAAGTGTTCTGAGTGGTTCCAATGGGCTCGGCCCAGACTGTCACTTCCTCAGTCACCCAGCCAGACCACCAAAGACCCCAGTCTCTCTCACACACACATGCCTTCACCCTACACACACGCTCACACACACATCTACGCCACACACACACACACACACACACACACACACACACACACACACACACAGGACTGTCCAGCTTCATCCTGTTGGAGAGAACTCAGCGCCCAGAGGCCCCAGGTCTTCCCAGCAGGAAGTACTTCCAGACCAATGGTTCCCGGGGCATCCTGGGAGGTGGGGCTGACCCAGAGGGAAGGTCAGAAATTTTAGTGACCAGGAAGAAAGAGCCCTGTGGAATATATTTAGCTCACTAAAAATAACAGGAGCCACAGATGAGGCCGGGAATTGTCTGCTTGACCCAGAGAAGCTCTGGGTAACTCAGGGGTAGAGCAGGCTAGGCAACGGAGGAAATAGAAGAGGGTCTGGCAGGTCCCCAGACAGGGGAGTGGGATGTCTGTTCCCCTTCCCTTGTAATCTGTGACCCAAGTGATTCAGAGAGTCCAAATCTGGAGAATGAGCCTGGGCAGTGAGAAGGGGCATCTGCCAGGGTGACTGGGCAAGCCACAGACAAGACTGCCCACATGGTTGGGTAAGGCCTAGGGCAGAAGTGAGGCAAGGCTGGCCTGAGCCCTGTAGATGGACCAGGGCTTCCTTTATGCTCCTCCCACCTCTCCCATCCCAGTGTCCTTCTGGGTACTCCAAGCTCTGGCAAAGGAAGGACAGGCCTGACCCTTGAGAGCTGGACTCTGACACAGCTCTGCAGTCAAAAAGGCAAGGCCCTGGGAGGGGGCCACCAGGCCAAGGCCGAGTACTTGGGCTGCTGTGACCATGTGGGAGACCTGGATGAAGTTCTGGGTGCCTGGTTTCAGCTTAGCCCAGCTCTGACCATTGTGGCCATCTGGGGAACAAATTAGCAGATGGACGATCTTCTGCTCTGTCTATAACTCTGCTTTTCAAAATAAACAACTGGTTCTTAAGTAAATAAATAAAAGGGTTCAGGGCAGAAACACTCAGGGCAGGGGCCCATGGGCACTTACCCCCGTGGACTGCTGCTTGGTGTCCAGGAGTGGGGCATTGAAGCTGGCTGACAGGCTGGGTGTGGCGAGGACCTCCCTGAGTGGGATCTTGGCCTCCCCCAGGAACCTGAGAAGAGATGGGAGTCCAATGGAGAAGCTTACCTGATGCAGCCTGGCTCTCCCCACATTAGACCCTTTAGCTGCCTAGACCACAGCCTCCTGAACCCCTCCCGGAGCCCTGCACCCCTACTGCCAGTCCCTGCCAGGCCCCTGGGGAGGAGACAACCTCCTCTTTCCAAGGTTGGCCTTGATAATCCTTCTGCTCCTCCCTGCAGCCCAGACACTCCTCCCTCGTCAGCGGCCAGGGCTGTCTTGCCGTCAGCCCTCACAGTCCTCAGATGAGCATCTGTGCAAGCCCACCTCACCAGTGCTGTTTCTGGTCTGCAGCAGCCCCACTCCCGACCCAGCGTGTGTCTGCATGGCTGCCTGCATTGGTCTCCCAGGCCCCAATGGACAATGATCATGAAAGAAACACACAGAAGCCATCCTGTCTTCAGGGTCAAGGAGGAAGGACACCAGGTCATGGGAGACATGGGTGGCCTGAGTGGACTCTCAGCAAAGAGAAGGTCCCCAGCGTGAGAGGAGAGGGTAATGAGGAGAAAGCATTGCTCCTAGGAGTCGCAATGGGTGTGCCATGCCTTCTGCAGGAGCAGCGGCTGGAGAGTGGCCTGTCTCCACCAGAACCTGTCATGCCTGGACTCGGCATCTGATTCCTGCCTGCTCCCAGGTTATTAGCCCATCCCACCCATCACTGTGAAGACACAAGTCCTTGATCAGCCAATTAAAAGCTGCAGGTGCACTCATCCTGTCCATTTCCAACTGCTTTTCCAAGATAAATAGTGCATCATCTAATATTCCTTGACATTACTTTTTCTGAATATGGGATCTTCATGATCCTATAAAGTAAAGCTACATTTTGACCCAATTAGCTAATTTTTAAGACTACTTACAATGACATACTATTGCCCATCCAATAGAATGATTCTGATAAACACACACATGCGAAACAGAAAGCCAACAGTGTTGGCCAGGATATAATGGAGCAGGAAGTGTACGCAGGTGAATCGAAGGGGAAAGGGTGCAGTTGCTGTGGAAGAGAGTGTGGCAGGCCCTCAAAATGTTCAGTGGGTAGTTGCCATGCCATCTCTCAGCCCACTCTGGAATGAGCCACAAAGAACTGAAATCCAGATCTGGAGCGGACGTGGACACACCCACATGCTTAACAGCATTACTCACAGCAGCCCTGAATCCGAGGACCTGAAGTGTCCACAGGTGAGTGAATGACCACACAAAATGTCCTAAATACAGACGATGGAAGGAAATTTGGACACACGCTACACTATGGATAAACCTCAAGGAGCCATGCTGAGTGCAACACAGCAGCAACAAAAAGGGAAACACTGTTTGATTTCACAAATGTAAGGTATGAGAACGGTCAAACTCATAGACAGGAAGTGGAATGTGGGTACCAGGAGCTGGGCAGGGGGTAGAATGGGATACAATTGTTCAATGGGGACAGACATTGAGTCAGGCAAGAAAAGAGGTTTGGTGGTGACTGGTTGTAATGGTTGCACAACACTGACTGTGCCTAATGCTATTGAGCTGAATGAGGGATCTTCAGAAATTCATAGCAAATGCAGATTATGAAAAAAATCATGCATGAACTTCAAAATCTTTTGCCCAAAAGCAAACTCCTCACTCCACGTTTCCATGAATTTTTAAAGTACTGCTGGCAAACAACACCCCAAACTAGTTGGAGGCTTGCCTAGAATCCCTAAATTGGATCTGCTCACATGGCATGCAAAAAAGCCCATCACCAACACTGGAGCGGTGCAAGATAGCAGCTGTTTATGGCAAAGCACAGAGCAAAGGGCTGGGCAGAGCTGTTGCTTCATTCCTGGACCCTCCCAAGGAGTTAGAGGTGAAGATTCTGAAATTGGGGCTGAGAGGTGTATGATTAGTTCATGTCCAAACTCCTGGTTGGTCAGTGGAGCTCGTGACCTTCCTTTGATTGGTCAGTGATGCCTTGCTCTGTAGACGGTTTATGCTGGTCAGGTGGACTCCAGTTGGTCCATGGGTTATGCGAAGGTGGTGGCAGTTATAATTGGCTAGAGCTTGGAATTCCCCTGCACAGATCACCCCAGGACAACACTGGCCATCAAGGTCCTTATCTATTGGAGAAGCAAATGACTGGTGATTAGAACCTTGTAAGACCAGTTGGATCGCTCCTTTAAGTCACTGAATTCATTTTGATAAAGTACAGACAAGGACACCTTGGGCTAGGTGTCACTTTTACATTATGGAGGTTTGGGTACAGCACATTTAAAGTGTTTAAAATGAGTGGTGCATTGGCACAACAGGTAAAAGATCATCTGGATACCCACATGGCACACTGCAGTGACCGAGTTTACCTCCCAACTCTTCTCATTCTGTCACTGCAGGTGATGCCCCAACTTATCGTGTCCCTGCCACCCACATGGGAGACCCAAACTGAGTTGCAACCTCCTGGCTTCAGTCTGATCCATCCCTGGCAGTTTTGGGCACTTGGGAAATGAACCAGCAATTGGGAGATCTCTCCATATCTGTCTCTATCCCTCTCTCTCTCCCTGTCTGTAATTTTTAAATAAATGACAGATAAATTAAAAACAAATAAATACCCAATAACTTCAGAATATACATTCATTAAAAAAAGAATGGCTAAGATGTTAGATTTTGTTACAAAACAGCTAAGAAGGTGGATTTTGTTATGTATGTTTCCAAATATACAAACTGGCTGCTTATTTAAGCTCAACAAGGAAATCTCAACATGGAAATTCGCTATTTCCACCCCTTTTGGACCAGCAGCCTGTCACCTCACAGGGTCCCCTAGAAACACAATGATGAAAGTGGGACATGCCCCAGATTAATTTTGCCAATACATCTTGAAAGGCAGGCCTACAAGGAGGGGGGTTCAGTATTATTTAATCCAGGGATCTACATAGCTCTTGTGTTCTAACTCATGAGCTAGTTTGTATCAGATTCCTTTGAAGATGAAGGGTCTTTGAATGATGGATTACTGAGGGCTCCTGAAGTCCTCTATGCCAGGGACAACTATTGGGGAGGCCTCTGCTACCAGTGTGTAGACTTTGGTGTCCTGAGCAAGATCAAAAAGCCTAGCCCAGAACCAGCAATGTGGGGTAGCTCATAAAGCTTCCTCCTACGGTGCCCACATCCCAAAGGGACACCAGATCTAGTCCCAGCTGTTCCATTCCTTTCTTTTTTTTTTTTTTAATTTTTATTGCAAAGTCAGACCTACAGAGAGAGGAGGAGATACAGAGAGGAAGATCTTCCGTCCAATAATTCACTCCCCAAGTGACCGCAACAGTCGGTGCTGCACCAATCCAAAGCCAGAAGCCAGGAACCTCCACACGGTTGCAGGATCCCAATGCCTTGGACTGTCCTTGACTGTTTTCCCAGGCCATAAGCAGGGAGCTGGATGGGAAACAGGATCAGAACCAGCGCCCATATGGGATCCTGGCACATTCAAGGTGAGGACTTTAGTCGCTAGGCCATGGTGCCGGGCCTGACTGTTCCATTTCTGATCCAGCTCCCTGCTTATGACCTGGGAAAGCAGCAGAGGATGGCTCAAGTCCTTGGGCCCCTGCAACCACATGGGAGACCTGGAGGAAATTGTTGGATCCTGGTTTCTCAGTAGTTTAGCTCCAGCTATTTGGGGAGTAAACTAGTGGGTAGAAAATTCACTCTCTCTCTCTTTCTCTGTTTTCTCTCTAACTCTGACTTTCAATAATAAATAAATGGCTAACGCTTGAACAAAAAAAATAATATAAAAGACAAGCACGTAGGTATAGATGACCCTGGAGTCCATAGGTACAAGTGTTGCCTCATTTCCCAGCGCATAGCAGAGCAACTTGATATCAGGCAGGTGAGTGGCCACCTAGCCCTAATCCAGAGACTTCGGGTTCGCTGTTCAATAGCGCTGCAGCATGAAACCTTCAAACACTAGAGGTGGGTAGTGTGGACGGAGCAGGCAGACAGCAGGGCTGCCAGAATTGGCTAGAGTTCCAGCGGGATGAGCACAGCACTGGCCAGGGCACGGCTCACAGAGCAAAGCCAGGCCTCCTGAGTGAGGAGCCATGAGCGACACAGCCTCTCCAGCTTGAGGCTGGGAGAATTCCCAGAAGTGGGGTGTGAAACAATGGAAGGAAATGTGGAAAGCCATGCCGGGCCCCACCCCTGCTAGCTGGGGCACCTTCAGGCTGCACTAGCCAGTAGCGGCTGCCAGCTGCGATCTTTGCTATTTCCTTCCTGAAAATCTCTCATTCTTGCCCTCACCAGAGGCCTGAAGGGAAGCAGAGGCACAGAACCAATCAGCCTTCCAGAACCATCCCCAACCCCCCTACCATGCCTCATCTGGCAGGATCCCAGGCCAAGGCTGACATTCCCCCATTCTAACCACCCAACACAAGGAAGCAATAGTCCAGGACAGTCCCTAATTCCCAGAGCCTGCGGGCACCATTCCAACTAGTCCTGCTAAGACTGCCTGCAGGGAAATCAAGAAAGCCTCCAGGCCATGTTTTCCCCTCTGCCTTCTGAGTGGCCCTGGGGCTTTCCCACGTGTCCCTCTTCTTGGGAACTGCGATAAATGCTGTTTCCATGAAGGTGTTCTCCTGATCTGTTGGCCTCACCACACCTGGATCATCTGAAGAACCCAACGTGCTAGTTCTTTGTTGGGAAGATCAAAAGTGACTGATGATTCTGAAGATCCTTTTGAAGTAAACTTTGTGCAGCGATTTAAAACACCCACCTGGGGTGCCCAAGCCCTGTACCAGGGCTGTCATGGCAGCCCTGGCTCCTCTGCTTCCAAACCTGTCTCCTGCTAACGCTCACACTGATAGGCAGCAGGTCATGGCTCACACGGCTGGATCCCTGTCACTCGCGTGAGTTCCTGGCTGCTGGCTTGGGCCAATAAAAAGAAAGTTTTCAATGTAAAAGACCATCATGAATATAACTCAGCCTGACATAAGATGGCGGGGGGGGGGGGGAACGGGGAGGATGGAGAAGAGAGAG